TAATGATAGACAGAAATGTTGTTTCACCAAATTCTCCCAACTGGGGAATAAATGATCAGATTCCGGTAACTTTATTTCACCTCAAAGGATACTGTAGTTAATCTATTTCAAACTCTGGACATGGAAAAAATACTGAAAAAGAGAATGAATCGAGTGTGGTGGATGCTGTGGTTTGCCACCAAGATCTGTTCAGAAATGAAGGACTTGCTTCTCTCAGCTGGGGATCGAGACCAAGTGCCCTCACCTGGAATCGAACCGGTGACCTCTAGCTGAATGGGATGACACTCAACCATCTGAGCCACACCAATCAGGGCAATAGTTAATTTTTATACTCCTGAAATTTTAAAGCAGTAATAAACAGCTGCTATAATAATATAATTAACAGGCTATTGTGTAATACTCTCTAATTTCCACCCACCTACATTCTTTATGGATTACTAATGGTAATTGTATATTAGTTATTACATAGCGATGACGTGAGGTGACAAGTGAATTTTTGTTTAGAATTCAATAGTTCTGGTCCGTTACAGTAAATAACTAGCAGAAAATATGAACTGCAATATGAAACACTAAATGCAGCCAGTGCACAGATACCAGTAGGGATTTCTTTAAAAGATGCTCTGTGTACCAGGTGGAAAAGCAGTTCCTTGTTTAGAAGCACAGGCTATTTTAGATTATATGAGATCAACAAGGTCTTCCCAGTTTCAAAGTGATTTCTCCTTGGTCATTTGAAGAGCAATCAATGGTAGCTACCAACCCTGTTAGAAGAAGACACTTGACTGCCATCTGCTGGACTAGTCTTGCAATAAACTAGAAATCCCTGCCGTCAGCAAAATTACACACTACACAAAAATATTTTTAAAATATTGTTTCCAAAATAATAAAGATGTCTGTGATGTGACTGGCACCTCCTTAGGTAGAGTGCTCTTGTGCAGTGGCCAACATGAACAACTGTACTGGGTGACTGTGGAAAGCCACACAGGTGGGTGGGGCAGATGTTGGGGGAGGGTTGGCTCATGACAAAGAGGAAGACAGGAGTCAGGGTGCACCCTCCCAGCACATGGATGTCTTCACTAACTCAGAAGCTCACCAAACCCCATCATTTAGGGTTTTTAATGGAGGTTTCATTATGTAAACATGATTGATTAAATCATTGGCCAATGGTGATTGAATTCAAACTCCAGCCCCTTTCCTCTCTCAGGAAGTTTGGGGTGGGGATGGGGCTGAAAGTGCTAACTCTCCAGTTACCTGGATCGTTTTTTCTGGTGAAGACCAGCCTCCATCCTGAAGCTATCTAGGCCCATCACTGCCCACAGAGAGTTATTTTATTAGCATACAAAAGACAGTAAATTCCAAACTGAGTTTTAAGAGCACTGTGCCTGGAACCAGGGACAAAAACAAAATATATATTTTTTATTATATCACAAACAGTTTGGCGTTAATTCTATCAGAAATATAAAGCTATTTACAAATTTAAAAATTAAAATGGGGGAAAAGTTTTCTTCCAGTCATTAAGTAAAACGTGAGCTAAAAGAGCCTATAAAGAAAATCATTTAGTTGAGACAAGTAACACCTGCAGGGACTTAAGATTCACTTAGCTGTGTCTCATTAATGCAATAGGCCATTTCACCATAAGATACCCAGTTCTGGTAGGTGGGTTTTGCAGGTGAAATGAGGAATGTTTGCAGGCAGGCCGAACAACGTGCGGTGCACAGGAGACTTAATAAATGTAGCTTTAGCCCCGGCCGGTGCGGCTCAGCGGGCTGGGCGTCGGCCTCACTGTCACCTCCCTCAGCTGCTCGTGATCCCCTCCAGCGCCTCCCTGCCCCCACCCCAACCGCCGGCCCGGGCCGAGCTCGCGGAGTCCTCTCCACCTCGCCCGGCGTCAACGTCTCCTTCCCACGCCCTGCTCACGCGCGGAGCCCGAGAACCACGAGGACGCTCTAAGGGAACCTCAGAAACCAGGGTCATTTCCCGCCCGGTGGCCCCTGGGAAATGTAGTCCAGAGCCGGAAAAGCTGGAGACCCCGGAAACCCAATGGCCTAGGGCCCGCTCCACCCCGGGGGCTTCTGGGAGCCACGCCAGTGCCGGAGTGCGCAGGCGCTGAACCTTGTTTGGCAATCACGCGCGCGGCCTCAACTGTCCGAGAAAACTCTTAGGGGAGGCGGTCCAGCCGAACGACATTGAAATCAGAACTAAGTTTTCAGGAAGGGGAGATGAGGTGAATGCCGGGCAGTGACTCTCTTCAATCTGTGATCTTCTTTCAGTTCCTTTCAAAGTCTCCAGGCTCCTTCCTTTACTTGGGGACTTGGCAATGCCAGGAATTCCCTTCCCCCTGTCTTTGCCTAAGGATTCATTTGCAATTTTACAAACAGCGGTTTAATAATTAATTTCCCTTACAGGTCTTCCTTATATCCATATTTTAATCATGATCATCCATCACATGATTTGGGCTTCCCCCAAACTTCCTCTTTTTCTTATCACTCATCACATTGTGTACTTTCATGTGTTTTTAGTATACAAATTATTCTATGTCTGTGTCCACTGGTAGAATAAAATGTTCATTAAAGCAAGAATTTTGACTCTTAGATTGTTCATTGATAGCAGGGGTTGGAAAACTATGGCCCACTGGTCAAATCAGGTCCACTGCATGTTTTGTAAGGCTAATGAGCTAAAAGTAAGAATGGTTTTTACATTTTTAAGTGGTTGACAAAGGAAAGATGAACATTCACTGTCCATGAAGTTTTATTGGAATACAGCTACACTGGAATGTTTCTATATTGTCTGTGGCTGCTATCCCATTGCAATGGCAGAGTTGAGTAGTTACAACAGAGACCCTGTCTAAAATACTTATTATCTGTCCCTTTTCAAGGAAAGTGTGCCAACTCCTGCTCTACACTCTAGAGACCAATGCCTAGCAGATGATGAAATCTAGTGGTCCAAGTTCGATGTGTCATAAGACATCAGCCATTTACTTAAAGAAATGGACTTGAAAAAAGCAACCCTTCTCCCAGCAATAGGAAAACAAGAGGCCCCTGTGGATCTAATAGGCAAAGAGAATCCCTGGATGCTGAAAAGTCACCTTTGCCTCAGCTCGTCAGGCAGTGAATTTCGACTGGTGCAATTGCAGAGGTGAGTAGATTGTGGAGTTAGGAGAAGGTGGCAGATGAACTGTGAGCACAGGCACGTGGGAGTGAGTCACTGATGCTGTACTTCCACAGGTTCTGCACATGAGCCGTGCAAGTCCCTCTGCTCNGTGGGAGTGAGTCACTGATGCTGTACTTCCACAGGTTCTGCACATGAGCCATGCAAGTCCCTCTGCTCCACTCATGTCATGTCACAGAGAAGCTTCTCTACAAAGTACATTGGTCCCTCTGGATTTTTCTCATCAAGGGCTAGTAATTGCTCATGTTATTATTGTTAATTATTATTATTTTGAACCTGGGCCGACAGTTTCTCAGGGATATTCTCAGTTTTCCCTGCAGACACTGTCATTGCTACCAGTGACATTATAATGGTTGCACTGGTGGGAAATGGGATCATAGTGTCCCCAAACTATAACTGGGCTTGGGGCTTTCTCACACCCCATCGCATGAACCTTGGCAATGACAGGCTCACCATCCAGGTATCGGAGTTCTGTTTGGTCAGTATGTTTTTCTTGCCCTCCTCTTAGAAAGTGTCAGGAAAAGTAACTTAGGGTATCGGAGCTTTATCTTGAAATCCTAATATGTTTTCTTAGTTGGGGAAGGGGTGGTGTGTCATATTAAATCTGAAGTTTATAAAGAAATCTGTGGCCCTCATGATTTTTCTGTATCTAGTTATCTGCTTTCCCTTCCTTTCTGTTCTTGGCTTCCTAAGACCTCCTGGTCATCATGTCTCACTATTAGACTTGCCAGAATTATACTCCTTTCCCTTCCAACCTTTTAAATCTTTTCTTTAAAATTGGGGACCATAGCACCTCCATTTTAGGAATATCGTAAGGAATAAATAAAGTCATATACATGTCTGGCTTTGAGCATGGACATAGAAACTGTGGGTTCATTTTTTTCTTGTTTTCTCTGTGGTCAAGATTGGCTTTGGAAAAACATTCATAAAGAGCTATCCCTTTGGGCAATGAGGAAAAGGCATAACCCTCTTTTCTTCAGGATCCTCTTAGACCACAGGAAAGAGATGTAATTGTTCACTCTGAGTCTCTTAAGGAGAGACATATTCCTTAATTGATTTCCCGTAATGGATATAAAGCCACCCATTGACCACACCAGAGCAGAGCCTGAGTCCTAAATTGGGCCATAGCATTAAGACAAGAAATCCTGAGTTAGGGGTCTAATTCTGGAAGGTTTCCTCTCAGATGCCCAGGTCTGACCCACCCTGCCCTTGGTGCTAGAGAGGAAATGAAAAACACCAGTGAGCAGACATGCCATGCCAGTGCAGGGCCCAGATTGAATACAGGATTGTTTTTTAAAATGTTTTTACTGATTTTTAGAGTGAGAGGAAGGGAGAGGGATAGAAAGCTAGAAACATAGATGAGAAACATCCATCAGCTGCCTCCTCACACCCCCTACTGGGGATGGAGCTCAAAATCCGGGCATGTGCCCTGACCAGGAATCGAACCTCAATCTCCTGGATCTTAGGTCAATGCTCAACCACTGAACCACACCGGCCAGGCTCAGCTAGGCTCTTAATCTTCTTGGATAAGCCCCTCCACTGTCATGTCACCTGGGATATGGTGATCTAGTGCTATGGATATTGGGCCAGTAAATATCCTCTAAATAGAACATAGGGGAGCAGCAAGGGTAGGAAATCAGAGGTCTCTCTCCAAAATAATCCTCTTCTGTTCTCATCAACAAACACACACATAATATCCTTCTTGATGTTTAAAGCCCATTTATATCTCTAGTAATAGTCTTTGACCACTATCAAGTTGTTCGTTCTTCGCTTTTGTCTTGGCCATATTTGCAAATATTAGTCTCATTTATATATCTTTCCTATTTTATCAAGTATAGTTACTTTTATTTCTATTAATTTATTTTTTATCTTCAAGGCTATCTCCCTTCTACTGTATTAAGCAAAATTTAGCAAAATGCATGTTGACTTTAAAATGTTTTTTGCACAGTTTAGAATTATTTCCTCAAATTTATTAAATTAGGCAGGCTGATAATGTTATTCAGAGTCTCTATATTCTATTTATTTTTATATGGACCTTAAATACATAAAATGTTTGAAGTATTATACAACTGTAAATTTTTTTCAAGAGTTGTGTTTGTTATTTTGCAGTCCTAACTGGTCCTAGAAATGCCCAGGTACCCCAAATAAACTTAGTTAAAATGGATAATAGGACACAAAGTTGTCCACGCAATGCACTGTAGCAAGGCTTTTCTTAGGTCACATAACGATAATCGGGGAAAATGTTCCAAAGGCAGAGAGATGACTATTTTAGTTCTCTCTTTTGAGGAGAGAACTTCTCTCCAGCCTTGTCCCTACTCTGTTAATGTTCCTATTTTTACTTATTGGTCTTCACTTCTAGACTCCGTGGCATAAGCAATTTTAATTCCTTGGTTCTGCGAATGTCTTCTGAAGAGGAACTCACATTATCATCCGTGTGGCAGCAAATTGGTTACTGTGCACCAGCTGCTGCCTGCTGCAGGGATGCTGACAGCGCCAAGGTCTACTACCTCTATTTATTTTTGTAAATGGAGTGACATTTTCAGGTAGATACGTGTTAAACTCCACTTAGTCTCCTTCTGTTTCCTAAAGCTTTTTATGTCTAAAAAGGCAGTTATCAATTTGAAATCCTATAGGATTAAGCCATTAATGTGAACAGAAAAACCTAGTTTTGTGGAGACTACGCTGAATTAGAGGGTACCTGCCCAGTCAATGGAGATGACACTGCCTGGTTCCATCAACCATTCACCATCAAATACTGGCCAGCATCATAGCACTTTCTAATTTTTAAAGGGAAACAAAATCTCTGCATTGTTTAAAAGTAGGCATATAATCTAAAAATTTTAAACTACAGAGTGGGGAAAAGAAGTCATAAACAGCCCATTTTCTGCCGTTATGTAGCCTATGTTTAGAAAAATGTTATTCATAAATTTGTATCCACATACCCTAAGTAAAATGCTAGTAGGTCATATACAACTTGGAAGAGAACTAGTTTACTTCCCCAAAGTAGTTTCAGACGTATTTATATATCCAATAACATGAAGTAGGATTTCGCAAATGTGAAAAAAGGTGAAATTTGTTAATATTACATTTGCCACACTAAGGAAAATAATACGCACACTCTCTTTCTCTCCAGATCGTCTGGCTTTGAATAAAATAAGCAGCTTCCGGGCATTGACATTATGGCTTCTAGTGACTTGGTAATGGGGACTCTCTTCCTCTTCCAGACTGGAGTTGGGCTCCTAGGAAATTCCTCACTCCTTTATTTTTATATATTGACTTCACTCACTAAACATACTAGACCCATAGATCTAATACTCAGCCAGTTGGCCTTAGCCAACTCCGTGGTCCTTTTCTCTAAGGGAACCCCCCAGATACTGGTTGCTTTTCGTTTTGCATATCGCCTGGGAGAAGCTGAGTGTAAGGTTAGCCTTTATGCTCACAGAGTGGCCCGGGGTGTTTCTCTCTGCTCCACCTGCTTCCTGAGTGCCTTCCAGGCCATCACCATCTGCTCTGGTGGTTCCACGTGGGCAGAACTCAAGTGGAAAGCTCCTAAATTTGTCCAGCCCTCCTGTTCCCTCTGTTGGGTTCTTCATCTCCTGATAGCTATTATTGTGCCACTGAAAACGATTAATGCAGGGCATACTATAAACATTACCAGCAAGAACTTTGGATTGTGCTCTCAAACAGAGCCTGAGTCATCTGCGACCCCGTTCTATGCATTCCTGTTTTTCTTCCTTGATATTTTGTTTTTGGGACTCACGGGTTGGGCCAGTGGTTCCATAGTGATCTTCTTGCAAAGACACAAGCAGAGAGTCCAATACATTCACCACACCAGGCTCTCTCCGAGAGTATCCCCGGAGACCACAGCCACTCACACTATCCTGCTTCTGGTGACCTCATCTGTTTCCTTCTATTCTGTCTCCTCCATCTTATCACTTTACGTGACTTGCTTTGTCAACCCAAGCCTGCGACTGGTGAACATCACTACATTCCTGGCTTCTTTTTTTCCAGCTTTCAGCCCCTTTGTGCTCATCAGCTATAACAGACAACTCTTCAGAACTTACTTTGTCGGTTGCAGTAAAATGAAAATCTTCAAATAGCCCTTTTATGAACAGCTCTCATTCATTCAACACATTTTAAGCACTCAATATTCGATGACTGGGGCGGGGTGTCTCCCTGTAGACTCATCTGAAACTTATCCTGGTGATTTTTCAATGTGAGATTTCGTTCCTGTGACTTTAGTTTTCTAAACTCATTTCTTATTTTCTCTTTGAATATTGCCTTCCAATGCAGCAAATGAGGTTTCTTCTCCTGCAAAAACTGCACAACCCTCCTGGCCAGTGTGGCTCAGCAGTTAAGTGCCAACCTAGGATCCAGGAGATCGAGGTTCGATTTCCAGTCAGGGTACATGCCCGGGTTGTCAGCTCGATTCCCAGCAGGGGACCTGCAGGAGGCAGTGGATCAGCGACCCTCTCTCATCATTGATGTTTCTATCTCTCGATCCCTCTCCCTTCCTCTCTCTGAAATCAATAAAAGAAAAAAAGACATATAAAAATTTTTTTTTTCAAAAACAAAACACTATACAACCCAAGAAATTACCCTAATGAAATGAGCCTATCTAATAACCCTCATGGAAGACCCACTTGATAGCTGCTCTGCTACACATGATTTGAATTAGCATTTTAAGGTCTCATTCCTTAATCAGCTAATGACCAGCAGGCATCGAACTTTGAAGATGCATTTAGAAGGGCATCAGTGAAAATGTGGAGTAAGGGAAGGACTGAATATTTTATATAAAGGATTTGCTCTTAGTTATGCCTGTGAGAAACTAGCAATGAGATTGTATTTTTAGAAAAAGGATCCTTAACTTTAAGAGATACTAAGGTATTTATGAATGAAATATGTTGGATTTGCTTCAAAACACTATAGGATTGGGAGAAGTGGGTAGGGGTAGCGATAAAACCAAATTGCTTATAAATTGATAACTGTTGATGCTGGTGGTAGGTATATGAGGATTCATTATACTTTTCCATAACTATACATGTATATACATATATATTAAATATATCTTTATTGATTTCAGAGAGAGGGAGAGGGAGAGAGATAGAGGGAGTCATTGATTGGCTGCCTCCTGCACAACCCCCACTGGGGATCGAGCCCACAACCCGGGCATGTACCCTGACTGGGAATCGAACCTCAGTCTCCTGGATCCTAGGCCGATGCTTAACCACTGAGCCATGCCCGGCCAGGCAAGATATATTTTTAAAAGCCAATAAACAAATTCCCCTCCTCTCATGCAGTCCTCAAAATTGTTGCCCTAGCCGGTTTGGCTTAGTGGTTAGAGCGTAGGCCCACGGACTGTAAGGGTCCCAGGTTCAATTCTGACAAAGAGCACGTATCTCTGTTGCAGGCTCAATCCCTGGCCACGACGTGTGTGCGGGAGGCAACCAATCGATGTGTCTCTCGCATCAATGTTTCTCTCTCTCTCCTTTCCACTTTCTCTGAAAAGCAATGGGAAAAATATCCTCGGGTGAGGATTTTTAAAAAGATTGTTATGGTGGTTTTTTTTGTATTTTCTTCCATTTGAAATATAACTTAAATCTATGGGAAAAATATACTTTGGAGTATTGTTGGGATTGGAACTAATTTGTGTAGTTTGGGAAAGAACTGAATGTCACCAAATTTAAGTGTATACTCATAGGTTCAGGGCAACTTTTCCCATTTTTAATAGAGTTTCTATTAAGTTTTTCTTTAAGTATTGCATATTGCAACTATGATGTAACAAATTAACTTTTTCTTTCTTAACAGGTTGCTGCTGGTATTAGAAACTTTCACTTTTATTATTTAATATCTGGTTGCTACTGAATTCTGAATAATTCCAGTTGTTTTTATTTGGTGATCCCTTTTCTTAGAAAAACAAAAATATCAGAGGTACAATAAAATGTTTACTTTACCTATAATGATTATTTTTTCCTCAATGAAAAAACATTTATTGCTTTTATTATGACCTTGTATGGGAGCTCATTAAAAATTCAAGCAGGATCAGACTGACATCATGAAGATGGCAGAATAGGAAGTCCTGGCCCTAGTTCCTCCACAGAAACATGGATTTAACAATGGTACTTGGGCCGAAATACTTATGAAAGTTCCAGAACCCAGTTAAAAAGTTGCAAGCACAGTCCTGGACAGGTGGCTCATCCTGTACACCAAAAAAGGTTTCGAATTCAATACCAGGTCAGGGCACATGCCCGGTTTTCGGCTCGATCCCCAGTAGGAGGCGTGCATGAGGCAGTGGATCAATGACTCTCATTATTTATGTTTCTATTTCTCTCCCCCTCTCCCTTCTCTCTCGGAAATCAATAAAAACATTTTTTTTTAAGAAAAGTTATGCTGATTTGCACTTTTTCCCATAAAACATCTTTGATTCATTATAAAATATCTAAATATTATGGCAAATAAGTTGCCAATCTTTTTCTGCATCTTAAATTTGATGCTCCAAGAAGATGTAATAACACTATTTTGTAGGTAATAAAACCGTGGATTATTGCATTATCATCACTATATATTTCCTAGGCATATATAGTGGCTGGTAGTCAGATAATCAAACTAACACATACCAAGCTAGACAACACTGTACTGTTTTTCAATCCCAGCTGGACAGTGATCCACTTTCATAATCACCATGGTATGCACATAAAAGAAATGCATATAAAAAAAAAATCTCACAAATATTACGTCATCTCCAGTTACTGATATTACTAGAAACACACAATGTGACAGACCTCCTCACATCTCTGTCAGTCCCTACAGAGACCTTCGCACAAATCCCCATGGTCACAATATCCGTTCACAGTCAGTCATCACTATTGCTTTCCAACAGTGGCATATAACCTCCAACAAAAACTGCCTTACACATGAGGAGACAATGATTCACAACGGCAGAAACTATCCCATGAGTATAAACAACTCCACGCAGGGTCCCAGACAACCAGTCGGACCCACAATTTCACCCAGAGCAGCACAACCCATCCGTTCCACTACCAGACCCTGCCCCAGTCTCTCGCACCCAGGTACGCTCGCGGCCCGCTCAGGGTCATTCCCACGGACTTCACCCGGGATGCCTTGCTCACTGAGGCCTAAGTCCCTGATCACCCTCCATCCCCATTTTTGCCTGTTCTGGACTCCCGAATGCGTCCCTCAGCCTTCGCTGAGAACCTTTTAATTCGCCCTTAGCCGCGCCGAAGACGCCTGAGCTGCCCGGCTGGCCCCAGCAGGGAACCGCTCCCAGCAGCAAAGCCTAGCACTCCAGGACGGCTTCGGGCTAAGCGCCTTTGACGCTGGGCCGAGTTGCATCCTGGGAGCCTTCTGAAGGTCCCAGCTTCCGGGAATTGGCCTACTGTGGACTACGTTTCCCAGAAGCCTCCGGGCACATGTCTTTTCAGGAAGGGGCGAGTTTGCCTGTGAAGAGCCTTCAAAGCTTTGGTCTTTGGGTCGCTTTCCGGTGTCCCCAAGTTCTGGGACTCTGCGCGGTGAGTTGGTCGCGTCCCAGGAAGTAATCGGCGCCGGGTGAGGGTGGCAGGGCTCAGCGGAGTTCCCCGAAGCGGGACTGGAACGGGCAGCGAGGGTTGGGTGACACCGGGAGGCGCTGGAGGGGAGGAGGCCCGCATCGCGCACCAAGCGTGTCGTGTCCGGAGCCTCAAGCCTGAGCGTGCGCGAGCGGCTGAGAGGGACGGTGTGTGACAGGCAGCGAGACAGGGCCAGCTGTGTCTCGGCCCCCTGTCTTTATTTGTAGGCGTGGTTCGCTGTGGCTGTGTGCGCTAAGCTCCCTCTAGAGCCTAGACTCTCTTAGGGCCTGCCAAAGGCCAGTGACCCCAGGGAAGGCCCTGTACCGAACCCCAGACTGAACGGTTCAAGCAGGAGCGTCTAGTCCTGGGGTGGGAACTTTAGGTCTGGAAGTGTGCTCGCCACAGGCTCCTGGGCGGACGCGAGGCGAAGGTCTCAGGTGTTGGAAATGTTTCCACCGTGCTGCAAATAAGGACACAAGAAATCGAAAGTAACTGGGCGAGGCAAACGCCTTCAGCAGTAGCGTGCGCAGCCACCCAAAGCAAGCAAACGGCCCATGGGAGGAAGTCGTTGGGCTTTTATCCCTAAGGGGGTTCCCCTGCGCCTGCCCTATTGGTCAGGGCGAGGCTTCACAGTCTAAGCCCATTGGCTAATTTGGAAAGGGGCGGGCCCTTGGATTGGGCAATTGGGCACGTGTACTGAGTACAGAATCGGGGCCGCTGCGGTTAACTGGAGGCTGCGGAGGTGGGCATCTATTCAGTTTGGCCTCTTCTAAGCCCTTTGACAAAAAAGATTATTTCCTTCTTACACAGGTAGGGTTCCTAGAAGAGGCACCTCTCCTTGCTCCTTGGGGGCCAGCCGCGGGCTTCAGAGCCACGACAACCACACCTCAGTCCCCAAGAATTGCTGTCGACTCAGAGATAAGAGTCCAGCCTCCCTTTGAATTCGATTTGGTTGTATGTGGATGAAGGCAGATGTGGCCTTTTTGGTTCTGTTTTTCTTTTTTAGTTAAGTCTGTCTGCTCCAAAAAACACTAGTGTCTCATGATTCCTCTTTCCCCTCCCGCTGCTGTCGGGTTTCTAAGAAGGACCCCGAGGAGGAGGAAAGAATAGTTGCCTGTTTGGAAATCGAAGTTCAGGTGAGTTTGTGTTTCTTTTCTATTCGTACAATTGCTTTTGCTTTTAGATCACGAGAATATTTGCTTTCCTTAGCCTGAAATATCTTGACTAGAAGTGTCTATCGTGGGTCTTCCCTCTGGTGAGTGACCCACCACGCTGATGCATCCCCCTTCCCAGTGGTCCCATATTGCCCTTTTCGTCAATTAATAGCCAACTGTTCATGTGGCAAATTGTTCAATTCCTTCAGGGCATTCTCCCTTTCTGAGTGTTCTCCTGGTATCGAAATACACCTCCTGGAGTCAGGGTACATGCTCCATGCGTGGTGTGCAGGAGGCAGCCGATCAGTGACTCTCTCATCATTGATGTTTTTGTCTCTCCCTCTCCCTTTGTCCCTCTGAAATTTTTTTAAAAAAAAAGAAAGAATAAAGGAAATACACCTCCTGGAGATTACTGTTAGAGCTTTATTTTAGATTATGATTACTTGGGGAGATTAATATTTAGATAGTATGGTGTACAACCTATTTTTTATCTTCTCTACAGTCATGATTTTTAAAGCTCAAAACAAGATAGGAGAGAATTGATAGTTTCAGTTAATAATTTCAGTGTTGCGATGCTTTTAGGAGCAGTAATGTGCTTGAGCTTTGAGCATAGGGCTTTGCAGTGTGCGCCAACAAGGGCAGAGACTTTCATATAATCTTTTCATAGAAATCTGTAACACTGCTAAGCACAAGTTGTTTCAGGTCCAACTCTGTGTAGGTTGTGAGAGGCAGGCAGTACTGTGTTGCGGTTAAGAATGTGGCTCTGGATCTAGAGCATCTGGATTCAAATCCTGGCTCTGCCTTTTCCCAGCTGGATGAGCTTAGACAAATGATTCAGGCTCTCCTTGCCACATTGACAAAATCAGGACAAAATAATACCTACTGAATGGGATTGTAATGATGTGTTAACATATGTAAAGCTCCTTAGAACAGTACCTGCCCTATGATACAGGCTTGGTAGATATTAAGACTTGCTATTATGTGGTGATTCTGGATCTTTCCCCATCAACTTTTTATAGATCAACATATGAAGAGAAATATGAAGATGATTGTGATGGGTGCTTGCAAGTTTAAAAAAGTGACCAAATGCTCAAATGGGTTAGTATAGGAAATCTTTACCTCAGGTCTTCTTATTCCAAGTGACCACAAACCCCTTGAAATTGAGACAGAGTTTTGGTAAATATTTGTAAAGTCATTTTATAAAGTGGGCAAAATGTATATGTTACTGAAATTATCAAGTGCACATAACTTCAAAAAGATCTAGCTCCATTGGTCTGGAATAAAAAGATATAACAACTGGGAAGGAGCTTGTAGAAAATTAGTGTCCAGTGATAGGGAAACAGGTAAATTGTAGCATTTCCTGTGGTAGAATAATATTCACTTAATAAAAATTTTGTTTATAAAGAATCAAAAGAAGGAAAAATGTAAATGATAATATTAAGCAAAAGTTATAGTTATGAACAAAAGTACTCACAAATGTTAGGAGCTCTGTATGAATCCCATTAGAAAAGACAGGGTTTGAAAAGACATTTTTCAAGGATCATATCCAAAATGTTGTTTTCATTGGCCATTCAGTGAAGAAGTAGAAAGGTGTAGCCACACTTGTCCAGCATCTACTCTTTACCAAATACATACGTTTTTGTTGAGTTTCTGTTTATGCGTATATATTTCCTTCCTCAGACTTTGAAGGTGACTTACATAACTTGTGTTCACTCATGGGGGAATCTTTTTTTTGTTTTGTTAATCCTCACCTGAGGATATTTTTTCCATTGCTTTTCAGAGGGAATGGAGGGGAGAAAGGGAGGGAGGGAGATACATCAATTGGTTACCTCCCACATGCACCCCGAGCGGGGCAGGGAGAACCTACAACTCAGGTATGTGCCCTTGACTGGGAATCAAACCTGAGAAGCAGGATCAGAACCTCTCAATATACCCACGAGATTTCTTTGGGAGTTTCAGCCATTGTTTTCTAGGTAGGACAAACATAGAAATCATATAGTTAGTATAATGCATGGCTGTCATTACAGTAATTATGCAGAATATCTAAACAAAAAGATCATTATGACCATAATACATTATTATATATGGCTATATAACTTTCCAAACATTTTTCATCTGTTGATGTCTGATCCTCAGCCTTTCTATGTTGCTATATACATACCACTTAAAAATGTAGTTATACTATATATATCATATAACCTCTTTTTTCTGTTGACAGTAGATCTTGATTATTTCCTCCAACTTAGCAAAGTTTCATAGTATTCCACTGCATGGATGTTCTGAATGCATTAAGTCAGATTTTGGGCACAGGCTATTGCCCGAGGAATTGTTTGTACATCCTGTCTGCTCCTATGTCTTGACCAATTTTCCAAAGTCCTGAGCCCATGAAGAATGCTCTAGTCTTGGACCATGTGGACCATTCTCAGTCCTGACAGGTGGGAATGGAGGGCAAAGGATCTGACCTGGGGACGACTGAGTAGTCCAATTTCAAGCTCATAGCAACATCCCCAGAACTGGGTGGTGAAAGAAACCTTTCTGCTGAAGGACCGGGGGGTTTTGGGTGAGTGTTTGGATTCCAGGTGTATGGGGCGTGGATTAGCTTGAGTCATGATGGCATCAATTAAACGTGATCTAAAGATTCCTTTTCCTTCCCCAGCTCTGGCTTTTCTGGACTCTGCTTCTACAATAGAGGAACCCCACAGAGCACTACTTAGTTCTTGCAATTATAGAACCATGGCTGATGTAAGTTGATATTTCTCTCTCCTTGAAATACAGTGATTTTTAGTTCATGAGAACCTTTTCCTTAATTATGCTAAAGCTTTCTACCTAATAGAACCCCATCCCTGAACCTGCTTCTCAGAGCCCTCCCGACGTACCCTTTCCAGTCGGTGTCATATTTGTTGAACACGTCATTCCACATCTCCTGCAAGCTCAGTCTTCTGTCAAGAACAGTAAAGGAATGGAGTCTTTTGTGGGAAGTACTTGAGCTTCTGTCAAAGAGTTGCTCAAAGAAACAAGTTAACCATTAGCACTTTTACTCCTATACAAGGAAAACCAATGATGGATTGATTTTATCTATCAAAGCACAGACAGGGTTTATATAAGACAAGGAGGAAAGAGGAGAGACTGAAAGACTAGAGATTTTGGAAATGACAGATTCCACTTTTCTGGCCAAGGTGCTGATTGGCAGGAGCTAGGAAAGAAGCCAGTTGGAGTCCTGTTCCCTGAGATGGCTGGATGGCCACATAGCAGGCAGTTTCAGTTGTGTATTCTCTGGAAGAGCTTTGGTGTTTCGCTGTGGCATGTCCATGGCAGGCTGTCTTGGTCGTGCCCTTTGTTATCACCTCCATCTTCGTGGCACCAGGGCTGTAGCATTTCCCTTCTCAGAATCTCTCATTCCCTTGTCAAGTCTGTGGTATGAGGAGTTAGTGATGAGGGTCCCGTTGGATTACATGGGAAAGCTTGGAACTTCTTCACAAACCTGAGTTTTCCAGAAGGTTCAGGTGGAATTTGGGACTTTTTGTTCTCAGCCTAAGTCTGTGTGCGATCATATGCTTTGCGAGGCTTTCAGGATTACAGGGAGAGTGAGGGGTTCTTTCCAGGAATTCCCTAATTGATGAACATGTGCCAAAGTCCATTTTGTCATTGACCAGGACATGCAGTCTTCGGCAACATTTGTTATGTGCAGTGTCCTATATCATTGTCCTCCAACTTGGGGACAAGGAAGGTGTTAAGCAGCGGGTGGTTGATGTAACAAGCAGGTGATCCAGATTCTTAAGTACGATTACAAGGATTAAGGAAATCTTTAGAAATTTTGTTCAACCTACGTGTGTAAATATAAGAGTTATTAATCTCATATGGCCAAATGATAAACTGAATTGTAGCTAATAAAACATTTTATGTATTCATCATCATAAGACACAATTCTTAGAATGTAATCTAACAGAATGATTTACTTGAGGTTTAATGATAATCCTTAATGGAAGTTGTTTTTCTGAAGTAGAGATTTTGTAGTTCCTTTGGAGAAAATGTTTTCATTTTTGTTTTCCGTATTCCTAAAGGTAAGAGGTGGCATAGCAGTTCACATTTATAAAGGATTTCTGAGGCGGGCACAGAGCAGGGGATGTGTGTATATACACCAGTAAACTCTCTTTCTCCCCTGCACTTTTTCTTCAATAGAAGAGAAACTGGGATTTTTAAAATATATTAGCAGACAGTTCTGGAGAACTGAGTTATCTCACAGTATCCAGGAAGTTTTTTCTGCTGTCACAGGATTCTTCCAGAACATGTAGACACTCTGCTTTAGTCATACTAATTTCCTTACTTTTTCCTACCTGTATGTATCACAGGCTTCCAGCCCAACAATAAAAATTGTTATATTTTCCCCTTCTTGCGGTTTATCCTTCACAACCTCTTTTTTCCTCTTGGAAATATTTTCTTAAATTCTTTAATTTCATAAGTAACTTGAGGATTTTTGGTTTTAGGGGTTGGTGACTTTCAGGGATGTGGCCATCGACTTCTCTCAGGAGGAATGGGAGTACCTGGACCCTGCTCAGAGGGACTTGTATGTGGATGTGATGTTGGAGAACTATAATAACTTGATCTCACTGGGTAAGGTCATCTGCCTGAAATCATTTAGAACCTCCTCTCTGCGACATCAGCTTTCTTCACTGGGAATTACAGGGCTATCTTTGAACAAACCAGGTGGATTTTTTCTTCCCGTTCTCAAAGGAATGTTTTGATAATTGTTGGGTTAGAAATGGGTTCATTGAGCACTTTGATCTTCCCACCCCTCAGTGAGCTTCAAACTTTCCTGTGACCCTTCCTGCAATGAATGACCTCTCTTCTTTAATGACCAAGGAGTTGGATTTATATTATGGGGCATTTATTTCATTGTCAGAGAAACCAGATTTCATACTGTGTTTAACGTCAACATTTCTATAAATGATCTGTGTCCTTGCTACTCAAAGTGTGGTCTTTTTGTTTGAGGAACCGTAAGAAGGCCAGAGCAAAGTAGTGGAGGAGAGAGTATCAAGAATTAGTGAGGAGACAGGCAAGGCCCAGATAATAGCCAGTTTTGTTGGTTTGCGGGGAGAATGTAGGCTGTTTCCTCAGTGATTGGAAGCCATGACTTGGTTTATATGGGGTTTTAACTTTTTTATTGTTAAGCATTACGTAAATAAGTAACATCAGCTTCTCTGGGGCTGGTTAGAAATGCAGCTTGTCAGGTCCTACCCCAGACCTGCAGACAGAATCAGCATTTACACAAGATCCCCAGGTGATTTTTATGAACATTAAAGAAGCACTGCTCTTTGTTCTTTTCTGACCCATACACAGGTAGTATACCTAGGGTGGGGACCAGGGTCCTGATACACTCTAACTTTCAAAAGAGCCTCTTCACTTTAGATAGGGCTGGATTAAATGAACAGAATTCATTTCTTACTAAGTAAATGCATTCCTTTACTTACAACAAATTTAGAGTAAAAATTTACAATTTGAGCACAACAAATTTAGAGTAAAAATTTACAATTTGAGCTAACTCCTAAAAACATCTCATGAAACTTTGTTTTCCTCTTAGCAAAGTAACAGCAGTAACAATAACATTAACAGTTCACACTGCACTTACTATAAACCAGGCTTTGTTCTAAGAAGAACACATATATTAACCTATTTAACTTTCACAGCGTCCCTGTGAGGTAGGTGCTATTTTATTTTTATTTTTTTTATATGTTTTTATTTTTTAGAGAGAGAGAGAAACATTGATGTGAGAGAAACATCAATCGATTGCCTCCCACATGCACTCCAACTGGGGATCAAACCTGCAACCTGGGCATGTGCACTGACCAGAAATCAAACTGGCGACCTTTCGGTGCATGGGACGACACTCAACCAACTGAGCAACACCAGCCAGGACACAGGTAGGTACTATTTTTATCTGAGGCATATATAGTTTAAGTGACTTCCCAAGGTCACACAGCTGGTGGGAGGCAGTGGCAGTGATTGGACATAGGAAGTCTGGCTCCAGAGTCTGGATTCTGTTTGCTCTAAAGAGGTGCAGTCTGGATGAGTTTCAGACATGATCATTTTCCTATCTATGTGATGTCATGGTCTTTATTCCCATCGTCCTTCTCTTCTCTGAAGTCTTTATCAACGTCATTTTACCTTTACTTTATTGACAATTATCTTAGCATAGTCAGGTGTGGCGACATTATTGGAGCAAGGAGGAGAGTCCTGGAAGGTTGTGAGGGGAGGACCAAGAGAGTGGAATCCAGGAAGGCAAAGGAAGGAGGGAACCAACATTGTAGGAAACAACCTCGCAGGTCACAGAAGAGAAGCAGGAACATCTGGGGTGGTGTTTGGAAAGATCCCTACAGAGGTCCAAGGCCTGCAGAGTGAAGGCCTGACACCTGGCAGGAAATGGAGGTCTCATTTTGGGCTAGAAAAGGAACTTCATCTTGATCTCATTTCCCACACTCCTTGTTTTTCTTCTCACATTCCCCTCCCATTTCAGTGAGGAAGATTTTTTTTTTTTTTTGGAAGATTTTTTTTTTGTTTCCAGTGTAACCATTTTGCTTATATGTTCGATTCATCTGCTTTCTAGATCTTTTGCATTTCTCTCTGTGTGTGAGTAAATATATGCATTCATTCATAAATTCTGCAAATATTTTTGTTGTGTTTTTTTTGGTTAATTCTCACCTGAGGATATTTTTTCCATTGATTAGAGAGTAGAAGGGAGTGCGGAAAGAGAGGGATACATTGATGTGAGAGAGACACATCGATTGGTTGCCCCCCACATGCACCCTGACTGGGGTTGGGGATCAAAACTGCAACCCAGGTACCTGCCCTTGACCCGGAATCGAACCCATGACCCTTAGGTGCACAGGCCATCACTCTAACTATGAAGCCACACCATCCAGGGCTGCAAATATTTTGAGTGCCTACTTCCAGCCAGGCATTGTACCATCATGAACAAGATTGATAACTTGCCTATTCTCTTGCAGTTTGTGTAGTCAGGGAGAAATATAAAACAAGTAAGTAACTAAATAAATAAATAAAATCTTGTAATGGAACATGCTGTTTAGGAAAAATAAAGGACATAAGAGAATAGAAAATAATGGGAATTGATAGGGCTAACTGATAAAGTGTTCAGGGAAAGCTTTCCTGAGTAGACACATGAAGTGGGATCAAATTATATGACTGTATGGGGGAGGAATATATCAATCACCGTCAACAGCAAGTGCAAAGGCCCTGTGGTTGGAAAGGAACTTTACTGGAGGACCTGTAAGGCCAGAGCAGAGTTAGCAGTGGAGTGTGTACTAAGCAATTAGTCAGGCCTGGCCGGGCGTGGCTCAGTGGTTGAGCATCGACCTAGGATCCAGGCTATCAGGGTTCGATTCCTGGTCAGAGCACATGCCCAGGTTGTGGGCTCGATCAATGACTCTCTCATCATTGATGTTTCTATCTGTCTCTCTCCCTCTCCTTTCCTCTCTCTAAAATCAATAAAGATTTTTTTTTTTTTTTTTTTAAAAAGGAAATTAGGAGATACGCAAGGGTCAGATAATACACAGTTTTGCCATTGTTGTTTTAGGAATTTGGATTGTTTAGTCTCTTTCACTCTGGAACAGTTCCTACATCTTTCCTTGACTTGCATTCCTTGCTGCTTCTGAAGATTACAGGTCAGTTGTTTTGTACAGTGCTCCTCAGTGTGGGTTTGTCTGCTCTTTCCTCATGATTAGATTTAGGTTATGCATTTTTTGACAGAAATATCACAGAATTCATGCTGCATTTTCCTTGCATCCTGTCAAGTTGTGCAAATGATTTGTCAATACTGTTGATGCTTCCTTTGTGCGATTAAGATCATATCTGCCAGCTTCCTCCCTATAAAGTTAATCTTTTTTCCTTTAATGAGTATTTTGTGAGAAGGAACTTTGAGACTATTCAGTATTGTATTCCCCTTCAAACTTTCAGTTTATTTATGTGTTGGATTTCTAGTCAGTGGGTTGTCATCTATTTTTCCTATTATTTATTAGTGAAGCTTAAAATTTGAACTTGTTCCATATTTAACCACTGGGAACCCTGTCATGGTGGCTTCTGGTCCTTTGGCATGTCTCCACCTAAGCACTTCCTTATTTTCTGACACAACATGTTTCAGGCTCATCTTGCACTTTCCCTGTTCCAGCCTTAATATCAGCCATTTCTTCCAGGTGCTCTGGTTCCTTTTTGTCCATGGTATTTAGAAGCCAAAATCTGGGTACTAGGTTTGCTCATTGCTGCTGAGGGGTGGCTGCTCCCAGACCCTCTCAGTGGATGGTACTAGCAAATATACTTATATACTACATACGTACATGTACATGCACACACATTTACATCAATATATTGAAAACCTTGAGTTCACACAGACATCTCCAATTCCAACTCAACACTAAAAACATTCAAGTACCAAATAATTATAATGCAAGCCCTTATATGGCAATTCAAATTTATTGAATTATTTTTTGATGCTAAGTTGTACAAAACTGTGCTTCAAGCATGGAGCTGAGCTAGGACTAACTTTAATTAATTTTAGTTCATTTCTTGTTTCAAATTAGATTTTAAAAATCTTTCTTTGCTCTAAACTTCCCACATGGCCACTGATGGGCTAACCTCTTTTAGTGTATCAGGATTTGAGCTGGGTGGTTGTATTACAGCTTTAGTTAGTTTTGTTTCACTTCTTGTTTGACATCCATTAGAGCCTTGGAACTAAATAACTGATCAAACTGCAAGATGTTGTCTGCTTTTTAGCCCAACACCAACCACTCAAAAATTCCTGTGAAGGAGAATTATTTGGCTTAATGAAGTTGTTTTCTAATGTGGAGATTTTCTAGATTCCAGTTCATCATGACAGTCATTAAAAGTTCAGCTGGAATCACACCTGGGCACAGAAGAGCTTGATTGATGCAAGGGTACATTTTGGTTTAAGGGACCATCTACACAGCAAGATGAGGGACTTGTTAAAGTGATCTTTGTTGAATCCTCCAGAAAATCGTCAAATCAGAACAGTAGGGTCACAAGAGTTGAAAAATCAAAATTGAATTTGATGAGGAGAGACTTGTTGCTTAGGAGTTCAGTAAGTCTAATCTAACTTACTTAGGGGTATTATTTTCAATTCATCTTTTATTTTTACTTTGGAGGACATTTTTCTGGTAGAGGAAATAAAATGTGTGGTTTTCTTGTTTTCTTTCAGATTTGGAGTCAACATATGAGACCAAAAATACCTTTTCAGGAAAGAACATTTCTGAAATAAATTTTTCCCAATGGGAGGTAAAGGAAAGAAGTAAAACCCTTGGTCTTGAGGCATCCATGATCAAAAATGATTGGAAGTGCAAAAGCAAATTTGAGGGACTACAGGAACATCCAGAGGAATGCTTCAGTCAAATGATAATCAGCTATGAAAAAATGCCCACTTACAAAAAAAGTAAATCTCTTATTGCACATCAAAGTATTCATAATCCAGAGAAACCCTATATTTGTAAGGAATGTGGGAAGACGTGTAGTCATGGTTCAGAACTCGTTCAACATGAGAGAACTCAAACAGCTGAAAAACACTTTGAATGTGAAGAATGTGGAAAAGACTTTTTTAGTGCCTGTCAACTCACTGTGCACCAGAGATTTCATACTGGTGAGAAACCCTACAAATGCAAGGAATGTGGGAAGACTTTTAGTTGGGGATCAAGTCTTATTAAACATAAGAGAGTCCATACTGGTGAGAAGCCCTATGAATGTAAAGAATGTGGGAAGACCTTTAGTCGTGGCTATCATCTTACTCAACATCAGAAAATTCATATTGGTGTGAAATCTTATGAATGTAAGGAATGTGGGAAGGCCTTTTTTTGGGGCTCAAGCCTTGCTAAACATAAGATAATTCATTCAGGTGAGAAACCTTATAAATGTAAAGAATGTGGGAAGGCATTTAGTTGTGGCTATCAACTTACTCAGCATCAGAAAATCCACACTGGTAAGAAACCTTATAAATGTAAAGTATGTGGGAAGGCTTTTTGTTGGGGTTATCAGCTTACTCGACATCACATAATTCATACTGGCAAGAAACCCTACAAATGTGAGGAATGTGGGAAGAGCTTTAATTGTGGTTCAAGTCTTGTTCAACATGAGAGAATTCATACTGGTGAGAAACCCTATGAATGTAAAGATTGTGGGAAGGCTTTTAGTCGTGGCTATCACCTTACTCAACATCAGAAAATTCATACTGGTGAGAAACCTTTTGAATGTAAGGAATGTGGGAAAGCCTTTAGTTGGGGTTCAAGCCTTGTTAAACATGAGAGAGTTCATACTGGTGAGAAATCCTATGAATGTAAGGACTGTGGGAAGGCCTTTGGTAGTGGGTATCAACTTACTCGACATCAGATATTTCATACTGGAGAAAAACCCTATGAATGTAAGGAATGTGGGAAGGCCTTTAAGTGTGGTTCAAGTCTTGTTCAACATGAGAGAATTCATACTGGTGAGAAACCCTATGAATGTAAAGATTGTGGGAAGGCTTTTAGTCGTGGCTATCACCTTACTCAACATCAGAAAATTCATACTGGTGAGAAACCTTTTGAATGTAAGGAATGTGGGAAAGCCTTTAGTTGGGGTTCAAGCCTTGTTAAACATGAGAGAGTTCATACTGGTGAGAAATCCTATGAATGTAAGGACTGTGGGAAGGCCTTTGGTAGTGGGTATCAACTTACTCGACATCAGATATTTCATACTGGAGAAAAACCCTATGAATGTAAGGAATGTGGGAAGGCCTTTAAGTGTGGTTCAAGTCTTGTTCAACATGAGAGAATTCATACTGGTGAGAAACCCTATGAATGTAAAGATTGTGGGAAGGCTTTTAGTCGTGGCTATCACCTTACTCAACATCAGAAAATTCATACTGGTGAGAAACCTTTTGAATGTAAGGAATGTGGGAAAGCCTTTAGTTGGGGTTCAAGCCTTGTTAAACATGAGAGAGTTCATACTGGTGAGAAATCCTATGAATGTAAGGACTGTGGGAAGGCCTTTGGTAGTGGGTATCAACTTACTCGACATCAGATATTTCATACTGGAGAAAAACCCTATGAATGTAAGGAATGTGGGAAGGCCTTTAAGTGTAGTTCAAGTCTTGTTCAACATGAGAGAATTCATACTGGTGAGAAACCCTATGAATGTAAAGATTGTGGGAAGGCTTTTAGTCGTGGCTATCACCTTACTAAACATCAGACAATTCATACTGGTGAGAAACCTTTTGAATGTAAGGAATGTGGGAAAGCCTTTAGTTGGGGTTCAAGCCTTGTTAAACACGAGAGAGCTCATAGTGTTGAGAAATCCTATGAATGTAAGGACTGTGGGAAGGCCTTTGGTAGTGGGTATCAACTTATTCGACATCAGATATTTCATACTGGAGAAACAACCTATGAATGTCAGGAATGTGGGAAGGCCTTTAAGTGTGGTTCAAGTCTTGTTCAACATGAGAGAATTCATACTGGTGAGAAACCCTATCAATGTAAAGATTGTGGAAAGACTTTTAGTCGTGGCTATCACCTTACTCAACATCAGACAATTCATACTGGTGAGAAACCTTTTAAATGTAACAAATGTGGGAAGACCTTCAGTTGGAGTTCAAGCCTTGTTAAACATGAGAGAGCTCATACTGTTGAGAAATCCTATGAATCTAAAGAATGTGGGAAGGTCTTTGGTAGTGGATATCAATTTAGTGTTAATCAGAGATTTCATATTGGTAGGAAACATTATCAATGTAAGGAATTTGGGAAGACTTACTCATGACTCAAGCCTTGTTCAACATTATAGAACTCATAGTAATGATAAACCCTGTGAATGTAAAGAATGGAGAAGCCTTTATATGGACAACTTACTCAACTGGAACGATATTGGTGAAACTTTATGATTGAAGAGATATGAAAACATTTTTTTGTGTATGGATAAGAAGAGAAATCTTATTCTGAAGAAAACTTATGAATGTAGGTAATGTGCAAAAGCCTCACCTGTGTATGGACAATTTGCTTGATATCAGGAAATTCATTCTAGTAATATTTTTAATATAAGGAATATGAAAAGGCCTTTAGAATTTTTTTTATTAAACATCAATTTATACTGATTTGAAACCATTTAAATGAAAGGAGTGTATCTTTGTTCATTACATAGAGTCTGATAAGCTTTGCAGAATTTATACTTACTAGAAACACTTTAAGGAATGTGGGAAGAACCTAAATTCAATTCAGTTCTTGCTCTGCACATCAGACTTTAAACGGCTGTGAAATCCTATGAATGTAAGGAATGCAGAAAGGATTATAGATGTGGTAAGCATCTTAGAATACATCAGAGAATTCATCCAAATGAGGAACCCTTTGGATTAGAATGTAGGAACAATTTTAGATAAGTGCTACTCAAACTGTTGTCTGGAGACTAGTGCCAGTCCACAAATTTGTTACCTGTCCATTATGAGATAAATGCATCTTCGCCCCTCCTACCAGTCTCTGTGTGGTTTCTTTTTATCCTTAGTCATAGACTTTTGTTCAGCTAGGTTTCAGGCAGTTCTCAATGATGCTTGTATAGTTTAGTTGTAACTTTAATGTGGGAGAATTTGAGTACTGCACTTACCTATGCTGCCATCTTGACCATAAGGCCTGGGATAACTTTATGAGTGTTATTATAAAGCCAATCTTAACTGCAGAGAAAATAAGAAATGAACCCACATTTTCTATGTCCATGTTCAGAGTCAGATGTGTCTGTGATTTTATATATTCTTCATTCCTGTGACAAAGGTGTTGTGGCCCCCAATTTAAAGAAAAGTTTTAAAAGGTTGGAAGGTTTAATTATGGGGAATAGAACAGTTCTGGCAAATGTAAGAGTGGGAAAGGATGGAGAGGTAGATTCAAAAGCCCAAGAAGAAAAAGGAAGGGGAAGAGAATAACTCAAAATATAGTAAAAACGGGACATATCACCACCATCACTGGAGTCATCAACTCTCTAATCTTGAGATTAAATTAAAGGCTTATTAAGATTCCTGTCAGAGGGAAGGAGGGTGGGGGACTGGATGAAAAAACGTGAAGGAATTACCCAAAAAACATACATAACACATAGACACAGAATACAGTGTGGTGAAAGCCAGAGAAAGGGGGGTGGGGGCTAGGTCGAGGTGGGCAAAGAAGGGGGAAACGTGGATAGAAAGGGACTTAGGAACAATGGGCATGTGATGCAGTGTGCAGATAATGTTTTATTGAGCTGTACATTTGAAACCAGTATGGTTTTGCAAACGAATATCACCCCAATAAATTCAAATAAGTATGCCTAAATAAAACCTTTAAGCAAATTAAAGAAATAATGAAAAAAGATTCCTGGGGCCACAAAGCCACTTTTTATGACAATTTAAAATGGAGAAAAAGATTCATATACCAGCAGACCTCTGACCTGGATGATGAGCCTGTCATTGCCAGGGCTTGTGCCTGAGGGTGTGAGTTATAGTTTGGGAGCACCATGATCTCATTTCCCCCCAGTGCACCCACTATGATGTCACTGGTAGCAATGACAGTCTTCAAGGAGAATTGAGAATATCTCAGAAACTTGGCTCAGGAAAAATAGTAACAAGCAATTACCGACTAGTGCTTAATGAGAAAACCCAGAGAGACCAATGTACTTTGTAGAGAAACATTCCTGTGATATGGGGAAGCAGCCACTGTCTCAAGAGGGGGTTTCAATGGCTTGTGTGCAGAACCTGTGGAAGTACAGTGTCAGCAACTAACTCCCATGTGCTTGTGCTGACACTTTCATCTGCCACTTTTCTTCTGACTCCACAATCTACTCACCTCACCCCCCTGATTACACTGGTCTATGTTTACCGTCTGACAGCTGAGGCCAACTTAGTTTTTCAGCAGCCAGGGATTCGCTTTACTTATTAGCCCCACAGGGGCCTCTTGTTTCCCCATGCTGAAAGAGATTGCTTTTAAAAAGTCCAGCCTGATATCTAAGTGATACACCAAACTTGGACCAATAGAGTCTCTTATCTGCCAGGCATTTTTCTCTGTACTAAGTCTAAAGCAGGATTTGGCAAGTACTTTTTTTCCGTAAATGCCAGTCAGTATTTTAAGAATTCGTGCATTACAGGGTCTCTGGCACAACTACTGAACTCTGAGGCTGTGGTATGAAAGAAGCCAAATTATGAAATCCATAATTTTCAACTGTCACAAAGTAGTATTTGTTTTTTTATTTTTTCCAACCATTAAAATAATGTAAAAGCGATTCTTGCTCTTTTCTTATTGGCCAGAGCCATATACAAATAGGTGGTGGGTTGGATTTGGCCTGTGAGCTCTAGTTTTCTGACGAATAGATGATTAACCAGTCAAAATTCTTGCCATAAGAATCCGGGCATTTTATTTGACTGATGGAAACCTACATAGAATAATCCAAATATAAATAAACATAATATTACACACTGTGATGAGTAACAAGGAAGAAGAGGCATTTTTTTAGAACAAAAAACCTCAAAATTTTGATGGGGAAATAAGAAATATTAGCTTAGTTTTAGAAATTTTCTTAGGATATTAAGACTAAAAATTTTATTTTATTAAAAATGAAAAATCTTCAATTAAGCTGCCAAACCACTGCCCATAGAATACAAGATCTTTCTAACACATAAAAGGTTTCACAATCAGAAAAGCTGCAAATACTCTTCTTTAGTTTTAGATGAGTTGTACAATATGAGATATTGTTCAATTAATACTCTGGGACCCCACCAGGCGTGGCTCAGCGGTTGAGCGTCGACCCAGGATCCAGGCGATCAGGGTTTGATTCCCGGTCAGGGCACAGGCCCGGGTTGTGGGCTCGATCCTCAGTCAGGGGCGTGCAGGAGGCAGCTAATCAATGCCTCTCTCATCATTGATGTTTCCCTCTCTCTCCCCCCTCTCCCTTCCTCTCTCTGAGATAAAGATTAAAAAAAGAAAAGAAAATAGGAGTTTGAAGAGATATATGCACTTCCATGTTTACTGCAGCATTATTCACAATAGCTAAGATAAGGAAACAACCTAGGTGTCCATCAGCAGATGAATGGATAAAGAATTTGTGGCATATATACAGTGGAATATTACTAGGACATAAAAAGAAAGAAATGCTGCCATTTGCAACAGCATGGATGGATCTCGAGGGCATTATGTTAAATGAGATGTCAGGCAGAGAAAGATAAATACTGTATGATATCATTTGTCTGTGGAATCTAAAAAAGGTGAACTGGTAAAAGCAGAGAGAAGAATGATGGTTACCAGAAGCTGGGGGTTAGGGGAATTGGGTATACGTTAAGGGTACACATTTAGAGCTAGTAGATAAGTAAGTCCTGGAGAGATAATCCACAACATAGTGGTGATAGTCAGCAACATTGTATTATAAACGTAAAAGTTGCTAAGAGACTAGATCTTTATTGTTTCCACCACAAAAAGGAAATAAAAATTAGGTGAGGTGATAGAAGTTTTAACTATAGCTAAGTCGGTAATCATATTGCAATATATAAATGTATCAAATCAACGTGTTGTTTATCTTACACGTTATAGGCCTATTGTATTTCAATAAAAAGAGCAAGAATTATGTGATGTGATTCCTTAGTTTGAACTCAAAGCAGAATTTTATTCAAGATATATAGGGGAAAACGCTATGCGATACTATGTTTTCTCTAATTTCCTGCCAATGCAAGAAGACTAAAGCGAAGGAATAGCGGAGAATTTTGCTGCTTCTGTTCACATCCCGCCTGGCGGTTGCATCTCCTTTTCTGGGCTCTTGGTCACAGGTGAATCCCGCTCCATGTAATGAAGGCGGCTTGTGAAGCGCAGTCATCCAGTCCCTTTTGTTACCTCTATTTTTAGCTCACATATGGCACGCCTTTATTACTACTTTGCACTTATTTTTCATATTTTCAAATTCTGTTACTCGTAAAAGGGAACAATGAGAAAAAGAAAACTAAAGCGGAGTTCTACAGGCACCGGGTAATTTGTTTGCACTCCGCCTGCCGGTTCAAACGGAAAATTTCAGCTGGTGGGAGGCTGGCCCTGCAGAGGATTCTGGGATGTGTAGTCCAGACGCCTCCCGTGACTGGAGCACTTCCGCTCGGAGAAAGCGCGGATGTGCATTACTGGCTCCGGCAGGGAGTTAGGGGCGTAGAGTCAGCTGTTATGCATGTATGGAGGCATTTCGGCTACCAGAGGGCGAGGGTACGAATCCAGCTTCTTTCGTGGACTTGGGGCAATTGCAGTCAGGCCATCTGTGTTGGAACCGGCACTATCGCCCCAGCCGGGCGGGGCGGCAGCTATGGTGCCCCTCAGGGATGCTGGGAAATGTAGTCCGCGAGCTCCGCGAAGTCGGAGACGCTTCCGCTGCAGGAGGTGGGGCTCGCGGCCTTCGTTTCTCTGTGTGAGGTGAGTGAACCCCGGGACTCCGCAGCTTCTTTCAACTTCTCTGACCTGATCGTGGGATCAACCGGCCCGGTCCTGGGTCACAGGGAAGGAAAGCCGCGGTCAGAGGCCGAGAGCGGGCTTGAGGGGCGGGGCTGCCGCTTTCCTGCCGCTGGCCCGCGCCCCTGCGTTTGAGGCGTTTCGCGAGTACCCAGGTTGGGGCGGACGCGGATCCCGCAGGGTTCCCGGGGTGTCCCGGGCTGTCAGCTGCCCCCCTTCCTCCCCCGCTTCCACACTGTCACTGTCTAGCCATAAACATTGGATGACAACTTTAATCTCTGTGCCTCCGATTCCTTTTCTGTAAAAGGGGATAGATAGTACGAGCCTTAAACATTTTGAGAATTAATGGTATAGTACAAGTGAAATGTTTTGACAGCTCAGGCGTCTATCTGGCAAGGTGTTAGCTGTTAATATTAGTCTTATAATAATCAGAAGAATATCCCTTTCTCCGAAGTTCCTCGCAGTGCCACTGGCTCTTTCTGATCCCCGCAGAAAAGGAGGCTATGCGTGGGCGGCTTAGGACCCGTTTTTAAGGAAGAGTGAGGCACAGATCTCCTCTGGCTTTTCCAGGATCAGACAGGACCGTGGTATCTGCAGCCTCCTTTCCTTCCCCTGCCCCTACTTCTGAAAGGGGGCTGCAGAAAGGAGGGGAGTGAGCCCAGGGCTCCTCGCAGCAGTCCCACTTTTCTGTTGTGAATGGTAGAAGGTATTTTATTCATTAGCAAATGTTCCTGTTACAAAGGTGTTCAGTTATTGTTAAATAACTGTGACAATATGTAGAACGTGTACAGGGCATGAGTGCTGGTCATCATAGATAAACATTGAGTGCAAAGTATCATTCTGAGGGCTTTATAAGAATTAACATATTTAACCTTCACAAGGCCCTATAAAGGCAATACTGTCATTACCTCTACTTTACAGATGAGGAAATGGAGAGAGAGAGCAGTTACTTATCTGTCACACTGCTAGTAAGAGCAGTGGGATTTGTATCTAGGGCTTGTGTTTCTTATATCTTTTGATATTCTTGGTCCCACAGTTTAAAATCCCCAAATTGGGATTAGGAAACAAAATAGAAAAACAATCTACAGAAATAGTCAACCATTGGAAACTGGCTGCAGAGGAGTCATTTGGGATCGAATTGTGGATGTAGGTAGGAATTTTATTGTAGAGGATTTTGAAAGTAGGGTGAGTTTTGACATATTTATAAATTTTTGAAAGCATTTAATTTTATTTGGAACAATATTTATAGTCCATATTCTGATTATAGTTTAAGTGCACATTCATTGTGAATTCAGGAAATATAGAAATAATTAAAAGCATTAAGAATTATCCATAATACTAAGATATGGGCAATTATTAACTTTTAATGCATTTCTGTTTAACAGTTTTAAAGTGTGTAGTTACATATGTTTTATGACAGTTAGCACACTATTCATAGATACCCCCTTAACTCTTTACTGTGAAAATTTCTGAACATACTCAAGGTATAGTAAAATGAACTTCTATGTAACAGCCACCCTGCTTCAATCCTTGCTAATCTTGTGGCTTTTTCTTCTTCCATGTACACACTTTTTGCCTTGAGAGTTTTAAAGCAAACGCTGATGTTAATTCAGTAGGACTTAAAAATTAATTATCACAAATTGTTTATAAATGATGACCACGAGAGGAGAGATTGTATTAGTTTGCTAGAGCAGCTGTAACAAAATACCCACAGACTGGGTGGCTCACACAGCAGAAGCTTATTTTCTCACAGTTTTGGAGCTAGAAGTCCAAGATCAAGATGTCAGTATGTTTAGTTTCTTCTGAGGCCTCTTTCCTTGGTTTACACATGGCTGCCTTCTTAGTAGGCTCTCACGTGGTCTTTCCTTTGTGTGCATGCCAAGGGCATTGCATGAATTGGCTCGTTTATTCCCCACAATAATCCTGTGCCTGACATTCTGTTGTTATTTCCTTATTACAGCTGAGGATAGTCACAGAGGTTTCGGCAATTGGACCAAAGTCACAAGACTGGTACAACAGTAGCTTCTTCACAGGTACATGGGAGGTACCTTAATGAAACAATGCGTGCCAGATGCTCTACAAGGTCCCTAACATGTCCTTAGCACTTATTCCATGTTAAACATTGCCACTTTTGTTGCTTTTGTCATTACTGTGATCACTGTGGCATGTTCATTTAAGTGGCATGTGGATTACCTAGCTTATGGTTAAATAAATCCTCAGCGTTGCAGGTTTTTCATTTCTCTTCATCTCCATGATAGTCTTTTTAAGGCCTTATTATGAACAAAGTAAATTTGGTAAGGACTTAATAGCTTTTTTTTTTACCCTCACAAACAAAGTGATTTTTTTCTTAATTGATTTGAGAGAGAGGAAGAGAGAGAGAAACACTGATTGCTTGACTCCCTTACGTGCCATGACCAGGGATCAAACTTGCAACCTTTTGGTGTATGGGACACCCCAACCAACTGAGCCACACTGGCCAGGGCAGGACTTACTAGATTTAAAAAACCAGTCATCCATATAGTCAAATTCATAGAGAAAGAATAGTGTTTAGCGGCGGTAGAGAGTTAGTGTTTAATGTACAGCGTTTCAGTTTGGAAAAGTGAACAATTTCTGGAGATGGATGGTGGTGATGGTTGCACAACAGTATGAATGTACTTAATGAACTATACACCTAAAATGGTTAAAATGGTAGGTTTTCTTATGTATATTTTATACAGGAAAAAACTGTCTAATCTTAAATATTTTTGCAAAGGCATCAAATTAACTATGAAAAAGAAAGAGAGGATAACATGGCAGAGGTCATATGAAAGTCATATGACAGACAACCACCTCTGAAGGCTCCATTGATAGGAACCATTTATGAGACCAGTTTTATGTTAGTGAATATTACTTGCTTTTCTGCTGCTACTAATAAGGTGTCCTGAAAGTGTTCTTAGAACTTTCTGACTACTCACTTTATTCTTACAACAATCTATGCAATAGGCACTGTTGATCCCTCCATTTTAAAGGTGAGAGAATTAAGGCGTGAAGATATTAATAACATGCCCAAGATTTCTCAGCTAATAAGTAGCAGTGCCATTTGGCCCCAGGGATTACTCTCTTAACCTGGGTACTTTGCTCTCAATTTCCACTCTCCCGTAATCAGAATCGTACCCTGAGAGCTTCATGAACTTGTATTAGGGCCACCGTGGGTGGTTAGGCGGGTTGTTCACTATGCGGGGCGTCTTGGCTGGAGGGGTGAGTGGTGTTTGGAATGCATTCTGCACTCTGCTCATCAAGCCACCCCAAGGAAGGGGCACCATTGCTTTTACTGGCACCAGGCTCAGTGGGTGTGTGTTCACAGGGTGTGCATGAGGGGTTCACATAAAGCAGCCATATGGGTTAGTGACATCCTTGGCGAGAATCTAATTGGTTTTTTCTCCTTCCCCTTTGTGCCTTCCCAAGACTCAGCCCTTCCCCAGAAGGCGGACAAAATGACCAAGTTCAAGGTGAGTTGGGCCTGCCTGTCTAGGTTTTAAATTGTCATCTCATTTCTCAGTATGAGACACATCCTGTTTCTTTTTCTTGGGAAGGATTAAAGAGAACAGTAGGCATTTGGACCATCTTATGTGTCTGATGGTCACTACTTTTTATTTTAGTGTGGGTTAGTTTTGGGGAGTGAGAGAGGGAGAGAGAGAGAGAAAGAAACGTTGATTGATTGCCTCCCATACACGCCCCAACCGGGGATCAAACCTGCAACCTAGGTATGTGCCCTAACTAGGAATCGAATCCACAACCTCTTGGTGTATGGGACAACTCTCCAACCAACTGAGCCGCCCAGCCAGGGCTTGTTTTATCACCTTTTGTAATTTCATAAATAAGAGTAGAAAAAGTCAATAGCAGTGAAAAATAAATCTCCCACTTTACTGCTGCTTTCCTCACAAAACATGTATTTTCACTTTCCCATGTTCTTTTTCTCACATGCATTCATAGCTCTATATTTTTGATGACTGTATATTTAAAATTCTTAAGGTGTGCCTTTTCTAATTCGTATAGTATGCCCTCCATTTTTAATGACCACATATATTCCTTTGACTTGTACTTTCTGTGTCTCTTACAACTTTTCCCCATTTTTGGACATTTAGGTAGTTTAGAATTTTTACTGTTTTGATGAATGTTGTAATAACTGTTTTCCTAATAAGATCATTCTCCTCAAAAGGGAATTTGGAAGAGTTTGCTATTTTGTGTTCTTAATGTTTTTGGAACTTCAGATTGAACAAGTACATTTGATACGTGGAACCGTGGATGTTTGTATGTAGAATATTTCAGTATGATGGTGCAACAGGGTCTAACCCATACTTCACATGGAGAAAATAGTATTAGGCGTTTTCATATAAGAAAGCTAGGCTGTGCTGCGTCGTATCCTGTGCATGTTTTATTTACTGATTTATATTTTTTATTTATGTATTAATTTATTTTATCAAAGTAATAATGTACTTAATTTTAAAAGGCATTAGTACAAAAGGAGTTGCCAGATCCTTTTCTTTCTGCATTTAGTCTCAGACCAACCTTATGAGGCAGTACTTGGTCTCATCAGTATTTTTATTTTTAATTCTCACCCAAGGATATGTTTTTTTATTGATTTTGAGAGAGAGAGGGAGGGGGGGAGAGAGAGAGAAATGTTGATTTGAGAGAAACCTTGATCAGTTGCCTCCCGTACATGCCCTGACTGGGGATCGAACCCACCACCTTTTTTTGGTTTATGGGATGACACTCCAGCCAGTGGAGCCATCCAGCCAGGACTCATGTGTATTTTTTTATTACAAAGAAACAGGATTGTAGAATTTCAGAAAACTGCTTAAGTTCACACAAGAAACCAAAGATCCAACTGATGCAAAATGACTCCTAGAATTTTACTTGGATATAGAGGCAAGGGAAAAGAATTCCCCAACCAGAGACTTAGCCCTTTGTGTGTGGTGCCTGGTTATGCTGTTGGGTAGAAAACACCACAAATATGCTCACTCTTCGGTGGCCTCATCTTCTCTGTGAATCTCTGTGGCACCTGGATGTGCAGCAGTCCAGTGACTAACACAGTTTTCATATGAAAAGTTAAGACAAATCTGTATACCAGTGATTCTTAATCATGGTCAGTTTTGCCTCCAGGCAACATCTGGACACATTTTTGGTGTGACAACTTGAGGGTTGCTAATGGTTTCCAGTGTGTAGAATGTAGGGATTCTGCTAAACATCCTACAGTGTGCAGGACAGCCCCCACAACGAAGAATTATCTGGCCCAATGTGTCAATAGTGTCAAGGGTGAAAAATCATGCTGTGCACAAAGCTATACAAGACTAATAGCAAAATGTGGGTGAAAAATATAATACATACGTTAAAGAAACAAAACTTAAAATCTCTAATAGAAATTTTACAGAGTCATAAGTTAAAAAACCCCAATTGGAGTAGAAACATTAACAGACAGGTTCTAAAGATGGCCAGTAAATATATGAAAATGTAATGAGTTTATTAATTATCAAATAAGTACAAATAACAAAGTAAGTTGCATTTTACTGACCAGATTACCTAGGGTTTAAAAACATCTGTTGGTCCTGGCCAGGTAGCTCGGTTGGTTAGAGCGCTGTCCTGATACACCAAGGTTGTGGGTTCAATCCCCAGTGAGGGCACATATAAGAATCAACCAGTTAATGAGTAAATAAGTGGAACAACAAAATCTCTCTCTCTCTCTCTTTCTCCCTCTCTCTAAAATCAATTTTTGGACATGATCACATGTCCAAATAAATAAAAACATTGGTTGTATTCAATGTTGTTTATGGTATGGAAAATCAGGAATGCTTACATTCTGTTGAGGGAAAGATAAAATAGGGGAAAAGTTGAAACGAAAATTTGCCAAAATTATTATTATACATAATAATTTTGAAGTTGCAAATTCTTTGACGTAATTTCACTTCTTGGAATTTATCTGAAGAAAATAATTAGACAGGGATGTAATATCCATGTAAAAAGTTGTTTTCAGCATTTATTATGAAAAGAAAAACATAATATGCATTATTTGGAACGTTTAACTATATTACAGTAAAATTGACTCTGGTCTCAGTCTTTACACGTTTCTCAGTGCTGCCCCTCTCCCAGTAGAGGCTGGTTGTGAGATTGAGGTTGCCTGTGTTTGGTGTTGTAGGAGGCAGTGACGTTCAAGGACGTGGCTGTGGTCTTCACGGAGGAGGAGCTGGGGCTGCTGGACCCATCCCAGAGGAAGCTGTACCGAGACGTGATGCTGGAGAACTTCCGGAACCTGGTCTCAGTGGGTGAGGACAGGCGCCCTGTGACTGAACTTGAGCCCCCTGAAGTATTTGTGTCCTTGGATGTGTGGGGCTTTGGAGCTCTTCAACTGGTTGCCAGTTTTCTAAGCAACATGAGACACAGCAATGGCATTTTTTTTTTTTGCTATTAGTATTTTTTCCATTGCTTTTTAGAGAGAGTGGAAGGGAGAGAGAGAGTGAGAATGAGAAACAGTGATGTGAGAGAAACACATTTATTGGTTGCCTCCCGCATGTGCCCCAACCAGGGCCAGGGATTGAGGTATGTGCCCTTGGCCCAAATCAAACCCAGGACCCTTCATTCTGCAGGCCAGTGCTCTAACCACTGGGCAAAACCAGCTAGAGCAGCGATGGCATTTTTCTGGACGTCTTCCCTCAGCTAAAGTGTGTTTTGTAAATGAACTGTAAATTGGTGGGGTGACTGTTACATGTTTTTAGCCTTTCTCAAGTAGTGATCATGTCCAATTCGTTGGTCATGACACCCACCTAGAAAATTTTACCAGCATTTTTTAGTGAAATAAAATAGGGTAGAAAGTGTCAGAGCCCCTTGCAATACCTGCAGTGAAATGTGCAGCCTGTGCCAAGAATAGGGTGAGAAATACTGGGCAGGGTGTGATGAAAATAGGCTTTTTTTTTTTTAACATTTTAACAGTTTTATTGAGATGTAATTTGCATACACATACCCTACCGTACCATACAATTCACCCATTTAAAGTATACAGTTCAATAGTTTTTAGTACAATTCCTAAACGTGTCTTGTTAGTGAGTAGTGAATGGGAGCCTGGTGGATCATCTATTGGTTTCCGGAGTCATGTAAATCAGAGAACAATGAGACATGATAATAAAAATGGAGCTTTCTCCTGGTTCAATAAAGCCTTGGGGTGTAGTCCCAAATCTATAACCTTGACATTTCTGAACAAAGCATTCACATGCCCATCTCCAAACTCTCTTTATTATTCTTTTAGGAGACAAGAATCTAAGTAACATGGAGATTATTCAGGAAGTTGGATTAAGGTACCTACCACATGAAGAGTTTTTCTGCTCGCAAATCTGGCAACAGGTTACCAAGGATTTAAGCAGATGTCGAAATTCTGTAGTAAATATTCAAGGAACTGGCTCTCCATTGGAAAAACAAGGTGAATCACTGTATAAATATGAGGAATTTGGTAAAGGCTTTAATCAGAGTTCACAGCTTCAGGTTCACCACAGAGTCCACACTGGGAAAAAAACCTACAAACAGGAGGAGTGTGAGAAAGGTTTTATTCAGGACTCTTGTCTTCAAATTAATAAGATGGCCTGTGCAGGAGAGAAGCCCTATAAATGTGAAAAATGTGAAAATGCGTTCCGTCGGTTTTCAAGTCTTCAAGCCCATCAAAGAGTCCACAGTAGAGAGAAATCATACAAATATGATACGTCACGTAAGAGTTTTAGTCAGAGGTCATATCTTCATCGTCATCAGAGAGTTCTTACAGGAGAAAATTCACACAAATTTGAGGAGTGTGGGAGATATGTTAGGAAGAGCTCACATTGTCACACTTCTCTGATAACCCACACATTAGAGAAACCTTATAAATGTGAGGAGTGTGGGGTAGGCTTCAGTCAGAGCTCCTATCTTCAAGTCCATCAGAGAGTTCATATGGGAAAGAAACCTTATAAATGTGAAGAGTGTGGGAAGGGCTTCAGTTGGCGTTCACGACTACAGGCTCATCAGCGAATCCACACTGGTGAGAAACCGTACAAATGTAATGCATGTGGCAAGGGCTTTAGTTATAGCTCACACCTTAACATTCATTGTAGAATTCACACAGGAGAGAAACCCTATAAATGTGAGGAGTGTGGGAAAGGCTTCAGTGTGGGCTCACACCTTCAAGCCCACCAGATAAGCCACACTGGAGAGAAACCATACAAATGTGAGGAGTGTGGGAAGGGCTTCTGTCGGGCCTCAAATCTTCTGGACCATCAGAGAGGCCATAGTGGTGAGAAACCGTATCAGTGTGATGCATGTGGGAAAGGCTTCAGTCGTAGCTCAGATTTTAACATTCACTTTAGAGTCCATACAGGAGAGAAACCCTATAAATGTGAGGAGTGTGGGAAGGGCTTCAGTCAGGCCTCAAATCTTCTGGCCCATCAAAGAGGCCACACTGGAGAAAAACCATACAAGTGTGGTACATGTGGGAAGGGCTTTAGTCGGAGTTCAGATCTGAATGTTCATTGTAGAATCCACACAGGAGAGAAACCCTATAAATGTGAGAAGTGTGGGAAGGCCTTCAGTCAGTTCTCAAGTCTTCAAGTCCATCAAAGAGTCCACACAGGAGAGAAACCGTATCAGTGTGCAGAGTGTGGGAAAGGCTTCAGTGTGGGTTCACAGCTTCAGGCCCATCAGAGGTGCCATACTGGAGAGAAACCATACCAATGTGAGGAATGTGGGAAGGGCTTCTGTCGAGCCTCAAATTTTCTGGCTCATCGTGGAGTCCACACAGGAGAGAAACCATACCGATGTGATGTGTGTGATAAGCGCTTCAGACAGAGATCATACCTTCAGGCTCACCAGAGGGTCCATACTGGAGAGAAACCATATAAATGTGAGGAATGTGGGAAGGTCTTCAGTTGGAGCTCATACCTTCAAGCCCATCAGAGAGTTCACACTGGAGAAAAACCATATAAATGTGAGGAATGTGGGAAGGGCTTCAGTTGGAGCTCAAGTCTTGTAATTCATCAGCGAGTTCATGCTGATGATGAGGGTGATAAGGACTTTCCTTCATCAGGGAATTCATACAGGAAAGAAGCTTGATAAAAATTATGTTTTAATACCTCAAAATGGGTGCTGAAATAGTCCAATTATTAGACCTGTTATAGAAAACAAAACATTTGTCATATTTCAGCCAGTGCTTGTCATGTCACAGCGGTTGTTAGATGACCACATAGCAGAGAAGCCTCGTGAGAGTGGAGACATAAGGACTTCATGCAGAATCATGACATTTAGCAGATATTACACAGAAGAGAAGCATAGGAAGGATGAGTCTGGTCTGAAGTTAATCAACAACACTAATATGAAATGCCTGAAACTATTCCCCTGGAATATAAATGTGAAGAGGGTGGTGACTTTGTTGACTGCCAAATCTACTCTGCCTTTTCAGTGCCTAACACATTGTAGGTGTTCAGTAATTGTTAAATGAGTAAAAGAGGACAGCCATATTTGAAATTTCAGTTCATTTCTAAATATTTCTATAAAATTGTATTTAGAAGAGGAATTCTGCAAGACTCGGAGAACATTTAGACAAATGGGCACATTTACCAACCTGTAGTTCCTGTGAATTAGTGTTTATCAAACAGGGTTGCAACCCATTAGTGGATCGAGAAAGCCATTCAGCTGGTTATGAGCAGCACTTTTGTATGCTAACAATTGAAGTACAATTTGCATTCAGTAATGTGCATAAATCTCAAGTTTACAGTTTCATGATTTTGACAAAGGTGTACACTTGTGTAATCACCAAGACCAATGTATACAATATTTCTGTTAAACTAGAATATTTCCTTGTATACATTTTCAGTCAATCTGATCTCTAGAAGCAACCGTATTATGATTTCTGTACCATAGATTAGTTAGGTCTGTCCTTGAGCTTCATACAGGTTCAGTATGTATTCTTGTGTCTGGATTCTTTTTATCAAATATATGACCATCTAAACAGATGCAGAGAAAGAATTTGACAAAATTCAACATCCTCTCGTGATAAAAAAAAGTCCTCAGTGAGATAAAAGGCATCTATGAAAATCTTACAAGCTAACATTCTTTTTTTAATTAAGGAATAATTTATATATAGTAAAATGGAATCTTTAATGTATTATTTTGTGTTTTGGCAGAAGCTTGTTATCATATTATCACCACAATCAAGACATTTTAACAGTTTCAGCCCCCTCCACCCCAAAATTCCTTTGTACTCTTGTAGTTAACCCCTCTTCCCTTCACACCCCTGACGTCCTTAGCAGCCACTGACCTCTTCTGTCTGTATACTTTACCTTTTCTAGAACGTCATATTTATGGAGTCAGACTCTGTGTAACCTTTGAGGTCTGGCTTCTTTCACTTAACTGCTTCTGAGATTCATCAGTCTTGATGTATGTATCAGTAGTCATTCCTTTAATTGCTGAATGGTATTCTATTAAAAGGATGTACCATATTTTGTTTGTCCATTTATGACTTCAAGGACATTTGAGTTTCCAGTTTTTAGTGATTATGAAAAAGAGCAGCTATAAACATTCCCATACAAGTTTGTGTGTCAACTTAAGTTTTATTTGTCTTAGTAAACACTTGATAGTGGGATTGCTGGGTTGTAGATAAGAGTATATATTTAACTTTATGAAAATCTCAACACCTTTCTAAAATGGACATACCATTGTGCATTCCCACCATTAGTGTGTATCAGTTTTTTGGGTTTTTTTTAAAGCATTTCAGTAGGTTTATAGTGGTATCTCATTTTGGTTTTAAGTTACATTTTTCTAATTACTATGATGAGCATATTTATATATGAATGTTTGCTATCCATAGATCCTATTTTGTAAATTCTTGATTTTTGAGAGTTCTTTCTATGTCTGGATACATGTTCTTTGTCAGTTAAGTGTCTGCAAAAATGTTTATCCATGTGTGAATTGTATTTTTATTAACTTTTTTTTTTTTTTCAGAGATGGAGTTTTTAAATTTTTTTGATAAAATTTAATTTTTGTCTTCCATGGATTGTGCTTTTGGTTTCCAATATAAGAACCCTGCCTAATCCAAGGTCACAAAGATTTTTCTCCTTTTTAAAAAATTGAATTCATTGGGGTGGCACTGGTTAATAACATGGAAGTTTATCGCCTTTTAAAAACCTAAACATTTTATGGTTTCAGTTCTGGCTGGTGTGGCTCAGTTGGCTGAGTGGTGCCCCGTGCAATGAGGAAAGATTGGAAAAAAGGAAAGAAAGAAATATAAACTCTTACTTATAATAGAAAGCTAATCCATAAATGTAGAAGTAATGGTGGAATTGGAAATCAACCCCATCATAGTAATGACAAGTCCAGGCAAGGATCACTAAGGAATGCTAAAAATACTAGGTGAAAGTTCAAGGAGGAACAGAATATTACATAGATCCAATATCTCTATATAAATTATTAATTACAGATGAAAACATAGTAAGTTTACTGTGGCCAAATTTGATAACTATCACATTCACTAAGAGATAAAAGTTAACGTTACAATCAGAACAAACCAGCATTTCAGATCTCCAGATATGATTACTGAGGACCCAGTATCACTTCTATATTGTTTCTGTCAAAAATATACAACCTGAATGTAATCATGCAGAAACATAGATAAACTCAAATTGAGGAACAGCCTTCTGCTTTATACATATCCAGTTACAGACAGCACAATTGAACAAAAGTCCCTGATGCTTTGCTCTAAAACTACATTGCTCAGAGGCTACTCTGCCATTGGATGATCCCAGCTAATGCAATAGAAATTCTAAGCAGGCTCATTTGTGTAGACTAGAATTTCTCTTTGCAGTGACTTTTTCTCCAAGAACCCTCTGATGGTTTTGGTGAATATTTCATAGCTTAAAAGGCTAAATGATCATTCCACCAAATATTTCTTCTCACTGTCCTTCAGTCTGGGTAACAGTTGCATCAAGGTCAGGTGGTTCTTAGAGCCACCCTTGGCTTCTGCCTTTCCCTTAATATTCTTGTTCATTAAATTCTTAGTGTTAATTTCTTGGAGGACCAGGAAAAATCCAACACCCTACAAGCACCCCTGATGCCTCATTCTAGTCACAACCCTTTTACTATGGCAGTCACTAACTTGTAACATGATAGATTTGCTGAGTTTGTTTTTGTATTTTACAGAAATTATTTTGTGTCAAAGTTCATCTCAACACTATATAAAACTCAAACTTGGGGGCTAGATGAATTTTATTCACTCTCATTGGTGGATATTTTTACAATGTGTTAATTTACCAATAATGCATTCTATTATGGTGTTTGGGTAGTTCCACACTTGGCTCTTAAAAGTAGTGTTGGTATCAGCATACTGGAAAACTTCTTTGGCTGAATGTTTGGATATATTAATTTGAGAGATGTGTGTATGGGTTGACCCAAGGGTTATGGCATATGAATATCTTTAGTTTTAGTACATACCTTCAAATATGTTTAAAGTGGTTGTACCAACTTACACTACAAAGAGCAGCATGAGAGTGTTGGCATTTTGCTAAATTTTGGGGGGTCTTTTTCCCCCTCCTTTTTCCTTTTTAAATTTTTTAAAGTTTTTCGTCTTTTAATTTTAGCTCTTCTTGTAAGAATGTAATGATGTCTCGTATTACTTTAATTTGAATTTCCATTATGACTAATAGTGTTTAGTAACTTTACATATGATTCCTTATTGCAGCATTATATTCTACCAAAGCAGGTACCACTACCTCAAGAGTAGAGACTGATACCTTCTTTGCACACCATTGCCTCTCCAAAACCACTCATCCACGCCCATCCTTCAAATACCCAGCTTTAATTCTCATACAGGTAAGATTATACTCAACGTTACCCTTCTTTCATCTCCCTACTGCCCCTAAACTGAACATTTCCTAGTTTGAGGTTAATTTTTAATCTCGGGGCTCACTGTTTACTTTTCCAACAATACTGTAATAACTGAAGACATTTAGACGCCAGGAAATCATGCTTATCGAAAAATTTCCGCTCGTGGAGTCAGGAGAGGGTGACACTAGCCCTCAGTGCGCTTACTCCCACATTAGCGCCCTGCGGTCGACAGCGTGAACTTCGTTCCCACGAGTTTTGTGGGAACTGTGGCTCATCTCCGAGGAGCATCAAGCACTTCCGCCTGCTGAGGGTGAGAATGTGGACCGTGTTCTCCTCTGGCTTTCTGGGGAATGTAGTCCAACGGTCCTAGAGACTCGGGTACTTCCGCAAAGGCGCAGCCGGGGCAGGGGGATTCTGGGAAATGTATTTCCAAGCGTACCACTTCCGCCTTAGGTGTGTTGGTTACCGCCTGCATTCTCTGCGCTGCGGTAAGTCGCCTCGGTGTTTGGTGAACCCGCCGAACTTCTCTGGGTCCTGGTACGACCCGGCCATCGGTTTACGAGAAAGAGGTTGTATCCGAAAGGGGTGGTTTCAGGGCTTGGGCGGGTGGCATTCGCCTCGGCCCAACCTGTTCGTGTTTGGGGCGGTCGGGTCCCGGCGCTTTCAAGCGCCTCCCGAGGCGGCGCACCTTCCTCCGGCTCTGCCGGTTCCCGAGGTATAACGTTGATCAAATTACCTAAATGTCTGTCTCCGATGTTTTTCTGTAAATTTGGGATGACGTTACTACCTTCCTAATACAGTGGTTTGAGAATTAAACGAGATAGTATAAGTAAGTCTTAAGGCAGTTCTTACCAGGTGGGGAATGGAGGCTTCTTGTTATTAATGCTCTTTAGTTTGGGGAAGTGCTCAGTCTCCAGAAAACCCAGAAGTCAAATGGGTGAAGAGCTCCCTCTGCAGTGCCCCTGGCATTTCTCTTTGATCTCTGTGGGAAGCTGGACTTCCAAACCATTTCTGGCTGGAAAGGAGCAGGGATTGGGGAAAGCACGCTATCTCTGCCATTTCTCAGGGACAGAGTCACTTATGATAAGTCCCATATCACCAAGCTGAGACTTAATGACAATTTCACCTCTCCCAGAAGTGGAATCTTAAACTAGTCAATCAGGAATCTCCAGATTAGCACTAGTTAGGTCATCTGCCTGATGGACCTTTGCCATCCCCTAAAGGAGCTGACCTTGCAATAACCAAGCTTGCTGCTTTTTTTCTAATATAACTTCCTTATTCTTGCTCCATTGTGCATATTTAAAAAAAAAAGTCTTTCATTTTCTACAGCTCCTGGAGCTCCTTTCTATTGGTAGATTGGATGCTACCAATTCGTGAATCAATGAACAAAGCCAGTAAGATCTTTAAAATTTACCCAGCTGAATTTTGTTTTTTAACAGAGACATAACCTAGTATTTCAGAGCCTCCTTTACCCCTCCAGCCTTTACTTCTCAAAAAGGACTGCATTTCTTGTTGTACCATGGTTAGTAACAGTCTAAAAACTGTTGGTATTCTAGAAATTATCAATGATAAGTTGAAAACACCAAGTCCTAGCTGTTGTCAGCTATCAACTTCCCTTGCCATTTTTTTCTTCACAGTTTTATCATACCCCTCTTATTTCCCCCTGAAAATTTTGAGTTGTGATGTAACATGGTTCCTCTTTGCCACTAAATATTTGTGTATATTTTCTAAGAACAAGGACATTCTCTTCCATAATCACAGTATCATGATCAAAATCAGAAAGTAATTATATTGTTAATGTACTGTTATCCAGTCCACAGTCCGTATTTAAATTTGTTCTGTCTTTCATTTAAAATCCTTATAATTGTTTTCCCCCCAGTTAAGTCCAATATTTTGGATTGCGTTTTGCTGTCTAGTTTGTTGTTGTTTCCTTTAATCCAGAATGATTTCTCAACCTCCATCATTTTCTTCACGATGTTTTTGAAGGGTTTAGGCAAGTTCATTTGGAGAAAGCTCATCATTTGAAGTTTACCTGGTATATTTCACAATTGGATTTATTGTTGGCAGAGATTCCACAGGGTTGGTGAGGTGTACTTTTCAGCCAACGTAACAGGAACCAAAGAATCTTTTCTGGCTTTATATTGCTGATGTCAGCTTTGTTCACTTGGAGAAGGAACTGTCTATCCCATTAGTAAAGATGAGCTTCCCTGTTTTTCCCACTTGTTTGTTCACTCAAATATAAACTCTGTATCCATATGGACTCAGAATCCAGTCTTGTTAATTTAAATGAGATGTAGCTTATTAAATGATTCTTAAAAACAACTTAATTGACATATATATTACACATAAGAATTTTGGCTTTGCATGTGTACAATTCATTGACTTTTGTAACATTGAGTGATGTAACTATTCCCATAATTCAGTTTTAGAACATTTTCATTCCTATAATAAGATTGTTTATTCCCCTAGGTGGAGGTGAGCAAAGTGGGGGGTGGAAGGGATGGGGGACATCTGCAAGTGTCAACAATAAAGAATTTAGCCCGGCCGGGTGTGGCTCAGCGGTTGAGCGTCGACCTAGGATCCAGGCGATTAGGGTTCGATTCCCTGTCAGGGCACATGCCCAGGTTGCGGGCTCGATCCCCAGTTGGGGGCTTGCAGGAGGCAGACGATCAATGACTCTCTCATCATTGATGTTTCTACCTCTCTCCCCCTCCTTTCCTCTCTCTGAAATCAATAAAGATATATTAAAAAAAAAAAAAAGAATTTAAATTAAGAAGAAAGATGGTTTATTCCCATTTATAGTTAATCTCAGTTCTCATACCCCAACAGCTAGCTTACTTCCTGTCTTTGTATTGTGAACCTTTTATTTAAATGGGACTTACAATATGTCGTCTTTTGACACTGGCTCTTTCACTTATAATGATTCAACATCCTTGTAGTATATATCATAATTTTATTCCTTTTTATTGCCCATGAATATTTCATTGTGGACATACCACACTTAGTTTACTGTTTGAGGTTCTTATGAATAACAGTTTTATAAACACTTATGTGTAAGTTTTTGTGTGGAGATAATGTCTTCATTTCTCTTGGATAGATGCCTAGAAGTGGAATTGTTTGGTTGATTTGTAGCTTTAGATTTAACTTTTTAAGAAACTGCCAAAACTGTTTTCCAAAACTCTTTTCCAGAATCTTGTGTTTCTTAACAGACACTAGAAACCAATGTTTGTTTGTTGTAGAAAACAGTTGTCTGTGGCAATTTCAAAATTACTGTTTAAGGCAACACATTATTAGGGAAGACAGTGAGACAGAGTTAACAAATTTTTCAGATTTTATGAGAGTCCTTCACAGAACAAAAGAATCACGTCAGAAGTCCAGAGACCATACAGTGTCTTTTGGAAGTGATCACATTAAAAGACCAAGTTTGTATTACCAAGTATCATCTTTTTTTCTATAGCTACAAAAATAAGAAACCCTGGTAGTGTTCAAAGTGCTGTCCAGCTCTGAACAGTTCAGTTAAGTTGGGAAATAAAATTCTCTCAATTGTATAGATGATACAGTTGAGGAAAAGAGATGTTATTCGTTTGCCCAAAATGACCCAGCTAAGTGACAAGCTGAGCTAGGATTTGAACCCAGATATGATTCTTGCTCCCGACATTCTATTGTCTCAATTGGTATCATTCCAGAATCTGATTCATTACCTTGGGTGCCACAAGGCAGTGTTGGAGATGGTGCCAGTGTGTGTGTTGTGCAGGAATCGAGGCCCTGCTGAGATCTCTTTAAGCTGTGTACAGCAGCAGCTACCTCAAGAAAGGGGCTCCTTGGCTAATTCACAGTAAGCATTCATGGAGTGAGCAACATCCCGATCACCGTTTCATGTCCTTTTTCTATCTTTCCAGACACTACCAGGCACAGTTCTGCCTACCAGGACTCTCCATATCTCAGAATCTGTACATTTCCAGAAGTAAGAAGACAAAATGACCACATTTAAGGTGCGTATGGCTCTTCTTTCTTACTCTTAAAATTCCATCTCACTACTCAGGCCACATGTTTTTTCCTTTCTTGAGATGACTCAAGAACACCAGGTATTTAAAGACCTGTTTACTTTGTATTTGCTTTTAGTGATTGTTTAGTATTTATAGTGTTTAGTGTTTGCAAGAGGCAGTGGATTGATGTTCCACTCTCACATCAATTTTTCTGTCTCCCTCTCCCTTTCTGTCTCTAAAAATGAATAAAAATGTTTTTAAAAATGTCTAGTCTTGCCCTGGCCAGGTAGCTCAGTTGATTAGAGTGTCATGCCAGTACACCAAGGTTTTGGGTTTAATTTCCGGCCAGGGAACATACAAGAAGCAACCAATGAATGCATAAATAAGTGGAACAACAAATTGATGTTTCCTTCTCCTTCTCAAATCAATAAGTATATTTAAAAAAAAAAAAAAAAGTCCAGTCTTGCTGGATATGCCAGGGACTTACTCCTTTGCACTGCTGGATAAGGAGTTTCTTCATTTCATCTTCCATGTAAATAGGGAAAAACTGAGAAGAAACCCACCTAGGTTCACACAGGAAACCAAGCAAGAATGAAGGAATATTCGCCATTCTGTTTGAAAGGACAGGTAAGATAGCATCTGCTCAGCACTGATTGAGATGACGTGTTTGGTGTCATAGGGGGCAGTGACCTTCAAGGACGTGGCTGTGGTCTTCACGGAGGAGGAGCTGGAGCTTCTGGACCCGTCCCAGAGGAAGCTGTACCGAGATGTGATGCTGGAGAACTTCCAGAACCTGGTCTCAGTGGGTGAGGACAGGCGCCCTCTGTAACTGAATGTCAGCTCTCAGGAGTGGCTTTATATCCCTGGGTGTTTAAGGCTTTGGAGCCCTTGAAATGGTTCCCTGAGTTTGGGGGTCTGACTTTTCTAATATATAGGGGACACATAGAGAGGATTATTTTGGTTTTTATCAACAGGCAAATTTGTGTTCTGTTAAGGAACTGTAAATGCACAGTATACTGCTCTACTGTGTCAATTTCTGACCTTATCATGAGCTATAAAACCAATTGAGTCCTACTCTCAAATTTTTTTTAATCCTCACCTAAGGATATGTTTTTATTGATTTTTAGAGAGAAAGAGGGAGAGAGAAACATTGATGTAAGAGAGAAACATTGATTGGTTGCCTCTCACACACACCCTGACTAGGGATTGAACTGCTGAGCCTCACTGCCTGGGCTAGGTTTTTGATATATAGGATTGTAAAGAGTTTAGCCAACTACAGAGTTTAGAGGGACTTACACTCCTCCTGCACTTTACACCAACTGCAAGTTTGGTGGGTTCCCAAACTACCTTCACATTGATGAGTCTCTAAAAGGCGTGATAGAACTTACTGAATGCTGTTATATTCGTGGTTAGTGTTTATTGCAGAGAAGAATTCACCTTACAATTAAGTAAGAGAAAAGGCACAGGAAAGGTAATCTAGGGAAGAGCCAGACACAGAGCTTCCACTGTCCTCTGCGTGGAGCCAAGGATGTGTTTCCATGTTACTTGCCAACATAAAGGTGTGAAATTACACACAGGGTATTGCCAATCAGGGAAGCTCACCTGAGCTTCAGTGTCCAGAGTAATTATGGGAGTTCCATCACATGGCCAGTGTACCTGTCTCCTTGTTCACACCAGGAGAGGTTATTCTGTCTCCTGGTTCACACTACCAGGTAACTAAAAGCTTTATCCACAGTCACATTTTGGTCTTTCTGGTGTGGTCAGCCTCATTCCTAAATCGTATTGTTAGACCAGCCAATGTGACTCCAGACCTTCAGGCTCTTTTCAGACATGACATTTCACATGCTTAGAGCTTATCTGTCAGATGTCGAGGGCAAAGACCAGATCCCCCTTTTGGTAAGATTAAGTTTTCTCCTACCTAAGGATTTGTAACGTAAAAGCAGATATACAAAGTATTAATTATGTTACTGATTTTCCTTAAAGTTTGTATTGATTCACACTTCATTGTGTATATAATTTATTTGCTGCATAATTTACTCTCCAAGAGTTTACACTGATTATGAAATTCAGTAGAAATAGCAACAGATTAACATGTATCATATTCGTATATTTGCTATGAAGACTTTGATTTCTAACTTGTACCTCACATAGGAAACTTGGTGTGGTTCTAAATTGCTTTCATTGATGCTTGGTGAATAAGAACCTACTGGACTGACTACCTCTTGGTTTCTGTAGGCATGTAAACCAGAGACCATGATACATACCTAAAGGACATAGAGAATAGTCCCTGGATTTATTGACATCTCATGCTCTCTCCTAAATGTGAAATCTTGAAGACACTAAACAAGGTCTTCACTTGTCCACATCTCTGCATTTTCTCTCCTTATAGGAGGCAAGATCCAATATGAGATGGAGACTGTTCCAGAACCAGAACCACATGAAGAACTTTCTTGCTGGCATATATGGCAACGAATTGCAAGTGACCTAATCAGGAGTCAAGTCTCCATGATAAAGAGTTCTCAGTTCTCCAGCCAGGTTGGCACAGGACTATCTATAACTCACACAGGCCAGGAACCTTACCAGTATAATGAATGTAAAAAATTCTTTAGTGATATCTCCATCTTTGATCTTCATCAACAAATACACTCAGGAGAGAGGTCTCATACATGTGATGAGTGTGGAAAAAGCTTCTTCCATAGCTCAGCACTCCGTATTCATCAGAGAGTTCACTTGGGAGAGAAATGCTATAAGTGTGATAAGTGTGGTAAGGAATTCAGTCAGAGCTCACGTCTGCAAACTCATCAGAAAGTCCACACTGTAGAAAAGCCATTCAAATGTGAGCAGTGTGGGAAAGGCTTCAGTCGTAGGGCAACACTTAGTGACCATTGCAAATTACACTCAGGAGAGAAACCTTTTAAGTGTGAGGAATGTGGGAGGGCCTTCATTCATGCTTACCATCTTCACAACCATCAGAGAGTCCACACTGGGGAGAAACCATTCAGATGTGATATATGTGGGAAGAACTTCCGTCGTAGATCAGCACTTAATAGTCATTGTGTGGTCCACACAGGAGAGAAACCATACAAATGTGAAGAGTGTGGGAAGTGCTTCAGTTGGTGCTCACATCTTCATATCCATAAGAGCACCCACATGGAACAGAAACTATACAAATGTGACAATTGTGGAAAGAGCTTCTACTCTAGGGCAGATCTTTATTACCATCAGAGGATTCACACAAAAGAGAAACCCTATCATTGTGAGGAATGTGGGAAGAGCTACAGATGGGCCTCACATCTTTTGACCCATCAGCGAGTCCACAGTGGAGAAAAACCATTCAAATGTGAAGAGTGTGGGAAGAGATTTGGTCGGAAAGCATACCTGCAAGCTCATCAAAATGTCCACACCAGAGAAAAGCCATACAAATGTGAGGAGTGCGGGAAGGGCTACAAGACCATCTTGGATCTTGATGTGCACCGGAGCATCCACACAGGAGAGAAACCGTATACATGCTGGGTATGTGGTAAGCACTTAAGTAGGGCCTCGCACCTTAAACTTCATCAGAGAGTTCACACTGGAGAGAAACCATACAAATGTGATGTGTGTGGTAAGCTCTTCAGTCAGTTTGCACATCTACAATCTCATCAGAGAGTTCACATAAGGGAGAAACCTTACAAGTGTGAAGTATGTGGTAAGAGCTTCAGGTCAAGTTCATACTTTAAAATTCATTACAGAAGTCATGTTGGTGATAAATTTCATCCATTCTCAGAGGAAGGAAAACGTTTGTTTCAGTGAAGTGAATGTTTCAGCCATAGCTCAACATGTCCCGGTGATTCGGAGACCACACGAGGTAGGGAGCATGAGGACAGGGAGCTTGTTTGCTGCTGAACCTACACAACCTTAACGTTGATTAGCACTTTGTATATGTACTCAATACATGTTTGTTAAATCAATCAAAGGGAGAAGATATATTTAAAAATTGTATCTGGAAGAGGAAACCTGCAGAAATAAACCATTCAGAGAAACAGACATGAATTGAAATGCAGAAATGCACTGGGTACTGCATACCACAGCATTATTTTGGTAGTATCCTCGCATTTAGCTCCTGCCTACCCTCTGGCTCTGTACTGAGGCTGGATTCTTATTATTTGAGTTCCTGTCTGGTATTCCATTGGTATATATAGTGTAAATTTTCTCACTTTTGGTTTTTCTCATAGTGCAGACAGTTTTAACTTTGTAATAATTGGCTATTGCACATACCACAACTGAAATTGTTCAACAGTGTTAAGGCAAAGGTACAAAGTAACCCATTAAAAGTGTCAGATTTGGTACCATTGTTAAAAGTTTTCTTAATCTCGAATTCATTGTGTTTTAAATTTCCATATTTCCATGTAGGCTTTGATATGATTGCCTTCTAACTGTAGCATTTCTTTTGTCAAACTTCTCTGATCGGGGCTATACCAAATTTGAAGGATGTTTAGTTTCTCAACTTCCTGTATTATTCCCTTATCCCCATGAAATAAATACCAGAAAAACTTGTTGGGATTTGGTAATTTCGTCAAATGTATTCATTACTGGTGCAGGAATGCCACTTACATGATTTTCTTTTTTGGTAAAAACACATCTTTTGAAAATTAGATATAACAATGTGTAAAGTACAATTCTTTGACTTAGAAATCATAGTGTAAGAATTTAAGATTATGAGATTCAAATAAATGGTGAATACCACATCAATAATGTCACACAATTTTTATTATTTTATTTTTTAAATATATCTTTATTGATTTCAGAGAGAGGAAGGGAGAGGGAGATAGAGAGGTAGAAACATCAATGATGAGAGCATTGTCACTGATCGGCTGCCTCCTGCATGCCCCGACTGGGGATTGAGCCCGCAACTTGGGCATGTGCTCTGACTGGGAATCGAATCATGATCTCCTGGGTCCTAGGTCAATGCTCAACTCCTGAGCCACACCCAGCCAAGCTGCCACACAATTTTTAGAGTGGAAATAAGTGCGCATCAATAGGAATTTGTTTAAATTATATATTTCCATAACATATTTGATACTCCTAGTGAAGTAACCATTGAAAGCAAGGTTCTGGATTACCATGAGATATTACTTTAGAACATATTGATCAAACTAAGGAGTAGTTGCTTCTAACTGCTGGAGAAAGTGGGAATGAGAAAGACAAGCTCATGGCCTCAAATTCCAGCTCGCTCAACCATAATGACCTGAAAGCTTCAAGTCATCATGCATTGGCTTCTTAACCTTTCCTGTTGATCTTGGAGTCCCTAGTAAGTAAATAGATAGCAAGTCTACTAAATTGTTTTTTGATCTATATAGGTTGCAAAGTTCTAGGTCAAATGAACGAATGTCTCATTTGAATCACCAAGAACAGAGTCCCAGCTCCTAAATCAATTCTAAAATGTGGCCAGTTCACAAACCCAGAATCCCTTGGATGAAGCGAAGGCCTGGTCCTCTTGAGGGTGGAACCTCCCATACTGCAAAAACGTGTGCTGTTAATCTTTTCCATAGAGTTCCCCAAAGGGACGTACGGCATTGTACCAATGTGGCTGCGTACTTGGGAAATAAACATTTTTGCAATGACTGGATCCTTGAATTAGACTTTTTTTGCAATGACTGGATCATTGCTTTTCGGTTTAGGGGAAGACGTGAGGAAGCAGGGTTCACTCTAGATTGGATGCTGTCAGAAGGAGCAATTCTCATATCGAGAATCACAATAAATTTAACTTTTGGGAAGGTAGATTAGAGCAAGAATCTTCTAGTAAAGAAGTAGCAGCCACTCATTTAGCCAAGAGGGGAGCGCTTGGTGAAGGAATCCACGTTACTACCCAGGAAGTTGGGACTGGGCTTCTCTCCGCTCTGGCATTTTTGGGAAGTGTAGTCAAGGAGCTTCCTGCAGTCACAACCCTTTTCCCACAGGGCGAGCCCCTGCACAAACGTTTTCCTTCGGAAGTCTGGGCCGTTTAGCCCAGGCCTCCAGCGCAGTCGCGCGCACTTCCGCTCAGGAAGGCGGGTCTGGTGAATTCTGGGAAATGTAGTCCCGAAGCCCCTGAGCTCGCGGGCACTTCCGTTCCCGGAGTGTGAGGTCTTTACTGTATTTTCCATGGGGCGGTTTGTCTGTTCAGCGTCTCGCCGGCCCACCCGAGTTTTCTGGATCTATGCTTAAGACCCGCAATGACCCTGCGGTCGATTTAGGGGAAAAGCAGCCCCCGCGGAGGATGCTGGTATCGCAGGCCCAGGTCGGCGGTGCCTCTGCGCGTTTGGGGCGCTTCCAGCGCCCGGGAGTGGAGCAGGCTCGGGTCGTTTTTGTCGCCTGGTTTGAGTTCTCGGGGCTCTCAGCTCCCCAGTCGGCCTCCCTACCCCCTCCATGCCCGCTTCTACCTCCTGGCATTGGGTAGTTAATCTCCCCGTGCCTCCCGTTACTGTTCTTTAAAATGGAGATAATTAGGACCGTCCCAATAGAATTGTTTTGGGAATTGAAAAAGGTGGTAAAAAGAGAAATATTGAAATAGTTCTTGGCCCGTGGTGAGTGGCGATTTCTCCTTGCTGTTAATTTCCAGGGGAGCTGTCGCGTCCCCGGGTTAGGGTTGGAGCTGCGGCGTCGCCGACCTGGCCTCCTCTCGGATCCCCGCGCGACGCGGGTTGACACCAGCCCCCCTTTCTTAGGAAGCGCAGGGTTGCCCCGCCCGCACCGAGGGGAAGGCGGCTTGGACTTTCCTCGAGGACGGCGGCACGATCGCGGCATTTCATTGCGCCCTCCTTCCCCCAGCCCGGCTTCCCAAAAAGCGACTCCTCGGCTACTGACAGCAAAGCTCTGCGTGAGTGGGACTTGGCATTCTCCTTTTCCAATGACGTTCACATAAATTGGAGAAAGTGTGGGATGTGTAATCTGGCCTGGGTAGTGATAATTAATCCTTAACTGCCACCTTTGATGATGAGGAGGGTTTTATACAAATAAATATACATCCTGCCCCATCGTGGCTCCATGAAGAAGCACTGCTTTGTTCCTAGTCCATAAAATGAGAGGAGTCCCAAGGAGCATAAGCCTGCGCCCATAGCCACTCACCTCGTAAGAGGCTGAGCTGGGCTTGGCATCTGGGAAGTTCATGTCGGGAGCTTGAATTCATAATCTCTTGGCTGTATTCTCCTTAAGCCATAGGGACCAGCTGGAATCAGGCCAGGCAGTTAGCACTTGATTGTGAGACACCTTAAAAGCAAGGGTCTGTGAGTTTTTTAAACCATTGTCAACTATTTTGTTTGACTTATTTTAAAAAAGACTTCTTATTCTTGCAGAACCATATCATTACGGAGCATTCAGAAGTTACAGAAATATGAGAGAAGAAGGCATTTTTGAATTACCCGTTCATCCAGGATATAAATATAGCAAGTGGTAAGCATCTAATGCATTTTTGTTTAGTGTTTTGTGTGTGTGTGTGTATATTTGTATATTATAAACATTTTACAAAATTTTTATCATACCCTCTTAATGCTTTTCCCCGTATGTGTTTTAACAATGGAAATTTCCAAACACTGCCAAGAAAGATTAAACTAATGAACTTCCATGTAATTTCATAAGTTATTGCTAATGGTCGTTATAGTGTTACCTATTAGATGATGCTAGAAAACATCTAGCATACCATTACATGATCCACACTCCTGTTTGTTTTGTTCTGTTTCTCATTTAAAATCCTTATAATGTAATATTTTCGCTGGAGGATTTAGGGAAAGGCAATGCAGACTGGCAGTGTAGTCGGTTTCCCCTGTTTCAAAGTCCAATTTTATGCATTGCCTTCAGTTGTACATTTGTTTATAAACATTTCACAAATTTTTATCATACTTCTCTTAATGTTCTTTAATGGGAACGATTCCACAGCCTTCGTCCCTTTTGTTCTTGATGCTTTTTAAGAGTAGAGTCAAGTTGTTTAGGAGATACTCCTTCATTTGGGGTTTATTTGCTACAGTCCATGTTTAGGTTTAGATCTTGCATTGCTGGTGGGGATTCCACAGAAGTGGCGAGGTGCCCTTGTCATTACAACACAATAAGAGCCAGAGGATGTTGGCTTGTCCCTGTGTCGGTGAACTCAACTTTGTACACGAAGCTAAGGTGGTGTCTAGCAGATTTGTCCATTGCAAAGTTACTGGGGGTTTTCCGAAATTAATACAGTTTTGGGGGAGATACATTAATTAATGGGTATTCTACTGTAAAGACAAGCTTCCCCGTCTCTCCCACTTACTTATTCATTTGTTCAAATATAAATATATCAGTATGGACTCAGAATCCATAAATTGATTTTACTAACTTAAATGAAATGTAGTCTAACAAACATTTATTTTTTCCAACTTGCGGTGTATTTATTATATATATCATAGAATTCACCCATTTCAGGTGTAGCAACCTATGATTTTTAGTAACTTTGCTTAGCGGAGCACATCTTTGTTTCCCCGATTGGATTCCTCACGTCCAGTTGCAGTTAACTATCCCCCTTCTCTCCCCAGATACCTGGGCATCTACTAACACACTTTCTGTCTCCGTACATCTGCTTATTCTGGACACTGCCTGTAAGTGGAATCACCCAGTGTGCAGTCTTTTGTGACCGGCTCCTTTCTCTTTCCATAATGTTTACAAGGTTCATCCATGTTCTACCACGATCAGTGCCTCACTTCTTTTCACTGGGGAGTAATAGTCCATGGAATAGATGTGCCACAACTTGTGGATTCACACGCAGGCCGACGTTTCAGTTGTTCGAGGTGTTAGGTTGTTGTGAATAAGTCTGCTCTAAACTCACGTGCTAATTCGCAACCGTCCGTGTAGGTGAGCAGCACGCAGGCCACCCTTTCGCGTGTGTGATTTTTTCCTGCCTTTGCAGATGCTGCCGGGCGCAGCTCTGCCTCCCTGGGATCTGTCTCGCTCAGGACTCTGCGCATCGCAAGAAGAAGGAGGGAAAATGGCCAAATCCGAGGTGAGTGGACTTGCCTTTCTCACTTTTAAAATTCCACCTCATGACCACCCCAGCTTGTTACATGTTTTTCTTGGGACAACTCAAGCAGAAGAACGGGTATTTGAGGACATTTTGTGCTCTAGGGTTTTGAGTTTACTTTGCACTTGTTTTTAGTTTTTGTTTTATCTTGTTATTTATCTTATGGAGCAGAAAAATAACTAGAAATGAACAGTTCTCTCACTTTACCGTTTCCCTGCTGACAAAGTAGCTGTTTTCATTTTCTTTTCTTTTTTTAAAGACAATGTTGTTGTTGTTGTTATATATCTTTATTGATTTCGGAGAGAGGAAAGGAGAGGGAGAGAGAGAGATAGAAATATCAGTGATGAGAGAGTCATCGACCGGCTACCTCCTGGGGGATCGAGCCCGCAACCCGGGCATGTGCCCTGACCGGGAATGGAACCCTGATCACCTGGATCCTAGGTCGACGCTCAACTGCTGAGCCACGCCCAGCCGGGCTACATCTAATTTGAAATTGTCACTTTCTCCCTCTAATGTTATCTAATGTTTATTTTTGAGGGTTATATCACATTCCCCTTGAATTGATATATCTTTTAATTTTTAACTACTTTCCCCAAATTGATATGCCTTTTAATTTTTAACTACCGGCCACTCATAGACATTTAGATGGTTCAGGAATTTTACTGTTGTTTTTTTTTTAACTTATTTTTATTTTTCAGTTACAGTTGACATTTAATATCCTTTTAGTTTCAGGTGTACAGCATAGTGGTTAGACATGTAACTTAAGAAGTGATCCTCTCATTAACTCTAGTACACACCCGGCACCATACACAGTTATCACAGTGTTATTGACTATGTTCCCTATGCTGCACGTTACATCCCTGTGAGGAATTTTATTGTTTTAATCAACACTGCATATTTAGGGTTCTTGGAGGTTACTTATAAGTAGACTCGGTGAGAACACAAAATAAAAATAGGAGGACTGTTGTCACTGCCACACTTATGCTGAGCCTGAGGAGAATCAGTGTGTGGCATTGGAGGAGAAGGGCCGGGAGGTCTACACATGGACTTAAACACCTTGCTGACCGGCTACTTTTTCGTTGTGACTGATCAGCAGCATGTTTAAAATTATTTAAGTTAATGTAAGTGAAGACATGAGTTATCTCGTGCCTGGTCAGCAAGATGTTTAAGTCACTCAGAGTCTGAACCATTTTCTGTCCATTCTCTCTACCTTCTCAGCACTGTCCCGTTTCAGGTGGCCACTGATTATAAGATTGAGGTTACATGTGTTTGGTGTTGTAGGAGGTATTGACCTTCAAGGACGTGGCTGTGGTCTTCACCGAGGAGGAGCTGGGGCTGCTGGACTCTGTCCAGAGGAGGCTGTACCGGGACGTGATGCTGGAGAACTTCCAGAACCTGGTCTCTGTGGGTGAGGACAGGCGCCCTCTGTAACTGAATATCAGCTCCCAGGATTGGCTTGTGTCCTCAGGTGTTCAAGGCTTTGTGAGTCTTAAAATGGTTGCCTGCATTTGTGGACCAGACTTTTGTACCAACACTTTTTAATGCAGTAATATAAGGAGGAAATATCAGTTTGTTAGGAGAACAGAATACTTTGCAGAAAAAACACTGGCCAATTAAGTGAGTGATGTGAGAACCAGTGGGAGGAGCTTTAATGAATTTTAAATTAAATCTTTGACGTCTTACTTGCACCTCACATATGAGACTTGGTGTGTACTAATGGGTTTCATTATGCATAGTGGACAGGAGCCAACTGGACCACTTCTTGGTGTCTGTAGACATGCAAACCAGAGAACATGATATCCAGTGGAAAAGACAAATTGAATTTTCCCGGGATTCATTGAAGGCTGAGGCTCTCTCTTGAATGTGAAATTGTGAAAACACTGAACAAAGCCTTCAGTTCACTTCTCTGCTTTCTCTGTCTTTACAGGAGGAAAGACCCAGAGTGAGGTGGAGACTGTTTCAGAAGCAGTACCACATGAAGAGCTTTCCTGCTGGCACATATGGCAACAGATTGCAAGTGACTTAACCAGGCATCAAGACTCCATGATAAAGAGTTCTCAGGTCCACAAACAAGGTGATTCTTCCAGCCAGGTTGGGGCAGTTCTGTGTATAACTCACACAGGCCAGAAACCTTACCAATGTAATGAATGTAAAAAATTTTTAAGTAATGTCTCCAACTTTGATCTTCATCAACAAATACACTCAGCAGAGAAGTCTCATTCATGTGGTGAATGTGGAAAAAGCTTCTGTTACAGCTCAGCACTCCATATTCATCAGAGAGTTCATATGGGAGAAAAACGCTATAAGTGTGATGACTGTGGGAAGGAATTCAGTCAGAGTTCACATCTGCAAACTCATCATAAAGTCCACACTATAGAAAAGCCATTCAAATGTGAGCAGTGTGGGAAAGGCTTCATTCGTAGATCAACACTTACTGTTCATTGTAAATTACACATGGAAGAGAAACCTTATAATTGTGACAGATGTGGAAGGGCCTTCATTCATGCTTCACATCTTCAGGAACATCAGAGAATCCACACGGGGGAGAAACCATTCAAATGTGATATATGTGGTAAGAACTTCCGTCGTAGATCAGCACTTAATAGCCATTGTATGGTCCACACAGGAGAGAAACCGTACAAATGTGAAGACTGTGGGAAGTGTTTCACTTGTAGTTCAAATCTTCATATCCATCAGAGGGTCCACACAAGAGAGAAACCATATAAATGTGAGGAATGTGGTAAGTGCTTCATTCAGCCTTCACAATTTCAGGCCCATCGGAGAATTCACAGTGGGGAGAAACCATATGTATGTAAAGAGTGTGGTAAGGGTTTCATTTATAGTTCAAGTTTCCAAGCCCATCAGGGAGTTCACACAGGAGCAAAACCATACAAATGTGAGGAGTGTGGGAAGAGCTTCAGGATGAAAATCCATTATCAAGTTCATCTGGTGGTCCACACAGGAGAAAAGCCCTATAAATGTGAGATATGTGGAAAGGGCTTCCGTCAAAGTTCATACCTTAAAATCCATCAGAAGGCCCACTGTATAGAGAAACCTTACAAGTGTGAAGAGTGTGGGCAGGGCTTCAATCAGAGTTCACGACTTCAGATTCACCAGCTGATCCATACTGGNTAGAGAAACCGTACAAGTGTGAAGAGTGTGGGCAGGGCTTCAATCAGAGTTCACGACTTCAGATTCACCAGCTGATCCATACTGGGGAGAAACCATACAAATGTGAAGAATGTGGGAAAGGATTCAGTCGTAGAGCAGATCTTAAAATTCACTGTAGAATCCACACAGGAGAGAAACCATATAATTGTGAGGAGTGTGGGAAGGTCTTCTGTCAGGCCTCACATCTTCTGGCCCATCAGAAAGTCCATNGAAGGTCTTCAGGCAGGCCTCAAATCTTCTGGCCCATCAGAGAGTCCACAGTGGAGAAAAGCCATTCAAATGTGATGAGTGTGGGAAGAGCTTTGGTCGGAGTTCCCACCTTCAAGCCCACCAAAAAGTCCACACCAGAGAAAAGCCATACAAATGTGAGAAGTGTGGGAAGGGCTTCAAGTGGAGCTTGAATCTTGACATGCATCAGAGGGTCCACACAGGAGAAAAACCATATAAATGTGGGGAGTGTGGTAAGCACTTCAGTCAGGCCTCGAGTCTTCAACTTCATCAGAGTGTCCACACTGGAGAGAAACCATACAAATGTGATATGTGTGGCAAAGTCTTCAGTCGGTCTTCACAACTTCAGTATCATGGGCGAGTTCACACAGGGGAGAAACCTTACAAGTGTGAGATATGTGGTAAGAGCTTCAGTTGGAGATCAAATCTTGTAAGTCATCACAAAATTCATGCTGGTAATACATTTTACAAAGGTGATGAGAGTGGTAAGAACATCAAAGAATTATGGGAGGAAAGAAGTTCTACAAAATGATGTTTTTTAAAAACTCATGTACAATCTGAATTCTTATCAGGTTTTATAGGGGAGAAAATAGTTGTTTTAGTTTAGTCAGTGTTTAAGGAATAGCTGAACACATCTCAGTTTTCAGCAGTCCATACAGTGGAGAATGCTTGTAATTGATACAGTAAACACTTCATTCAGAACTTTGACAGTTATTAGATATCACTTAGGAGATGGTACTAAGAAAGGAAAAGAGTTCGGTCTGACCTTTAACAAAAGTGCAGTGATTGGTGTACCAGAATTGCTGCCCGCTAGAATGTAAGCTCCATGAGGGCAGGGACTTTGCTGCCACATCTGTACAACCTTAACAATGACTCATTCTTGTAGATGTGTTCAGTACTTGTACGTTAAATAAACCAAAAGGAGAAAATGCACAGTATCTGAAAATATATCCAGAGGAGGAAACCTGCCAAATAAAATTAATTCAGGGAAATGAACATTTGTTGAAATACAGAAAGCCACTCAGTATTCCAATCCACAATATTATTATGGTACTACCCTATTGCAACTAGCTTCTGTCTTCCTCACAACCTCTGTTCTGAGTTGGGTTCTTATTATTTGGGGTTCTGTCTAGTTTTCCAAGGATTGTGTACAGTATAATTGAATTATATTTTGTGGTTTTTCTGACAGTATAGACTGAAAATGTTTGTTTTCATTTTTACAAGAGGTTAAAAAGCATGTTACACAATTGATTTTTATTAATGTTAAGGCGAGGGTTCACCCTTGACACTGAAAGTGTCACAAGTAGTTAACAATCAGTTTTTTTAACCTGCAATTTATTATTGCTTTCTAATTCTGTGCATTTCCAGCCTGACTTTGAAATGCTTGCCTTCTAATTATTGTAGCATATATTTATCAAAACTTCTCAGGTAGGGGCTATGCCACATTCTTCCACACCCATGATATGAATACCTAAAAAAAAACAAACGTGGGAATTTGATAATTTTATCAAATTTATTATCGAGGCAAGACTGATGTTTATGTGCTCTTCCCTATTAGTAGCAGTAAAGCATGGTTTCAGGAAAGGAGTATATATCAGAATATAGGTTATACATTTCTTTGATCTGGAAATCATAAAATGGAAGTTATGATTATGATATTAAAATACCCAGAAGATGAGCACTACATTGACAATGCCACTGAATTGTTTAAAACGGAAATAAGCATACAGCTGTAGGAGTTTGAATTTTGATACATCCTGATATTAACCTGAAGCCATTAAAATTCTGGCAGATACCTGTAAGGACAGGAGAAATACATGATACGGGCTTTGAGAGATCCTAGGTTGTAGCCTTCATAGAATCATCAAACATTGATCTTTGTGTGTTTGTACGTGTGTTTTCCCACGTGTGCATATGTGTATGTGAGAGTGTTTCTGAATGAGGCTAGCATTTGAGTCAACTGACTCTACAGTAAAGTAGGTTGACCTCTCCAATATGGGCAGCATCCAATCTGTTGAGGACCTGAGTAGAATAAAAAGAGGAAGGGGAATTTGCCCCTTTTCATTTCCTGCCTCCCTGCTTCAGTGGGGCCATATTTTCTCCAGTCCTGGGACTGGATTTTAAACCATCAGCTCTCCTGGTTCCCAGGCTTTGGGACTTAGTCTAAACAATACCACCAGCTATCCTGGGTCTTCAGTATGCAGACAGATCATGGAACTTCTCAGCCTTCAGACTTCTGTCAGTCACTTCCTATGACACCTGCAAGCATATATATCTGAGATATCTGCTCCCCAGGCTTCCCTTTTGGAACTGGTGCTGGCCACAGATCTTTGAACAACCACATGGGCATCCTCTTGGTTTCTTGGAGCATTTGGTCAACCACACACATCTGAATAGGAGACCTGAGCAGTCAGGGGTTTAGAAATTAGGTTTTTACCCAGGCTGTTCCCCACCCCTTCCACCTCAAGACACACACACACACATACCACCTAGGATGTCATGTGATTTTTTTTTTTTTTAAGGTTCTATGTTTTTATTGTTTTTGTATAACAAAACCATATTACCGTCAATAGATATGAAATCCAAAATAACAGAATATTTATATACAGGGTCTGAAATCCCTCTTACCTGTTTTCCTGTCCTGCATATTTCAGGACTATGAAATATGGTATACAGGTCCTTTGCACAAATGTTGGATTTGGGGGGAAGGGCAATCACATCTTCTTTCTCCCCCAAACTGGTAGTTTCTCCTACTTTGTTTCTGTGAATAGGTTTTCATAGACGAAAAGAAATGCTGTTCTCGTTCACACAGGTTATATGGTTATATTTTCCCAAGTTTCTAGGTGCATAGTGTACAGTTCCATCCATTTCCCATGACATTCCAACCTGACTACTTCTTTGCCATTTGCTCTTGGTGACTTCTTGGGTATTTTATTCTTCTCAGGACCTTGGTTTACTCATCTGGCTACAACGAAGGTGTCAGCAGGGCTGCCTTCCTTCTGGAGAGAAATTCATTTCTTGCTTTTGCCAACTTAAGCTGTCCTCATTCCTTGGCTCATGGCTCTCTTCCAGCAATGGCATTACTCTGACTTCCTCCTTATGGCATCAACTTCTCTCATGTGTGATTTTTTTAAAAATACTAGTTTTTCTTATTTACAAATGGAAATGTTGAGTCCCTGAGCCTTGATCTCTTTTCCTCCCATTCAGGTATCCTAGTTTTGGAGTCTTCTCTCTTTCCCATATAGAATCACTTTTATTGCATTGCCTGATTAGCATTCATTCATTGCATGGTTGGCTTGTTCTGATCCACACATTAAGATAACTTTCATGCTTACAGGTGCATTGTGAGGAATCACTGCACTACAACCTACAGTGCTCACTTTTCTTTTTTCACCTTTTGATCCCCTTCACCCATTGAATCTTTCTCCTTGTGGTTCTGTCAGTTTTCATTTTATAAAACATAACTGAAGTTGTTAGTTTCCGGTAAGTTGAAATTTTTTGTCATTCTTAAGTGCCCCTCCACAAGTCAACGAATGTTTTTCTTCTTAAAGTTCACTTGGCCAAATATTATCACAAATTTTATAGTTATAGAAATAATTTTGAGGCCTAGGATTATGGTACCTTTCTCTAGAGAGGATTTTCATTTGCTTCTGCGAGGGCCGGATGATGCTAACAAAATACGTTCACCTTTATACAACGTCAGGGATTGAGGTGACGTTTAGTTTCAGTCCCTGCCAAAGAATGCCCACTTCCCTTTTGCTCTTACGCTGAAGCCCCTTGGGGTTTTTACCAGGAAGCCTCCATGGTAGGCAGTGGATTTAGGTTGCTTAGTCCTTCGAACCCGTCCAAAGTGCTACTCAGCTTCTCAATGAACAGAATCTAAAGCCGACAGGTTAGAATGGCAAGACATTGCCGGAGACCTTCTCAAGGATTCCGGGAAGTCGCTCAGCGCAGTTGGGCACTTCCACAGCGGGAGGCGCGGCGTTGTCCGTTTTCTGCTTGAGAAACGTCATCCACGAGAGCGGTATTGTTGCTGGTTTCCGCTTAGCATTCTGGGACTTGTAGTCCAGAGCTCCGTGGAGTGTTACCTGCTACACCTACAGTAAGGCCCGGCTGTAAACTTTTTTCCCCCGCGGAATTCTGGGGAGTGTAGATCCAAAAGCTCTGTGTAGCCCCAGGCGCTTCCCTTCGGGGAGGGCCGTGCTGCAGGATTCTGGGAAATGTAGTTTAGGGGCTCGGGCTAGTCACAGGCACTTCCGCCCCTGGCCAACGTAGCAGCCATCTTTTCCCAGGTTGTGGTCGGTTATACTCCATCCATTCAAACTTCTCCTATATGCGCCCGGAGCCAGCAGCTGCTGGCCTTGTGTTGGGGAAGAAAGAGGAGGAGCGGCTACCAACGGAGGTCTGAGGCTGAGGTGGCGATTTGCGTTCCCCCGGGCGGAGCTTTGCGTTTGGACCGCCCCGGGGATGGGGCGGGCTCGTCGCGCTTCGCGGGGTTTGAGGGTCTCCCGGGCTCCCTGCACCCCGAACCCGGCTCCCTCACCTACCCCTTCATGCGGTATCCCGTTGAGTGAGTTACTTGACCCCTCTGTGCCTTCGCTTGTTGTTCTGTAAAAGGGAAATAAAAGTAAAACCGTCCTAATAGAATGTTTTGGGGGAAAAACAGGAGAATAGTACAAATAAAAGGTTTAATTAAAACTGCCTGGAACGTGGGTGGTTGTTAACACTACTATAACTCTCCGAAAAGAGTCCGTCTCGCAGTTAGATTCTGTGAGCCCAGGAACCTGAACTGTCCTGGGCTCCTGGCCCATTTTAGGAGGGGGTTGCCTCTAGCTGGTCCCGGGGCTGCGATTCATGGGGGATGAAACACTGTCCTGGTGTTTCACAGCTTCCTCTCCTCCCCCAGCCCTGCCTTCTCGGAAAGCACCGCACGGAGGAGGCAAGGGAGCCGCACGTGAGTAGCGCTTGGAGAATGAGGGGGCCGTGCACTTGGGCAGATGCGGTGATGATTACAACTAAGCCTTAGTTGCTGAATTCTATCTTAAAGCTTTATACAAAGAAACACAGTTCTGCCCCGTAGTGGCTCTAGGAAGTGCTGCTGCTTTCCCTACGGTGAAGCTGAGACTGAGACGCAGGGGACATGTTGACCCAGGGTCACCCCGCTAGTCGGCGGTGGAGCCAGGGTTGGAACCTAGGCAGCCTGAGTGCAGCACCTGAGTTCATTAATCTCTAGTATATCCTCCTAGAGGGTAGGAAACTGTCTGGATTAGAATTATATTGGGGAAAGTAGGTGGGGACTTGATTGTAGGAACCTTGAGAGCAAGCTTTAGGCTATTCTATAGAAGAGTTTTTAAAATAGTTTTCTCAACTGTTTCACTGTCTTATTTCAAGTAATGTGTTTACAGGGTGAGGCAAAAGTAGGTCTACAGTTGTTACATGGAAAGTAATACAATAATTAATAAATAATAATACAAGAATCAACTCTGTTTTAGGTACTCACAACTGTGCACCTACTTTTGCCCCACCCTATAGAAGTAACATAATGGTCATGGAAAATTCAGAAAATGCAGAAACGTATAAATAAACATTTAAGTTACCCATAACCATAGGATATAAAGATAACTATTGTTCCCCAAGTAAAACAATGGATATGTATATAGAACTACTAGTTCTTACTTTATTGACTTAATGATATCAAGATACATGAATTTAACTTGCTTTAATATGGCAAACTTTTCATTTTTGTCCATTTTACTATTTATGTTATGTTAAAATAACATCCCTCTCCTGCATATTCTTTTCTTGACTCAAATGACATATATATATCTGGTCAAGATGAGAAAGGGAAACGACTGAGATTAATGTCTTTATTAAAATACCAATAAATGTGTCAAACTGGAAAAAAAACAAGGATAACCATTTTTAATGTTTTAGTAACTCTAGTTGTTCATTGTGTCTGTTTCCATTTACTGGAGGCTGTTTTCTTTGGGACTGCTGGTACACTGCAGTGCTTCTCTAATTGTGGTCCACAAACCAGCAGCATTGGCATCACTTGGGTAGAAATGCCTATCCTTGAGCCCCACCTGATACCTTCTGATTTAGAATTTTTGCAGATGGGATCCAGGAATCTGCATTTCAACAAGATCCTAAGGTGATTCCTGTGCATAGGAAAATCTGAAAAATTTAGGACAGGTTCTTGTCTGGAAACTAAGGCCTAAAAAATTGACCCTGCCAGCTGTCACACAAAAAACTGAATAGAATACACCAGAACCCTACTCAGTCCAATGATATTCCCCCCTCCCCCACTAATTATTGTCACCTGTCAGGTCTTCCAAACTGAAAAGGGCAGGGCGGGTATCTGGCATCCATGCCAAGTTCTGTTCATCAAGCTGCATGCAGCTGCTGCCACTCGGGAATGGGCACCGTTGCAAATTTACAATGAGCAGCCGCGTGGGTTAGTGACATACATGACATACCTGACCAGTTTCCATTGACTTTTTTCTTCTTTCCCAGTCTGTCTTCTTAGAACTCTGTGTTTCCCCAGAAAGAAAAGGAAAAAATGAGCGTGTTCAAGGTGAGTCGGGCTTGCCTTTTTGCTTTTAAAAATACCATTTCAGTACCCGGAGACTGGGCACAAGTGTTTCTCTTTCAGGGAATGTCCAGGCATCTGGGGAGCTGTTGAGTGTCTCCGGTGCTCGTTTTGTCCCTTTTAAGTGTAATTGCTTTTGTTTTTACTTTTTGTTTATTTCATCATTTTTTATTTCACAAATAAGAAACATTAGTAGAAATAAAAAATGGCTTCTACCTTACTACATCCCTGCTTACAAATTAGCTGCTTTTATATTCCTATGATCTCTTCATCATATGTATTTGTACTGTGTATTTTTATTCAGAACAGAAATACAAATTTAAATTGGCTTTTGCTTTTAATACTATATAATATTCTTTTTGAAAAATAAATGTTTTTATGGATTTGAGAGAGAGAGGAAGGGAGAGGAGGACATCAATGAGAGAGAAACATTGATCGGCTGCCTCCTGTGTGTCCCCTACTGGGGATTGAGCCTGAAACATGGCATGTGCCTTGACCGAGAATCGAACTGGTGACCGCTTGGTGCATGAGATGATGCTCAATCGATTGAGCCACACTGGCCAGAGCTATAACATTCATTTTTGTTGTATCATGTTCTCATGAAATTTATGTACCTGTTTTTTTAAAACTATTCTCTCTTCATAATCATTAATTTAGGATTTTTACTGTTTTAGGAATACTACAGTGCAGTTTTCCTGCATTGAACCTTTTTCTCAAAAAAGCAATTCTAAAAAATGCTGCCTTTTTTGTTCTTAACATACTAGGTATTCAGAATAGAAAAAGTATGTTTTATATGTGGTACCTTGGATGTTTTGGGGAGAATATTCAAATATGGCTCAGTGCATCAGGATCACACTGCTGCTTCACACAGCAAAAAAGCTGTTAGAAATTTTCTTACCACAAGAGCTAGATTCTGTTCCCCTGTGCCTGAGTCATACCCTGTGTGTATTATTTTACTTAGTGTTTGTTTTTATTCCTTCACGTATTTTTTTTAAGTCAAAGTAATACATGACCTTAGTTTAAAAAGTGCAGTGGTTCTAGAGGACTTGTCACTGCATTCACACTTCAGAACAATTTTATAATGAGATTTTTGGTTTCATCTTTACTTTTAAGGTAAAGAAAATGTATTATGAAAAATAAGAGACCTTCTCAAGTTCACACAGAAAAGCAAGTCAGAGTATTGTACTCGAGTGAAATACAGAGACAGGAGGAAAGAGAGTTTTTCATTCAGAGACCTGGCAAGCCCTTTTGATTTTTTCCACATATAATGCTCCTCATCTGGTTCCTATCTCAGTGGGAAGGAAGGCGCTATCTAACACTGTTGGGATTAAAACAGTAGACATTTCTGGAGCAATCAGCAATATTAACTAAAACATAGAACCTTTTTGGTCAGGATACAGCAGTTAGAATTCTAGGTAGTTTACTCATAACAGTGCTCAATGTGAGAGCACCAGGTAAACATACAAAGCTTTTTTTTTCATAGCAGCATTTTTGTTGAGGCTGTGGAAAATCAGTGTGTGACATTGGCAAGATAGAAGGAGAAGGGTTGGGAGATTTCCAAATTGTTCAGGGGCCAGAGCAACTTCCCACCTATCCTCCTCACCTTGTTAGTGCTGCTCCTCTTTCAGTGGACATTGGGTGTAAGATTGCGGTGTATGTGTTTGTTGTAGGAGGCAGTGACGTTCAAGGACGTGGCTGTGGCCTTCACGGAGGAGGAGCTGGGGCTGCTGGACTCTGCCCAGAAGAAGCTGTACCAAGATGTGATGGTAGAGAACTTCAGGAACCTGGTTTCAGTGGGTGAGAACAGCCTCCCTCTGGAGTATCTTCGCAACCTTGGGGTTAAGGCTTTGGCTCCTTCATTTTGGGGACTGGACTTTTTCCACTTCCTGTGGGACTCAAGAAGATTTTTCTAATCATTCTAAACAGAATGTTTCAGGCCTTTTTCATTTGTGTTTTGTAAAAGAACTATAAATGGTCAAAATGCTGCTATACCTCTTCTATATTCTTTTTAAAGTTTCATTCTTGTCCCATTAGTGAATTATAAAACCAATTTATTTGGTCCTATCTGCAGTTTTTAATGAAATAAAATGCAGTAGCCCTGGCCAGGTGGCTCAGTTGGTTGGAGTGTCATCCCGGGGACCGTAGGGTCCCAGGTTCAATTCCCTGTCAGGACACATACCTAGGTTGCAGGTTTGATCCCTGGTTAGGAGGCAGCCCATCAATTTTTCTCCCTCACATCAATGTTTCTCTCCCCCCCTCTTCCCCTCTCTCTAAAAAAAAACCAACAACAACAATGAATATGTCTTTGGTCGAGGATTAAAAAAAAAGGGTAGAAGATATCAGAGCTCCTTAAGAAGAATAGAACATTGCAGCTAAAACTAGCCTCTGCATGAGTGGTCAGAGCTATTGGGAGGTGATTTAATGAAAATAGACATTGGTAGAACTGGGGCGTTCAATTCTGTTTTAGTAATACATATCTATGCATGTGTTTGGGTCATGAAGTAAATGTTATTCAGTAGGTCATGGTAAAAAATTTTTTGAAAAACACTGCTTTCAATATCTTGAATATGCAGTTAGAATTCAAATTTTAGCTCCAGTGTATTCAATTGAAACTTGTGACTGCATGTTTTCAGGACATCGACCCTTTAGACAAGATATATCACATATAGAAAGAGAAGAGAGGCTTTGGATGAGGAAGACATCATCCCAGTTGGAGAGAAATTTAGGTAAGAACCAAGCAATTGTGAGTTCTCATAGTTAACTATTTCACTTCTCACCACCCCTGTGCCCTCACTCAGTCGAAATTGTCAAGTCTTTTTCCAGTTTTATTGCAACAGCCTTCTTACTGGTTGCCTGCTCTCAGAAGATAGCTTGTGAATTAGCCTCTCCCTTGAAAGATTTGCCTAGCTGCATTCCATTTGCTTCTTGCAAAGTCTACATCCATAATAAGAAATAGATCTTACATTGTTACCTCTACAAACATTTTATTTATGTGTAGATTTACATGTATGACTTTAGAAGGCATTTTATGTAATGAAACCTTTACTGCTTGTGATGATTCTCTGATAACTTCCAGTCTGTGTCTTCTAAATACTTATCACAAGCTACTGAATTTATTTCACAGCTCATTAATAAAGTGCATCCTCACTTTGGAGATCATTCTTGTTAAAAGCCAGTGTATCTCCATATAAAATTGTCGTGCTATCTTCAAAGAGACAGCATTCTTCCCTAGCCTCTAAATTTTGATTCCTGTGTGGGAAAATTATATGTCAGACAGTGCAGAAATCTCAGAAAAATCCAGATTGTCCAGCTTTTCTTTCATTCCAAGTGATCTGTAGCACCTTTGATTTTATCCTCAGCATTAAATCTCTTAGTGTGTCACTACCTCTACTGCAGCCTTTCAAATTCTCAGCAAACTATACTTTCCGACTCTCTTTCTATTTCAGATATCTTCCTTGTAAAAGCACTTTTGCTTAGTTCAAACTTAAGCTGGGATTTAGTTATAGAGAATCCCAGAAATCTAACTGTGAGTCATCTATGTATGCATTTTTTGAGCACCTACTAACTGCCAGGCACTATTATAACTATGAACACTCCAAAATGCTTTTCCTTATTGATAACTGTGTTATGGTAGGAAAGACATGTAATTTATGAAAAATGATTTAAGTAGTATCAAATGGCAGTCATTTTGTTTTATGTGGGTTTCATTAATGCTAAGTGGTTGGGAGCTTAATAGAACACTCCCTGGTTTCTGTCAGTATATAAACCAGGTAACTTCCTATGTGATAAATATAAGCTGAACTATCCCAGCGTTCATTAAAGTCTTATACTGTGTGTCCTATGTGTGAAATCTTTAATCTTTGAACAAAGCTTTCACTTGTCCATATCTCCGAATTCTTCGTATAGGCGAGAGCAATCAAAGTGAGTTGAGGACTGTTCAGGACAGAGGACCACCACATGAAGAGCTTTCCTGTTGGCAGATCTGGCAACAAATCGTAAATGACTTAACCAGGTGTCAAGACTCCATGATAAATAGTTCTCAGTTCCACAAACAAGGTGATTCCCCCTGTCAGGCTGGGGCAGGACTATCTACTCAAATTTCTGAAGATGAAAACTATGGACTAAGTCATAAAATGGATGGTCCCAGTGACACTGGAAATCCAGAGTTTCAAACTTTGAGAGTCCAGGGTTCTTGGAGGAAAACTTCACTGACTGAGTCACAGAATTATCAGAATAGGTATCAACAAATTTCCATGAAAAGTAAATTCTGTTTGTATAAATGGGATGTTGACACCATCAATTGGGTATCACATCGCCTCGATGATTATGGAGTACACAGAAGTGAAAAATCTTATAGTTACAATAATTATGGAAAAGATAGCATGAAAATATCAACATTGGATCAGAATAGTGTGATTCACACAGGGCAAAAACCTTACCAGTGTAATGAGTGTAAAAAAACCTTCAGTAATCTCTCCACTTTTGATCTTCATCAGCAAGTACACTCAAAAGAGAAGTCGCATATATGTAGTGAGTGTGGAAAAGGCTTCTGTTATAGATCAGTTCTTCATATTCATCAGAGAGTTCATATGGGAGAAAAAAGCTGTAAGTGTGATGGTTGTGGTAAGGATTTCAGTCAGAGCTCACATCTGCAAAATCATGAGAAAATCCACATTGTAGAGAAACCATTCAAATGTGAGGAATGTGGGAAAGGCTTCAGTCGTAGATCTGCACTTACTGTTCATTGTAAATTACACACGGGAGAGAAACCATATAATTGTGAGGAGTGTGGGAGGGCCTTCAGTCAGGCCTCTCATCTTCAGGACCATCAGAGAGTCCACACTGGGGAGAAACCATTCAAATGTGATGTGTGTGGTAAGAGCTTCAGTAGGAATTCACATCTTCAGTCACATCAGAGAGTCCACACAGGAGAGAAACCATATAAATGTGAAGAGTGTGGGAAGGGCTTCATTTGCAGCTCAAATCTATACATTCATCAGAGGGTCCACACAGGAGAAAAACCTTACAAATGTGAGGAATGTGGTAAAGGCTTTAGTCGGCCCTCAAGTCTCCAGGCCCATCGGGGAGTCCACACTGGAGAGAAATCATACATATGTAATGTATGTAGTAAAGGCTTTACTCTGAGTTCAAATCTCCAAGCACATCAGAGAGTCCACACTGGAGAGAAACCATACAGATGCGATGAATGTGGGAAGAGCTTCAGGAGGAACTCCCATTATCAAGTTCATCTGGTGGTCCATACAGGAGAGAAACCCTATAAATGTGAGATATGTGGAAAGGGCTTCAGTCAGAATTCATATCTTCAAATCCATCAGAAGGCTCACAGTGTAGAGAAACCGTACAAGTGTGAAGAGTGTGGGCAGGGCTTCAATCAGAGTTCACGACTTCAGATTCACCAGCTGATCCATACTGGGGAGAAACCATACAAATGTGAAGAATGTGGGAAAGGATTCAGTCGTAGAGCAGATCTTAAAATTCACTGTAGAATCCACACAGGAGAGAAACCATATAATTGTGAGGAGTGTGGGAAGGTCTTCAGGCAGGCCTCAAATCTTCTGGCCCATCAGAGAGTCCACAGTGGAGAAAAGCCATTCAAATGTGATGAGTGTGGGAAGAGCTTTGGTCGGAGTTCCCACCTTCAAGCCCACCAAAAAGTCCACACCAGAGAAAAGCCATACAAATGTGAGAAGTGTGGGAAGGGCTTCAAGTGGAGCTTGAATCTTGACATGCATCAGAGGGTCCACACAGGAGAAAAACCATATAAATGTGGGGAGTGTGGTAAGCACTTCAGTCAGGCCTCGAGTCTTCAACTTCATCAGAGTGTCCACACTGGAGAGAAACCATACAAATGTGATATGTGTGGCAAAGTCTTCAGTCGGTCCTCACAACTACAATCTCATCAGAGAGTTCACACAGGGGAGAAACCTTATAATTGTGAGATATGTGGTAAGAGCTTCAGTTGGCGATCAAATCTTACAATTCATCACAGAATCCATGCTGGTAATAAATCCTCTAAAAGTGATAGGGCTGTTAAGAATATGAGAGGGTTCACACAGGTAAAGTGTTTTATAAAATGATTTTTAAAAAATTTACGTGTCATGTGAATTCTTCCAATCAAGTTCAAAAGAAACTTTTTTTTTTTTTCATTAAAGCAGTGTTTCAGCCATAGCTTAACATCTTGCTGACTGGCTATTTCGAGACGGGACTCAGGCCTGTGTGGCCATCTACTTTGATTGGCAAGATGTTTAAAATTACTTTAATGTAAGTGCAGACACAAGTAGTCAGTCTGAGAGAGTGGCAGGTACAATACCCTGGGAAACTGCTCTGACATCATGTCTTAAGCCAGCTATTATATAGGGTTAGAGGGTAGAAAAAAAATCTAAAAACTGAGTTCCTAGGGTCTCTTTTCTCTAATTGTCCTTGTAAAGGTTAGCCCTGAGACACCATCTCCCTTCAGACAGGTCCTATCCTTTACCTGCTCTTAAAATGTATCTTCTTTTGAGTGATGGGCTCATCTGGTGTTCAAGGCCACTTATTCTTTATCTTTTCTGAGTAATGGACCCATCTGGGCTTTGAGGCCACTTTTATCTTTACAGTTTTTTTCTTCTTACGACACACCCTCCAGTTTCCCAGGGTCTGTAAGAAAAAAAAATCTATAATATAGTGAATAACTATTAATCAACTGTGATTCTGTTCTTACAGCATGCCCTATTACCTGTAGTACATGAGTCTTCAATCCCTGGGGCCCCTCCAAGCCTGGGACTGCCCAAGCTTAAGCTGGGAGCCAGCAGGACCATGGCCCTCATCCTAAGGGAAATAAGAGAAACCCTTCAGTGTACAGGCCAACGCTCTAACTACTGAGCCACACCGCCTGGGCAGGCTGGCCATTCTTTACATTGTGCTTAGCACTCAGTGTTTGAGTCTAGTGTAGCTACCTAAAACCCTGAAATGGCCTGCAGCTCAGGTTGTATTCAGAATTCCTAAAATGGATTTAGGAAACAAAAGGAAATAATACAGAGTTTAGTGATCCTTTATCTCACTTTTAGTGGGATGCAGAATCTACCAGTTTTTCCACAGCATTCAAATTTGAATAATTAACAATTATTGCTAATGTTTTAGTAACCTAAAGCAAGCAGTTTCCAGTGCTTTTAAGTGTGTGTATTCATTTCTCATATCAACTCTCATCTTCATTTCACAAATGAAAAGTGGGACAGAGTTCAGAGAATAACTGGCAGAAAAAGGACTTTAATTTCAGCAGGCTGACTCCAAGTATGTAATCTTTGTTATTGCACCTTGCTTTTATTAGTCTGCAATTTGAAAGCCCACAACAAGTGTTCCTAGAGCAGGTAATATTTAGGCTATGGATGAAGACTCTGACTTAGAAGTGAACAGAGCAGCAGGATGTAGCAGAACAGATGCAAGGAGGCTTTTTGTAGAAGTTCAAGTGATTCACTATGGCTGGACATAGAGTGGAAATTGATTTGAAGAGAGAACCAGCATATGGAAGATTCCTATTTGTGTGACTTACTAAAGCATTTGTATCTTCTCTTAAGGACTGGGAAAACAAGTAGGTGAAAAAAATTGAGTTTCCATGTTAGGATATATCTCTCTGGCATCAGGAAGGAAAAATGACTGAAATTAAACATGCTGTTTATGTTGATTGAATGAGATGTAGTGATTAGCAGTCAAGCTCTGGTCACCAAATGCCAGATTTTGAAACCTGCCTTTAGCACTTACTAACTTTGTAACACAGGCAAATTATTTTACCTCTGTCTGTGGCTCCTAAACTAAAACAGAGGAAACAACAGTATTTACCTAAAAACGTTTTGAAGAAGTGTCTAAAGAGCTTGGAATAGTTCCTGGCACACACTACATGCTCCATAGGCGATAGTTGTTTATAACAATAAGGACTATATGTTCAGTAAATGAAAAATGCAAATATATATTGTGATGGGTATAATAATATTCTATACAGTGACCTTGCTTACTTATCTAATTAACAATAACGTGTTCATCTTTCAAGTCCCTAAATTTCCTGAGGAATGATTTCAATGGCCCTATTGCTTCTGATAGGGAAAAGGTACCCATTAAGAATAGAATCACAGTTGGTTAATAGATATTCACTGACTAATCAATAAGAGATTTTTTTCTTACAGACCCTGGGGAACTGTGGAGGACATGTTGCATGAAGAAAAACAGAGTCCTAAAGATAATCGACCTTGAAGTCCAGATGGCTCCATCACTCAGAAATAAGATACATTTTGCGAGCAGATTAAGGACAGGACATGCCTGATGGGAGACAATGTCTAGGGGCTAATCTTTATGAGGACAATTATAGAAAACAGACCCTGGGAGCTCACCTAGTTTTAGATTCTTTCCCACCCTCTAATCCTATATAATGGCTGGCTTGAGCTGAAATGCCAGAGTGGTTTTTCAGGGTGCTATCCCTGCCGCTGTCTCAGATCACCAGCATCTGAGTAACAGCACCTCAAAGATTCAGCCTCATCTCTACTTAATGACTCGAGTAGCGACAGGCAGCACAGACACAGTTTGTTCCGGTTTCACTTTGAGAACTGATTGTGCAAGTCTTTGCCGAAGCTTGTCTTTTCACTCAGAGTATCTAGCTGTCCTCAACAGGCAAGTTCCGAGTTATCTGGCTGTGCTACTAACAGAAGTGGAAATGTCCGATGTATTCTGCCTCCGTTGCATTTTTTTTTGGTCTTCTATTCTTCTTATATCTAAAAAGTGTGTAAAACGCAAAATAGGGGCTATCATTTTTTACTTTTTCTGGTAGTGGTGGGTACAACCCTACCAGTAAACCATCAAGTGATCTGTTACTTACAAGACTGACGTCAAGTATTTGCTGTCACGTTTTGTCAATGAGAAGAAGCTAAACTCCACTGGCCTCAGAGAACTGCTTGAGGCCGGCAAAATGGCGGGAAGCCACTAAAGGGACTTCTGGAAGTTGCAGGCTCGTACGCCTGGAACTCCGAGAGTTTGGGAATTTTTACTATTTTTTAATAGCTCTAACGGGGCCGACTCGGTTCTTCCCCCCCCTGGGGCTTCTGGGAAATGTATTCCCCAAGTCCTTCGGGAAACAAGGGTCTTCTGGGAAGTGTAGTTCCGGAGCGCCGAGGAGTCGCAGGCACTTCCGGCCGCGGAAAGCGAGGTTGCACCATGTCCTCCGGCCGGGAGGTGACCCGGCCCTACGGCCCCAGGGCCCCTCCGAGCCTCGTCGGCCTGAGCGCGGGACTGGCCGCTACCTAGGCGGCCGCCTTGGGATGGAGGAGCCGCGGGCGCCCGCAGAGGCCGAGAGGCCGGGGACGGAAGCTCCTGTGCTTCGCTCACCGAGCGGCGCCGCTCCTGCCGTCCTGCCGGCTTCTGGCGAGTGTGTTATCCGCGCTCCACTTCCCTCCCCTGTAAAGCAGCGGCGAAGGTAGCGGCGCCGGGGGAGGGCCGCGGTTGGAATTCAGTGGGACAGTGCGCGTCCAGAGCTTGGGACGGTGGTGCCACTGGCTGCCGGGTACAGGTCATTCCCTCCCCGAAGAAGGGAGAGAAGGCCGGGGCCCTCCCGTCGTCCTCCCGCCGAGCGAGCTCCTTCCGAGCTTGGCTGCGTTTTCATCTCGTTAAGGAAGCACGGAGTCGCCCCGCGCCAGTGCCTGGGGGTGTCCCTGCCGTTTGCAGTTTGTTTGGGGACACACAGAATCGCACTGGCCCACCTCTCGCTTTCCCTCACCGCCCCTGAATTTGGCGGGGGAGGAAGGAGGCACCGGGGCCCCGCACGGCCCGCCCCAGGTGCACTCGCAAACACTCCCTTTTCACTCAGTAAATGACAAGTCGGAAAATGTTCGAAGATTTGTTGAATAAACCTGAGAATGCTTAATTCTCCTCTTAATATGTGTGTATTAGCACCACTCACACATATTTTAAATGTATATTTTTTAATTTACTATGTTTTGCATTTCTTTTTCTCTCTTGTCTTCAGTTCATTTCCTTTTATTTGCTCCCGAGAGGTTTTGAAATTATATGGGCTTGTGTTACTTTTTTAATGTTTAAAAACGATCATCTCAAATACTGAATTAAATTGGCATGTGTTTTCATTCTGAAAAATGTAGAGACTAGAAGTGTACTTGAAATTTGATAAGGGCTACCCACCACCTCCTTGTTTAGCTGTAGGACAGGCTATAAAGGTTATAGGTATACTTTTTTATTATAACCACCCTTCAAATTTGTCTAATCGTTCTTGGGCGTTTTTTAAAAAAGGTATTACCAAACATATTTACAAATGCTTTCTTACCATTGCTTCTTTCAGAGTTCACTTAGTCATAAACTTTCTTCATTTACGTTCAGCTAAAATGTCATTCGTTGTTTCTCCCGCATGTAAATCCATGATCATTTAGCTGAGCATAGAATTTAAAGTTGACAGTTACTTCTTCATTTTGGAGACATTATTCGATTGTCTTAGATCTCCATTCTGTTTTCCTGATTCAGTCCAATGTTCATTTCTGTTAGGTAAACTATATTTTCTTTGGGGGAGCTTTAAGGATTTTGTTGTTGTTAGGTTTATTTAGTCCTTTGCATTCCTGAGTTTCACTGTAATTTGTTTAGGAGTACATTTTTATTTGTACTGTTCAGAATTTCTATTTATGAACTCAGTGATTATCTCTTGAAACAGGACCTCTCTGCCATTTTTTCCCATTCTCTTTTCACACTCCTCCTAGACAGATGTTAGGGCCTCTCAATATGTCTTCCATGTTTCTTGACTTCTCTTTTGTACCTTTCTCTTTGCTCTGTGTTTTTCATCATCTCCATGCACATAGGATGAAAGGCTTTTTACCAATAGTCTTTTCTAGCTTCATTAAGTGAACTGACCCAAAGTGACACTGTTTAGAAAACTAATAGTAGTGTCAATAAAATGTTACTAGCTAGGTAACAAATTATTAATTAAGAAGAAATTTTAAGTAAGAATTCGGGCTTCCAGAGATTAAAAGTTCACTTTCATAAGAGAGCAATAATAAATGAAGTCTCAGGTCTTTTTTTAGTTGTTTTGTTGAAAAGGACATTTGCAAATACAGGTGGTCCCCAACTTATGATGTTCCTACTTAGGATTTTTTGACTTTACGAGGATACAGAAGTGACATGCATTCAGTAGAAACCGTATTTTGAATTTCGATCTTTTCCCAGACTAGCAATATGATGTATAACACACTCTCATGATGCTGCTGCAGCAGCAGATACAACTCTTAGCTGTGTTGCTAGCATTTTTTGGATATTGTGTTTTGTGTTTTCACATCCTGACATATCTATAAAATGCCTATCTGTGTCTCCTGCTTCTGGTGAGAGGAAAGAGAAGAAGGCAATTACTCTTGAGATGAAACTCAAGATAATTGCTCAACTGTGGGCTAATGTAAATGTTCTGGGCACATTAAGGTAGGCTAGGCTAAGCTATGAAGTTCAGTACATTCGGTATATTAACTGCATTTAAAAAACATTTTTATTTATTGATTTTTAGAGATAGAGGAGGGGGGAGAGGGGGAGAAAGAGAGAGACATCGATTTGTTGTTCCACTTATTTATGCATTCATTGGTTGCTTCTTGTATATGCCCTGACCAGAGATTGAACCCATAACCTTGGCATATCAGGGTGACGCTCTAACTAGCTGAGCTCTCCAACCAGGGCTTAACTGCATTTTTGACTTATGATATTTTCAAGTTTACAGTGTGTTTATAGGGACATAACTGCACCCTAAGTCAAGAAGCATATGTACAGTTTATGATGCAAAGTGTTTGCTTTTTTGTAGCTACAAGAAAAAGGGATTCCTGGTTCTTAGAACTTTCCATCTACTCATTTAGTTCTAGGAACAACTGTATGAGGTGGGTGTGACATATGATTCTTATCCTATCATTGTGCAGATGATCAAAGTGAGGGCCAGAGAGGTTTTGTTTTGTTATGTTAACTCCCCTGCTGTTACACAGATGGTAAGGATCATTTCCAGGATTTAAACGTAGGCCCCTAACTGTCTGACACAATTTGAGCTTGCTGTAGCAACAAAATCTAACCTATTCCGGTGTTTGCTCCTCTATGAGACAAGCCATTATATAGATTTAGACAGTATTTTTTTTAAAAAACAAAAAGAATAAGAATTTAAAAAATAGAATAAATAAATAAATAAACCTAGACCCTGATCCCAGAGCCCACTTTTTTTTTAACCTTTGTGTTGTTGTAACGCCTCTTATTTCTTACTATGCCTGAGGTCAGATATCCTTATAGAAGGGATACTGCATTTGGTTGTGCAGGTGTTTCACTGGCCAGTGGTTCCTGACTGGCAGATCCATTAGCAGCTATAGTCTCTTCCATGCTCTGTTATCAAGCTGTATGTGGAAGTAGAATTGCTCTTGCATAATTCCTGCAAAGGTCCACATGGGCTCATGGCAGCCCTGGCCTGTGTCTCATGGCTTCTTTTTCCCCAGTTATGCCATCTCAGGACTCTGACCTTCCCCAGAAGAAGCAGGAAAAAATGACCAAGTTTCAGGTAAGTAAAGCATTCCTTTCTGTCTCCTAAAATGTGATTTTATTTCTCAAAGATTAGGCACATCTTTCTTCTCTTCCTTGGAAAAGTTCATGGAAAACAACAGATCTTGAGTGCATGTTGTGTTCCAGACTGTGTGTGTGTGTGTGTGTTATTTTGTCTTGATTATTTCACAAAATGATCTTTGAAAAAAACAATAGAAATCTGAAGTAGACAAAAACAATTTCCATTATTACTACCCTATTTTACAAACTAGCTGTTTTCACTTTCCCATATCCCTTTCTCATGTGCACTCATACCTGTACGTTTGCAACATTAGAATTGATGGGGTATACTTATCTGTATTAGATAAAGGCTTAATATTGACAGTTCTTATTATTAGTAAGATAAAGACCCATTAGTAAGATAAAGAAAAACCCAAGTATGAGTAAAAGAAATGAACGGAAGTGTCACAAAAAGAAGAAAGTAAATTTATGTAAAAAATAATGATCATTAATAACTAAATGTGTGTAAATGTTAATAATAACTATTTCGCTTAAGTTGTCAAAGAGTTTTTTTTTAAATGGAATGCCCTATTTGGTCAGAGTCTAGAGATTCAGGGACATTTGTGCTCTTTCATATGAAAGGTGACTTAGGAAAACTTTAAGAGGGAAATCTGTCATTCTGCTTTCAAAATTTTTAAGTTTATATTCTATGACTTTGCAGTTGCTACTTCTTAGCTAAGATCTCTGTAAAAGGATCTTTGCAGCATTAATTATAAGTAAAAATCCATAATTATTATATGTTTGTGTTGATTAAAGATTAATGGCTAGTTCTAAGGCATACTATACTGTGCAATCCCAATTGAATGAAAAGGACTATAATGATACCAGTTGTTCAAGTTTATTAAGTATTTGTTATGTGCCAGGCACCGTTTTGACTACTTTACATATATTCACTTGTCTAATCCTTTCAAACACCTTGCAATTTAGACACCATTGTAGAGAAGAGGAAGTGGAGATCCTTAGAGGTTAAGGAGTTTGCTCAACATCTTGTTATTAATACCTTGGCATTTGAACCCAGCCTGTTCCTTCACCAGCTGTGAATGCTACAGTAGGTAGACAAGGCATGGGCCATGAAAGCACAGAGGAAGAGCTATAAGCTATAGACCTGTCCTGGAGGGTTGCGGAAGGCCTGTGAACTTTGCATATATTGAAAATCGTGATGGAGCCCAAGCTTTGTGGGTAGGTAGGGAAGAGATAGTGAGAGAGGGACAGCTGTTGGGACTAAAAACTGCCATAGTTTTTCTGGTAATCCTCTTCCCCTTCTTGATGCTGCCTTCTTCCAGTGGACCATTTTTGCGAGATTTAGGTGGAGTGTGTTTGGTGTTGTAGGAGGCAGTGACGTTCAAGGACGTGGCTGTGGTCTTCACCGAGGAGGAGCTGGGGCTGCTGGACCCATCCCAGAGGAAGCTGTACCAAGATGTGATGCTGGAGAACTTCCAGAACCTGGTCTCAGTGGGTAAGGACAGGCGCTCTCTGACACTGAATCTCAACCCCTTTGAAAATCTCTGTGTCCTCAGTTGTTCAGAGCGTTGGACCTTTTGAAGCAGTTCCCTGACCTTGAAGACACAGTTTTTCTAACCCCTGGGACTACAGGCAAAGATTTTTCTGATCCTCCTGCTCAGGAAAAATTCTATCCAGAGGTGACTTTGTCACCACCCCCCAAGGACATTTGACAATGTCTGGGGACAGTTTTGATTGTCATGACTGGAGGAGGGGTGCTATTAGCATCCAGGGCTATCGATGCTGCTAAGCCACTTCCAGTGCACAAGACAAACTCCTACAGCAGAGAATTAGCCAGTCCAAAATATCAACAGTGCCTCTATTGAGAACCCCTGTTTTAAATTATAAATGGGCAGCTTAGCTTCTATTCTTTGTCTTTCAAGTTATGGTTGTGACCCATTGATGGATCATGGAATCAACATAGCACATTGTACAGGGGTGGGCAAAAGTAGATTTACAATTGTGAGTGACATTCTTTTGAGTTAAAGCTTTTCCATACGAACAGCTATACACCTACTTTTGCGCGCCCTGTGCTGGCATTACCTTCCCCCCATGAAATAGTTTCTGTCCTTACTCTGTTTCAGTCTATCAGCGTTCCTTATCAAGACCTGCCTGCTCACATTGCAGGCTACACTGATCATTTGGTGAGTGGTGTGAGAGTGGGGGAAATTCGATGGAAACAGACAATGGCTAAATCTAATTTTATGTATATATAGACATGAACCAGGTCATGATCTAAATTTCTTTATTATTGCAGTTCATGATCAATGTTGTTATTCCAACCATTCCCAAATTTACTCTTGGAAGATAATTTCTACACAGACCTAAAATCCTATTTTATGCCTACAGTCTGAGTTCTTGTAGCCTAATGAGGTAGAATCCCACTGGTCATAACAGTACTGTGGACAAGATGAGTAGGCTTTTCATTGATGTCACTGTAGGTTGGAATGGGGCTTGTCTTTGTTGCACTGCAGCCATGTCATTTCAGGCTTCAGCTTGCCTGTTAAATATTAGACTTACAGTTCTGAATGGGTCACCTTTACACATAGTGGGTAAGAGCCTGACGACTCCTCTCTTTGCTTCCACGTGCATGGGAACGCAATAAAAGGATGGACAACGTGCAGGGATGACCCTGCCCTGGTTCATGAAGGCCTCATCCTGTGGTCCGAGCGTGAATCCTGACATTTCTCAACAAAGCATTCACTTGTCCTCATCTTGGAATGTTGCTTTTTGTTACAGGCAGCAAGAGTCAAAATGAGGTGGAGACTCTTCGAAAAGTTGCATTGAAGTACTTTCCACGTGAAGAGCTATCTTGCTGGCAATTCTGGAAACAGGTTGCAAGTGATTTAACCAGGTGTCTTCAGAGGGAGAGTTCCCAGTTACTACAAGGCGATTCTGATCAGGTTTCTGAAAGTGGGAACAATATAGAGAACTATGAAAGAGGTAGCTCCTGTTATGTTGAAAATCAAGAGTTTTTCAATGTCGAGGATTCTCGTGGGAATATATACCCAAATGAGTCACAGAATCAGAGTGGAGGCAACCAAGTTCATGTGAAAAATAACCTGCATGTCTGTGAAACCTTCATGAAGAAATCGCCACTTAGTGATCATATTAAAATTGACACAGAACAGAAATCGTACAAGTCTAATGACTGTGGTAAAAGCATGAGCGATGGCTTCAGTCAGCATTTGCCCTGCAGAGAGGAACTCCATCCATGCAGTGAGTGTGGAAAGGGTTTCAGTTATAGCTCAGTGCTTTTAACTCACCAGACCATACATCCAGGAGGGAAATGCTTGGCTCAGAACTCACACCTGCAGACTCATCAGAGGATTCCCCCAGGAGAGAAACTTGCTAAATGTCATGACTCCGGTGATTGCTTCAATAAGAGTTCCTTTCATTCGTACTCTAATCATGCAGGAGAAAAGTCCTATAGATGTGACAGCTGTGGCAAGGGATTCAGTAGCAGCACAGGTCTTACCATTCATTACAGAACTCACACTGGAGAGAAACCTTATAAATGTGAGGAGTGTGGTAAATGCTTTAGTCAGAGTTCAAATTTTCAATGCCATCAGAGAGTCCACACTGAAGAAAAACCATACAAATGTGAGCAGTGTGGGAAGGGCTTCGGGTGGAGTGTAAATCTTCGTGTTCATCAGAGGGTCCACAGAGGTGAGAAACCCTATAAATGTGAGGAGTGTGGTAAGGGCTTCACTCAGGCCGCCCATTACCACATACATCAGAGGGTCCACACTGGGGAGAAACCTTACAAATGTGATGTCTGTGGTAAGGGCTTCAGTCACAATTCACCATTAATATGCCACCGGAGAGTTCACACTGGAGAGAAACCATACAGATGTGAGGTGTGTGGGAAAGGCTTTACTCGTAATACAGATCTTCACATCCATTTCCGCGTTCACACAGGAGAGAAGCCCTACAAATGTAAGGAGTGTGGGAAGGGCTTCAGTCAGGCTTCAAATCTCCAAGTCCATCAGAATGTCCACACTGGGGAGAAACGATTCAAATGTGAAACATGTGGGAAGGGCTTCAGTCAGTCTTCAAAGCTTCAAGCCCATCAGAGAGTCCACACTGGAGAGAAACCATACAAATGTGATATGTGTGGTAAGCACTTCAGTTATAGTTCAAATCTTAAACTGCACCAAGTAATTCACACTGGGGAAAAACCATACAAATGTGAGGAGTGTGGGAAGGGCTTCAGTTGGAGATCAAATCTTCATGCTCATCAGAGAGTCCACTTGGGAGAGAGGCCCTATAAATGTGAGGAGTGTGGGAAGAGCTTCAGTCAGGCCATAGATTTCCGGGTACATCAGAGAGTCCATACAGGAGAGAAGCCATACAGGTGTGCTGTGTGTGGTAAGGGCTTTAGTCAGTCCTCTGGTCTTCAATCGCATCAGAGGGTCCACACTGGGGAGAAGCCATACAAATGTGATGTCTGTGGAAAGGGCTTTAGGTACAGTTCACAGTTAATATACCATCAGAGAGGCCACACTGGAGAAAAACCTTACAAATGTGAGGAGTGTGGGAAAGGCTTTGGTAGGAGCTTGAATCTTCGCCATCATCAGAGGGTCCACACAGGAGAAAAACCTCATAAGTGTGAGGAATGTGGTAAGTCCTTTAGTCTCCCCTCAAATCTTAGAGTCCATCTGAGTGTTCACATTGGGGAGAAACTATTTAAATGTGAGGAGTGTGGTAGGGGCTTCAGTAAGAGTTCACGTCTTCAGGCCCATCGGAGAGTCCACACTGGGGAAAAGCCGTACAAGTGTAACGTGTGTGGTAAGGACTTCAATCACCGGTCAAGTCTTACATTTCATCAGAAAGTCCACTCTGGCAAGAATCTTTAAGAACAAGAAACGTGTTAATGACTTCAGTCAGGTGGTACATTTAGTTTTTGGAGAGTCCATGCTGGGGATAAACACTATAAAGTATTGAGAGTGACAAGGGGGTTCTTCAGTTGGAATTGAACAAATCCATGAAAATGATGACATAGAACCAGAGTAACAGGAATAGGACTCATAAATATGTAACCCTCTTGGTAAAATCCAATTGATGTGATATTTGAGTACATACCAAAAGAGAATGTGTAGAAAGGATATTTGCCATAAACAAGCTAGTTTGGGGGCAATCAGGGAAAGTGTTTTATTTTCCCATTATCATTTTCTATGTATTTACAGTGACCATTATTTTTACTAAAGCTGAAAAGTATGAAAAATGAATAAAATAAAATGACTAAAAATTACCTCTAGCCAAGGACTCATATGAAATATGATTGCTTTATTTCATGTGGTATACTGAATTAAAATTAAGGAATATAGCCCAGATGGCATGGCTCAGCAGTTGAGCATTGACCTAGGATCCAAGAGATCATGGTTTGATTCCCTGTCAGGGCACATGCCCAGGTTGGGGGCTTGATCCCCAGTAGGAGGCGGCTGATCAATGACTCATCGATGTTTCTATCTCTCTCTCTCTTCCTCTCTCTGAAATCAGTAGACATTAAAAAATATATACATATATATATTGGATGATGTCCAGAATATATTAATCTGGAAAACAAAGCATGGGATTTTCATGTGATTATATTTTTTTAAAAAGGTACAGATGCATTAGGTAGGTATTCTATTTACCTCTAAATGGTGAGATTTTTGCATTTTTTTTGTGTTCCAATGAAACTTTATTATGGACAATGAGATTTGGGTTTTTTGTGGGTTTTTTTAAAATATCTTTATTGATTTCAGAGAGAGGAAAGGAGAGGGAGAGAGAGAGAGAAACATCAATGATGAGAGAGTCATTGATCGAGCCCACAACCTGGGCATGTGCCCTGACCGGGAATCAAACCCTGATTGCCTGGATCCTAGGTCGATGCTCAACCGCTGAGCCACGCCCGGCCGGGTGAGATTTGAATTTATATATTTTTCAGGTGTCATAAATTTTTTTTTTTTTTTTTTACTTTTTAAAAAAAATTGATTTCAGAGACAGGAAGGGAGAGGGAAATAGAAACATCTGTGATGAGAGCCATTGATTGGCTGCCTCCTGCACATCCCCTACTGGGGATCAAGCCCACAACCTCAGGCATGTGCCCTGACAGGGAATTGAACCATGACCTTCTGGTTCATAGGTAGACAACCACTGAACTACCCAGCTAGGCATGAAATATTTTCATTTTTCCCAACCCGTTAAAAACATAGAAACCATTCTTTGTTATTTTTGTGTGGTTTTAAATCCTCACCTGAGGGTATCTTGCCATTTTTAAAGAAAGTGGAAGGGAGTGGGACAGAGAGAAACGGTGTGAAGAGAGACATCGATCTCGTGCATGTGCCCCAACTGGGGCTGAGGATCGAACCCTGCAACCAGGTACGTGCCCTTTACCGGGAATTGAACCTGAGACCCTTCATGTCAGGGCCAACACCAGTGAACCATAACAGCCAGGGTGTGTAAACCATTCTTAGTTCATGGTCCATACTAAACCAGGTGGCAGGCTGGATTTGGCCCACAGGCTGTAGTTTGCTGAGTCCCAATCTAGTTGATCATATTTTTAAAAAAAATTTTTACATTCAATATTATATGTTATAGGAGTACAGAATAGTGGTTAGACATTTATATAACTTAAGAAGTGATCCCTAATAAGTCTAGTACCCACCTGGCACCGTACCTAGTTAATACAATATTAATGACTATATTTCCTATGCTGTATTTTACATCCCTGAGACTTTTTTTTTTAATATATCTCTATTGATTTCAGAGACTATTTTGTAACTGCCAATTTGTACTTAATGTGTTTTCACCCAGCCTCCCAACCCCCAAATTTCTTTACACTTACTGTTTTGAAATAATTTAAGCCTTTCTGTAAAAATTATACAAAATCTCTCATATACTCTTTATTCAGGATTACTAGCTGGTAATGTGAGTCATTACCCTATGAAGTGAATGTGTACATATATTAATACTTCTGTGTACATGCACATTATTTTGAAATTTATTTTTTGGTAAGTGATGGAATTAAAATCAACCTCTGGAATCTTTAAGGTGTATATTGCCTCTAGCAGAATTGAATCGCCATATGAATATCTAGTTCCTAACCGATTGAGCTAGCTGGCCAGGGCCTAAATATGGGGTGTCTCCAAAAATGTATACACACACTTTGAATAAAAGGCAGTGTTTGTTAAAATACATTTAATTTTCAAAATTGAGCTATCAGCTGTTAAAGTGTGTATACATTTTTTGGGACACCCTGTATATTACAATTTTATGTGTCAATCACCTCAATAAGGGTGCCAAAAACAAAGTTGAATTTGTTAGTTATTTGAGGAGGATCCCCTACAGCCACAGCTACTTTTTGAATAATCATGGCTCATTTTAATCACCTTATAGAAAAACATTCTGTTGTATTTATGATGGCAAGAGCCGGCTGGATACAGAAGATGGTATGTTTAAAGGTGCGTTAAAAAAACATTTTCAGCATATATTCTCGGCTTTTCGTTTCCAAGTTGCAGTATTTCCTTCACTCCTTTGACAGCGCATTCTCCTTCACTTGCCAGAAAACTAATTTCGAAATGAGCATTTAAAACCAAGAAAAACGGGAAACTTTTGGTATTTGTGAGTGGTGAGACATTACTCTTCCAATCTGTGTGTTTTCAACATTGCGGAATGAATAACTCACAAGATAAGCAGATTTAGATGCATCCAGACAGCGTCAAGCTGACTTTCTGTACTATTCATCCACATTTACTTTTCAGTCACACTTAATACTGCCTTTTTTTTTTAAAACTTAGGAAAAAGAAAGACGGAGAAGGAGGAAAATAGGTCAAGCTCTAATAGTGCCTGAGAACGGACTGAACTGAACCATCTTTTGCATATTTCTGAAGCTGCAGCCGGATGTCCCCGCTCCCTGCGGGGCATTCTGGGAAATGTAGTCCAGCGCGCAGGGCCGCCGGAGCCACTTCCGCTCCGAGAGCGAGGAGCTGCAGCCCTTGTTTCCCTCCCGGATTGTGGAGAGTGATGGGCGCGAGTCGTCAGTATCTCCTAGGAGGTGAGGGCGTGCGGCCCCCCGGGTCCCCTCCTCGCTTGCCTGGGCGTGGGACCCGCAGGTGCCTTCCTCGCTCTCGGGGGACAGAAGCGGCAGAGGGCAGGTTTGCGCCTGGTTCCCGGGTGGCGTTGGGGATGGGCCGGGTCCCGATTCTAGGTCTGAGGGTCTCTGGGCCGGGTTCCTTCGCCTCCCTTCCTTCTGCTCTCTCTGCCGCCTTCTAGTGACATAATCCTTGTAGAGTTATTCAGTTTCTCTGCTTCTGCTGTCTAAAGTGGAGTTCATAGTAGTGCCAACAGAGGGAGATGGGGCAGGTCACCCTCCGGCCGGCCAGTAGTGTGTGGGGTCTTGACTTGGTGAAGGAAAGATTTCAGGACAGGAATCCAGGTGCCGTTTATTAAAGCTGGGATCAGCGGGAGTTTAGGAGACAGAACATAAAAAGTTCACGCCTGACATAAGGTGTGGGTGTGCTCCAAAGAGAGGCAGGGCTGGCTTCCTTTATCTTGAGGGGTTTATCTGCTTTACAAAGGCGGGGTTTTCAGGGGAGGTCACAGGGGAGGATCTCAGTAGAATATTCATCAATTTTTCAAGGTGTGTCCTTTCAGGGTCGTGGTCTCCACTGAATGGTCACTGCATCTGGCCCTGGCCTCCCTGTCTTGGTATTGCAGCTTTTCTGGCCATGGAGCTGAAATACAGCTGAGGCCTTGATGTTTTCTTTAGGGAAGAAAGGTCAGGGGAGAGGTCCAAAATGATGATCAGTGATAAATGTCACCTGGGGGCACGTCCTGCACCAGTTTTGCCAGTGTGACGTTCTGCATCTGGCTGAACATTGCTCGGCCAGTTTGTTCAGTTGTCTGTTTCCCTGTTCCACTTGCCAAGGCATTTTCCTAGCTTCTTACTATTTTGCCTCAGTAGTACCTCCCTAGTGGGCGTGTAGTGAGATTTAGGTGAGGTAAAAGATGTACAAATGCTTAGAAGTGATCCCAGCACAAGCTAAAAGGTGGCTGGTTGTTATCTATTAGTTCTTTCAGAGAAGCGCTCAGTCCCTGAAAGCTTCTGTGCTGAGCCTGCCTAAGCTCTGAGCTCCAGCCGCACCGCCACTGACCCTTCTCTGTGCACTGTGGGGAGTGGGCTGTTCTTGTATTGCTAAGGACTCCCCACTCTCCCTCCCCCTGTTTGAAAGGAAGAAGTGGTGCCTGGAGGATGCCCACGAGATTCATTTTGGACCACAGACACAATTTTAACATCTTCCAGCCTCTTTTCCGGTCTCAGCCCTGACTTTTCAAAGAGGGTGCAGGGAGGAGGAGGGAGTGACCCCCTGGCTCCTGGTAACATTGTCCCAACGTGGGAGAATTTAACAAGCTGTGTGTCATTTCTGTTCTCAGTCGGGAACAGGTTCCTTCACTCATTAGCAAATTTTTTCTCTCGGGCAGATGTTCAAACAAGTGTTGATGAATCAGGAATAGTATTTCACATACTGAGTGGCAGATAGTCTTCTATAGGTTTTATATGCTTTAATTAGTTTACTCTTCATAACAGACAAAAAATACTGTTGTGTTCTGTACTTCACAGATAAGAATGTTGATAGGTGAACAATTTATGGGAAACAGGGACGAGACAGAGCTAAGAATTTGAAGCCAGGCAGCCTGGGTTCTTGACCTTCATGCCCTACTCTCCTTCAGCCCTATGACTAAGGAGGGAGGGTATGGGGATGTCCTCTGCGATACATGCCATGAACTGGAGGAAGGGTAGTGACCAAAACTATGCATCTTCTTTCTAAAAAGATGGATAGATACAAGCAAGACGAATAATGAAAACACACCCGCGTATGTTAGAAAGTGATGACGCTAAACATCCAAAGGAGTGAATGGGAGAAGGGACATGGTGGGTGGGGATCTACCTGATATAAAGCGATATCCATGGAAGAACTCTGAGAGTGACATCTGAGTAATACCTGGTGTGAAATCAGTCACTTTCAAAATTAAATACCTAAATAAGTAAATAGGGTTTGCCTTACCCAGTAGCCCATGAATGACCCTTTTATGAATGTGTCACTTTTAAGGATGACCTTGATGGAGTTTGAGCAAAACAAGTAAAATGGGAAGTAGGAAGACACAGAGCCTCCTCCCCTCCTCCCAGCTGGGGGCTTCAGGCTCAGAATCGCGCAGCTCCCCGAGTCCACTAGCCCAGGCTGCCCAGCAGAGTGTGTTTTCTGTCATCCTTGGATTCTGTGGGTTTTGAGTACTCCCTCTCCTCTAGGTGCTAAGGATAAAGATGTGTTTATCATCTCACAGGCAAAACAGTTGCTGATCCTCTCCTCTATGGGGGCAGGGATGCCCGGGTGATGGAAGGCTTCTCAGAGTGGGTGGCAGGCAGCAGGCAGGTGGTGGGCAGGTGCCACGCTAGCCAGGCTCCCCAGACCCACTTACTTTCTCTTACTAAATACTGTGAAACGTCTGGTCTCCTTGCAAAAGTCCATTACTGAGCAGAGCAGGAGAGTGCAGCAAATGTAGGGCCAGTGCCCGGGGATTGGACATTCTGATCGGGTGTTGCTCCCAGGCTTTGAGAAGCAGACGCGTCGCTCTCCCTCCTACTAAACTACTTCTGCCCGAGGCTGGCAGTCCCGTGAACGTGGGTAGCTCTAGGCTCTGCTTGCTTGTTTGAATAGATTCACGGAAACGTCTTAACAACGCTGTGAGCTGGGTAATGGATTCTCCCCATTCGATAGGTGTGGGAATAGGCACCAAGAGCTAGTGGGTCGGAAGAATCAATAGTGGAATCCTGGTGACATGCCCCACCCAGACCGTTTGGCCTCAGGGTTTCCTCTCGTGGTCATGGCCAGGACATGCCACTGCCTTTCATGTCCCACGACACCCAGGATGAGAATGGTGACCCCGGGAGCTTCAGGGGACTAGTCGGACAGGTTGTTCCCTGTACAAGGGCCCTGGCTGAGAGGCTACTGCTGTGGCCAGAGGGAGGGGTCACACTTTATAATTCACAGAGCAGCCTGTGTGCCAGGGCCCGTGTCTCATGGCTGCTTTCTCCTTTGCCACTCTGCCTTCCCAGGACGCTGTGCCTCCCCAGCAGGAGCAGGAGAAAATGACCCAGTTCCAGGTGAGCTGAGTTTTGATTTTTATCTCTTAGAATCTCCTCAAAGATTAGACACGTTTTTTTCTCTTAGGAAGGATAAAAGACAGATGTTTGTTATGTGCCAATTACTATCTTTTATATTGGTTCTGTTTTTGTTTTTGTCTTTCGTTTTTGTTTTTAGTTTTGGTTTTATTTCATTTATTTCACAAATAATAGTGTAGAAATTCATAGATATCAAAAAAGTTTTAAGAGCCAGATTACTATACTGCTATATCTGCTATTTCCCTGTGCTCTATTTTATATAATTACAACCACAGCATATGTACAATTTTTAATCTTATGTTTTCACTTGAGTTTTTTGTGATTTGGCATTATTTTATGTACTTCTTCCAGGAGGGTTTCTTTTTTGTGTGTAAACTTCAGAAGCTACAAACACACATGCACACGACTGTGTCTCTGAATAAATGTTTTGATTTATAACACTTTTGCATGGGCTTTTAAAAATTAAATATAATTTACTTACAAAAATTACACATCTTAAGTGTCAGGTCAGTGACAGTGGTATACCCCATTTTGGAGGTTGATTAATAGATTGGACTACCACCCAAAACCCGAAGTAGAATATTTACATTTCCCCCAAAAGTTCTCTCATGTGTCTTGGGCTGGCTGAGAAAGACATGAGTTCATTAGGACTTACGTACCCGTGGGGTGGGGAGGGGTGTGGCTGCCAGTGAAGCCTCCATAACACAGGCTTTTTCTCTATAGGGTTATATACAGAGTACAGAAAACAAAGCAACTGGTAATAATGTTTACATTACAGGCTCACATCCAGAAATGTTTCTTTTTGGCTGTTCCTTGACCAAGGAGGAGCCGAGAAGCCGGCCAGGTTGCCAAAATCCCGTGGTACACTAATATTCCCACAGGTGGGGAGGGGGGGAGTTGGAGCTTGGGAAGGGGCCCATGTTCTCTCATATCACACAGTCTTTCAAGTCAGTTTTCTACCCCTGGGAGGCATCTGCTGTTCTGATCTGTCATCACATGATTAGTTTACTTGTTTTCAAGTTTAATATATTTAATGAATTCATACAGTATGTACAGTATGTACTCTTGTGCCTGGCTTCTTTCACTCAACATAATGTTTTTTAGATTCATCTATGTGGTATGTATCACTACATTATTCCTTTTTATTGTTGAGTTGTATTACATTTTATGAATATGTGGCAGTTTGTTTATCCTTTGGAAGGATAGACAAAATTCCCCTTTTGAAGGACATTGGGGTCATTTTGCAGCCTCTGATTGTTCTGCATGAAGGTCCTGTGAACATTCTTGTGCAGGTCTTCTTGTGGACATATGTTTCGTATCTCTTGGTTAAACATCTAGAAGTGGAATGACTCAGTTTGTAGGGTAGGTGAATGTAAACAGTTACCCAAAGGGGTAGTACCAATTTACAGCCCCACCACAGCATCTGAAAGCAGTTGGTTTACATCTTTGTCATTGTTTGATGCAGATTTTTTTTTTATTTCTACCATTCTCATGAGTGATATCTCACTGACACTATAATTTTTGTTTCCCTTATGAATGATGATGTTGGAAAGATAAAAGCTATCAGACCTTATTGTTGGCAGTAAATTGACCTAACATTTGTGGAACACTTTGGTTGTATTAATCAACTTATGAAATGTATATCCCCCATGATTCAAGACTTAACAGTTCCAGGGTGCTTACTACAGGAATTCTCACACATGACACCAAGTGAAAAAAACAGGGATTATTTTTTAATTACACATATTTTGATGGGACTGTGGAAAATTAGTATATGCAATTGACATGCTGGATTGAGAAGAGAAAGAAACTACATAAAGTAGACTCAGAGTCCTCAGGATCCAGAACAACTTCCCACCCATCCTCTCTGCCCACTCAGTGCTACCCCTCTCCCCATGACCATTGGTCATAAGATTGAGGTTGTCTGTATTTCCTATTGTAGGAGGCAGTGACATTCCAGGACGTGGCTATAGTCTTCACCAAGGAGGAGCTGGGGTTGCTGGACCAGTCCCAGAGGAAGCTGTACCAAGATGTGATGCTGGAGAACTTCCAGAACCTGGTCTTAGTGGGTGAGGACAGGCACCTTCTGACACTGAATCTCAACCTCTGTGAGAATCTCTGTATCCTCAGTTGTTCAGAGCGTTGGACCTTTTGAAATAGTTCCCTGACCTTGAAGACCAATCCTGATATATTGTTAGAAGGGATTTGATAGGAAATGGACATCAGGAGGCAGGATCATTGGGGACCATCCTGTATGCTGGTTACCATGGCACCTTTCATATGTACAAATACATATGTACAAAACCTGGAATATAATATTAGCCATTGACATTCCTCAGAAAATTCAGCCAAATTAAATGATGACAATTATCGTAGGATTTTTACTCCCATAAGATGTGTCAGTTATGGGAATGAGTTTTCTATTTTTTTCCAGTTATAATGTTCATTGGTTGAATATTATAAATTCTTTTCCCTTTTCCTGAGAAAGTTCCCTGGTCTGTAGCCGTGTATTTCTAACATTGACCTCATACATAAGTCTAGGTATAGTTCCAGATGAGTCTCCTTAACACTTAGCACATAGGAGCTCTTTGTTTCCAGAGGCATGAGAAAGCCAAAGACAAAGTCAAACTGATTAAATATGGCTTCCTAGTGTGGTTGAACTGTGAAATATTTTAATCTCTGAATAGACTTTCATTTGTTCTCATTTTCATCTCTGAATTCTCTTTATTGTTCCAGGACATTGGAATCAAAATGAGATAGACACTGTTCAAAAAGTTGGATTAAAGTACCTTTTTCATGAAGACTTTTTGTGGTGGCAAATATGGGAACAACTTATAAGTAAGTTAACCAGAAATCAAGACTTGATAATAAATCTGGAAGGCAAGAAGTCTGATTTGCCAAAACAAGGTGATTCCTCCTTTCAACTGTGGGCAAGAGAATCTACTCAAGTTTCTGAAGATGAGAACTGTATAATAAAGCTTCCAGGGGAAGTTCAAAGTTCCAATAGTATAAAATGTCAAGAGTTTCCAATTAAGACCACCTGGGATTTCTGGAAGAAAATGTATCTGAGAGAGTCACAGAATTATCAGAGTAGGTGTCAGAAGATTGATGGGAAACGTGAACTGTGCAAGTGTGATCCTTGTGTTATAAGGACTTCTCATGACCATGGTGATGATCAGGAAGTACACAAAGGCAAGAAGTCTTATATCCACAAGAACTGTGGAAAAGATTTCATGAAGAAATCATTCCAGCATAATGTAATCCACGCAAGAGAGCAAACTTCTTGTGAGAATGGAAAAGGCTTCAGTTTTGGCCCCAGTCTTGAACTTGATCAGCAGTTGCACTTAGGAACAAAAGCCCATATGTGTAGTCAGTGTGGGGAGGGCCTTAGTTATAGCTCAGTGCTTTGCACTCATCAAAGTGTTCTCACAGAAGAGAAATGCAGTAGTTATGGTGAGTGTGGTGAAGACTTCTGTCAAAACTCCCATCTGCAAATTGATCAGAGAGTCAGCACAGGAGAGAAACCCTACAAATGTGCTGTATGTGGGAAAGGCTTCATGTGGAGCTCATATCTTCATGTTCATCATAGTGTCCACACAGGAGAGAAACACTGTAAATGTGCTGTGTGTGGGAAAGGCTTCAGTTGGAGTTCACATCTTCATGCCCATCAACGAGTCCACACTGTAGAGAAGCCATACAAATGTGAGACATGTGGTACGTGCTTTAGTCACAGTTCGTGTCTTAAAGAACATCAACAAGGTCACCCTGCAGAGAAACCCTACAAATGTGCTGTGTGTGGTAAGAGCTTCAGCCAGACCTCAAGTCTTCAAGCCCATCAACGAATCCACACTGGAGAGAAACCCTACAAATGTGCTGTATGTGGTAAGAACTTTAGTCAGAAATCACATCTGCAAGTTCATCAGCGAGTTCATACTGGAGAGAAACCCTACAAATGTGCTGTGTGTTTGAAAGGCTTCATGTGGAGTTCATATCTTCATGTTCACGAGAGGATCCACACAGAAGAGAAACCTTACAAATGTGGCATTTGTGGAAAGGGCTTTAGTCAGAGTTCACATCTTCAAGCCCATCAGCGAGTCCACACTGGAGAGAAACCCTTCCAATGTGCTGTGTGTGGTAAGAGCTTCAGTCGGAGTTCACATCTTCAAGCCCATCAGCGATTCCACACAGGAGAGAAACCCTACAGATGTGCTGTGTGTGGTAAGAGCTATAGTCAGACCTCAAGTCTTCAATACCATCAGCGAGTCCACACTGGTGAGAAACCATACAAATGTGAACAGTGTGGGAAAGGCTTCATGGTGATCTCAAGTCTTCATGTTCATCAGAGGATCCACACAGGAGAGAAACCCTACAAATGTGCTGTGTGTGGTAAGAGCTTCAGTCAGACTGCAAGTCTTCAAACTCATCAGCGAGTCCACACTGGAGAGAAACCCTACAAATGTGCTGTGTGTGGGAAGAGCTTTAGTCGGAGTTCATATCTTCAATCCCATCAGCGAGTCCACGCTGGAGAGAAACACTACAAATGTACTCTGTGTGGTAAGAGCTTCAACCATATGTCAAGTCTTCAAGACCATCAGCAACTCCACACTATGGATTAATCCTACAAAAATTAAGAGTGTGGGAAAGGGTTCATGTGGATCTCATAGGATAGAAGTTATACAGATGTGAGACGTTTCATAATTAGCTTTTTGTGTTTATATATAAAATTCCTTAATTCTTTTTACTTAACTTTTTGCTATAGTAATTTCTTTACATTTCAAAACTGTCACTATAAAAAGAATATTATTGATAATACAAAAAGTTGTCTTATACACCTTCTGTAATTATTAAACAGTTGGTTACATGTATAGGATTTGAGAAAAGCCTAAAGAACAAATATAGTTATTATTACTAATATTAGTAGTAACATTAATTTGTAGGTACATAGGCCTTGTCAGTGTCTATTTCTGATGTTTGGGCTTTTCAGTCTTGAAAAGTTTGTGATCTCCACTTAGTTGGAGGTGAGTATCAGAGATGGGCAGATGTCCATTTGCGGTTAGGCACCTGGTTAGGTAAGGTCTCTTCCAACACTGTTGGAGAGAGTCTTTAATGAATGTTTTTCCCAATGGACAAAAATATCCAGGTTGTAAGTTATGGCCTTTGAAGCCTTTGTCTTCTGGGAGTACACTGTGAAATGAATGTTACTAAGTTATTAGTTTCTATAGCCTGGTTAATGAGCCATTGATAATAATGTAGAATATCTCCTTTTAGTTTTTCTTATATTTGGAAAACAAAAAGATTTTAAAATCAGTAACATTTCAGAGTCATAAGGATAATAATTATTTCCCGTCTATTTAGTCCCATAACCAATTTTTTTGGTTCTCATTATTTGCCAGGATTTTTATGAATTTAGTTATTCTTTAGAGTTTTATAAATTTTTATCTAATTTAAAGATATGACCTGTTTAAAACCTGTAGTTTAGAGTAAGAGTCTTTTTTATGGATTTTTCTAAAGATATAATAAGTTTGTAAATGTATTAGAGTAAAATAATGACTGTTTATAAATGACAAAACTTAAAGTGGCATGGTTATAAATTTGATTATAATGCAATTAATAAAAAAACTTTGTTTTTGTAAGATATAATATTCCAAGACAATTTTTTGGTAAATAAGTTACACATGGATTAGTGGAAGTGTGTATTGAGCACTGGAAATAATTTATAAACTCCCACTGTGTGGACCACAAATATCTGGAGTACCACTGCCAGACATCCCTACAGGGAACCATTACTTATCTTGCCCCATGTCACTGACAGGACACCTGCTATCCCTGGGAGCTTCCTGGCTGAACTTGGCCTTAAATTGTTGCAAGTTTTCCCCTAGGGCAGACTGAAATCTTGAGAATATCGATTAAAAAAAAAGTATACAAATAGGAAATAGTTATTATTATTTTGATTTGGCAAAGCTTCCCATGTAATTTCAGGTATATTATATAGGCCCAATTATTTTAAGGCTTTTTTTAAAAGGAGAGAGAATGAATCCTTGAGGTATTCCAGTGCCTATTGGAATAACCCCAAATCACTTATCTGTTAAAAAAGTCTTTTAAAATTTAAACTTTGGGAAGGTTGTCAAATATACTTAACCAAAAGATCGTATCATGAACTCGTTGTAAATCTAGGTAAAACAAACATATTTTATGGTAATAGCTCTAAAAGACATCAAACTAAAATAGGTTTTAATATCAAATATTTTGTCTAGACCATAGGATCCTGCTTAACATATATAAGTATTTAATCTCTTTAGGCCAGTAAAATATCAAACCCTAGTAATGCCATCTGGAGGCAGAAAACACACCATATATAATACACAGACAAACACATAATCACATAAAGACCATACACATGAAGACAAAACACATGAAGACCATGCACCGAATCCGAATTACTAATTTTTGTAGAGAAGACACAAGATTTTTTTTATTTGCTTTTGATGACTTTTAGGAAGACTGGAAAAGGGGAAAATTTCCTAAATACCAAGCAGGAAGACCTGTCACCTCCTAGGGGTGTGAGATTGGGCAAGTAACAAGCAGTCTGTGCCTCAATTCCTTCTCTGTGTAATGAGGGGAATAATAGTACATGCCTAATAGAGTTGTTTGGAGATTTAAATGAGATAGTCACAGATAAAAGGTTGAAAACAAGCAGTAAACATGGGTTTGTTTTAATTAATGTATTTTAATTCCCTGAGAGATGCTCACTTGCCTAAAAGTTTGAGCCCAGGAAGGGATCAGAGTTTCACCGGAAGTGCTACTGGCCTTTTTTTCCCCTAACCACTGGAAGAATCCAGGCCATTCTTGGCTTCCTTCTGCTCTCTCCCTCTCCCTCCCCATTCTCCACCTTAAGAAGTGGGGGTGGGCCCGGCGGTTGAACATGGACCTAGGATCCAGGAGATCTGGGTTCGATTTTGGGTCAGCACATGCCCGGGTTGCGGGCTCGATCCCCAGTCAGGGGCATGCAGAAGGCATGCAGTCAATGACTCATCATTGATGTTTCTCTCAAATCAATAAAAATATACATTAAAAAAAAAGGGGGGGGGCCCCTAGCCTGTTTGGCTCAGTGGTTAGCACATCCCTCGGCCCTAGGGCTGAAGGGTCTCAGGTTCTGTTCGAGTCAAGGGCATGTACCTGGGGCGCAGGTTCCCCAGCAAGGTTGGGGTGTGTGCGGGAGGCAACCAATTGATGTGTCTCTCACATCATCTCTCTCTCTCTCACCTCCCTTCCACTCTCTGAAAAGCAATGGAAAAAATGTCCTTGGGTGAGGCTAAAAAAAAAAGGGGGGGGTGGGAAGTGCGTGTCACTTCATGGTGGTGTATGGGGATGTCCTGTGATTCATGCAGAAGGGAACGCAGCTCTGATTTCTCCCGGCCTCCTGTGCTTCCCCAGCCCCCACGACTGGCAGAGGGCTGCAGGAAGGAGGAGGGAATGAGTCTTTTGGCTTCTAGCGACAGAAGCTCGCCTGAGTAGGACGTACCATCTTTCCTGCCATGTTATCCCTCTTTTCAGGGGAGAAGAGATTGCTTTTAATAATTATAAAAGCAATTCTGCTATATGTTCAAATGTTTGTTGAAAAAATGTGAGAGTGGATGGGAGGAGTACTTGGGCATCATAGTGATAGTGAATACTTAGTGCTAAGTAGTCGTATTTTAAGGGCTTTAGATAAATCATTTAATCCTCACAACAGCCTATGGAGGTTATTTACTCGTTTAAAGAGGAGGAAATGGAGACACGGAGCATAAGTTACCTACCCGAGGTCATCCAACTAAGACGCTGAGCTGAAAACTGAACCAAGCTATTCTCAGTCCCCACTCTCATTCCTCAACCTGTTTGTCATCAGGTTTGGAAGGGATAGTTTGTAAAGGACTATGAAAGCTATGTCAGTAAGCTTTTCACGGCATCTTTCATTATTTAATTGTATTTTATTTCAAATAGTTAACGTTTTGACTACTGAAATAATGGTTGTGTGTTGTAGATTGTTAAAAGACTAGGTGAAAATCTGAAGAGAAGTCTGAATGACTCGTATTCCCAGGATGTACAGATAACAACCGTTAACATTTTAATGTATTTTTTCCAGGTTTTTATGTTTACCTACATCTTACAAAAGCGGTGTCCTCGGTCCCTTTTTCCCTCCATTCCTTTTTACGGTGGAAGCTGACAGTACGGCCAAATGCTCTAAGCTGGGGTACCACCCACAGCACCATCGCCAGGCCTGAACCCGCGTCGGTATCTGCTAATCTCCTGCCATCTAACCTTCCTCCCTCCCTCCCCGGTCACGTTTGAAGAAAAAATATTTCAGAAAAAGGGGAGACGGTCACCAAGCTCTCCTAACAGTATAGACTTCAGACCGACTCTCCTAAAAAAGAGCGTAAGGGCCGCCCAAGGACTGACCCCCCGAAAGAAAACGGGCCGGCTCGCGGGCAGGGCTGCCCGCAGGCTCGGAGGCGCGGGCAGCCGCCCGGGCAGCGCGGCCGGTTGGAGCGAGCAGCGCAGCAGAGCACGTCGGCTCCAGGAAGGCGCGCTGCTGGAATTCGTTCCAGACCCGCGAACTGTCACACACACGGCAGAGCCTCGGCGCAGCGGCCGTTACTGCCGCCCTCGGCAGGGGACGGAACGGCCCGGCGGCTCCGCACGGCGTAGTCCGCGAACGCCGCGGTCGGTAACTTCCGCTCAGGACGCTCGTGCCGCGGCCCCGCTCCCGTCGGGAATTCTGGGAAGCGTAGTCCAGGAGGCCGCTGTAGGCGGAGCCACTTCCGTCCCCGGTGCCCGAGGCCGCGGCCTTCGTTCCTCCCGGAAAGGTGAGCGCTCGCCTCCCGCGTCGCTCTCCCCGCGCCCACAGGCCCCTCCTTCGCCCTGCTGCGGGCCTGTGGCGAGCGGGCGGTGCACGTCGAGGAAGAGAGGCAGCCCGCGGCGAAGGGCGGCCCTGTGCCGCCTTTGAATGA